GATTCAGTCTTGGCGATCCGGATGATGATGTTCGTGCTGTTGCCGCATCTTGTTTGCTTCCAGTTGCGGGTCATCTTGTTGAACAACTTCCAGAATCTTTGGATAGAGTGCTTTTGGTTCTCTGGAACTGTCTGCGCGGCATGAAGGATGACTTAAGCTCAAGTGTTGGCGCAGTGATGGATTTATTGGGTAAGATTCTAATTGTTGTCTTACAGGGTAGTACTCACGGGCGGTAGGTAAACTCGTAACTTATAGCAAGGTCATTGACATCCTTGCACAAGCTAGTGTATCGTAAGCTCATCTCACTTATTCTCGATCGGATATCTGACGGTCCTGATTAGCCTCCCGCTCACGGAATTGGCACCCACACTCTTCCCGTTCTTCCGACATACGATCCCTAATGTTCGTCTCGCCGTGGTCAAGACTTTGCTTTCCTTCATGACCGTAACTTCCCTTCCTCGCGAATGGATTGTCACGCCATTCCTTCGCCTTCTTTTCCAGAATTTGATTGTGGAAGAGCGAGCAGATATTCGCGCTATCACTTTGACAGCCTGGCGGACGGCGCTCGAGGTCGTAGCGGATGTGCCTGGATGGATGAAGAAGTTGGTGAAGCAGCAGACCGTCCTTGATTGGTACTCAACCATGATGACACCGCTTGGCGCTCCTATTGATTGCTCGACGTTTCATTACCCTGCCTTTACGGAAGATGACAGTGACACCACCCCATTGGAGAGACACAATGTTGACAAGAACATGCTTGCCCAGGATCTGTCGTTGGTCAGTGCGGAAGTGATCATGCAGGCTCGAATCGCAGCGGCTACCTCCATGGCGTATTTAATGATCTATTGGCCTCCGAAGGTACTGCGTTTTTCAGCGCGTCTCGATTTTTTCTGATGATTCATTTGCAGTCCATCGACGAGCTTTTCCAACCTATACTCGTGCATTACTTGCAGTCGACCAGCATGCTTCAGAAATTCTTGGCTGCCCTCGTCTCAGAGGAATGGGCCCGTGCTTATGACGCAACGTCGCCTACTACACTCATCATCGAAGCGTTTCCTCTTGCAGCAGAGCTAAGCACGATGTGTTTGGCTTGGTTGCAGGGCACGCCTCCGATCGCATATCATGAGATGGCATTCACGCTACACCGTATTCACTCAGAATGTGCTGCACTCCTTCGTTGTTTCGCAACTGATTGCAAGATTCCCATTTCCTTGATTCCGCATCTTGGTGACGAGATTGATATCACTGGCACAAAGCCAAACAGTTTCACCATCGAGACTGCAGAAGAAGCGGTTGGTCCGATGTACATGAAATTGAAGGATAGCCTTGGGCGTACGAAGAAGCGCGAGTTGGGAGTTATTGCTGAGAAGAGACAGAAGGCCGTGATCAGCATCGAACAATACTCTCAGGTCAAGACACAGCACGACACTCGGATTTCAGCAGGCTTTTGCAGCCGCCTTTGTTGCGTTCCGGAGCACCCCAGATAAAGTTAGTCCTGTGGTCAAGGGAATCATGAACGGCATCAAGGTATATCAATTATTGACTCCCAATTGCTAAAAAAAAGTTTACCTTATTCCAGAACGAGGAAAATCTGGATCTTCAGACCCGCTCAGCTGTGGCTGTTGCACTATTCATTGACTTTTGCTTTCAACACAATATAACGCAACCGCCCGACAAAATCGTCAAGAATTTATGTACATTCCTATGTCAAGATGTGGAGCAAACACCGACCTTTGCCTATTCGCGATCCGTCTACAAAGGTATACTGTCCCTCACCTCTTGGTCAAAGCAAACGATACAGCCAGCGAAGAACGGCAAAGATAGTTCAAAGGGCGCTGATAGTGCCAAGTCGAGTGAAGATGCTGCAACAGCACAGTTATCAAGACGAGGAGCTTGCTTAGCATTTGATCAGCTGTCGTCCAAGTTTGGATCCCAGCTCCTTCAGGTGATCCCGAAGATGTGGATTTCCATGGCAGGAGGCTTGCTGAGCGCATGCACAACAGGTGCGAAATTATTTTCGAAGCTTCTGATTTTTCTGATCTCTACTCAGCTTTACCACACGAAGCCGACGCCCTCATGGACAAACAATACGGACAAGATGTCATTGACTCGCTCAGCGTTCTCGAAGCCGTTGTACCTTCCTTTCACCCGGATCTTTGGCCCAAACTTGCAGAGTTGTTCCCCGCTATCGCAATGGCACTGCGTAGCCGTTATGCCATTATTCGGCAGGCAGCTGCACGCTGTTTCGCTACCGTCTGTAATGTGATGACTTCCGACGCCATGCTGTTTGCCATCGAGAAGATCATCCCATTACTGGGAGACGCTATCGTATTGTCAAACCGTCAGGGTGCTGCGGAAGCCATCTATCGTACGTGTTCAACTGTTTTTGATGTTCTATCCCTCATACCTTGCGCAGATATTGTCCAACATCTCGATATCAAAGCACTTCCCTACGTCATCTTCCTTATCGTTCCTGTTCTGGGGCGCATGAGCGATCCCGATGACGACATTCGCTCTGCGACTACCAATACATTTGCATCCTTGATCAAGATGGTTCCCTTGGAGGTTTGTGCTATTGCCTGGTACACACATTCTATGTTTACATGTCTTTTAGGCTGGTTTGCCTGATCCTATTAGCTTCCCTGAGGAGCTGCTTAAAAGGCGCGAAACGGAGCGACAGTTCCTCACCCAACTTCTCGATGGCAGCAAAGTTGAACAGTACACCATACCTGTTCCCATCAAGGCGGAGCTTCGCAAATACCAGCAAGAAGGTGTGAACTGGTTAGCGTTCTTGGCCAAATATCAGTTGCACGGAATTCTTTGTGATGGTGTGTTTGAATTTCCTTGAAGCCTCCCGTGTCATTCTAATATATCCTAGACATGGGTCTTGGTAAAACCTTGCAGTCCATTTGCATACTAGCCGGCAAGCATGCAGAGCGAGCTAAGAAGTATGAAGAGACAGAATCGCCCGATGCTGTCCATCTTCCTTCGCTCATCATCTGTCCTCCTACTCTTACTGGTCACTGGTACTATGAGATCCTAAAATACTCCGAAAACTTGCAACCCATTCTCTACACTGGCAATTCCAAAGAACGCGCAAGGCTTCTTCCTAAGCTGTCCAAGAAAGATGTGGTCATCACCTCATACGAAGTTGTGCGGAACGATATTGCAAGCCTAGAAGATTACAGCTGGCTATACTGCATCCTGGATGAAGGACACGTGATCAAGAACGCGAAGACCAAACTCACAAAAGCTGTCAAGGCTATACATGCACAGCATCGTCTCATTCTTTCAGGCACTCCAATCCAAAATAACGTGTTGGAGCTCTGGAGTCTTTTTGATTTCTTGATGCCTGGTTTCCTTGGGACCGAAACGTCGTTCAACGAGCGATTCAGCAAACCAATCCTGTCGAATCGTGATGGAAAGGCAAAGACTGGTGAAGCTGGTAAGTAACGCGCTGATGAGAACTAGACTGCGGGTAACCAAAGTCTCTGCAGCTGCCCTTGCTCTCGAGGCTCTGCATAAGCAAGTCCTGCCCTTCCTATTACGCCGGCTGAAAGAGGATGTCTTGAATGATCTACCCCCGAAGATCATTCAAGACTACTATTGTGAGCTGTCTGAGGTGCAAAAAACACTGTACGACGACTTCTCCAGCTCACAGGCCAAGACGAATGTGGAGGATGCCATCCAAGGAGATGTCAAGGATGCCCCGCAACAGCATGTTTTCCAATCACTACAGTATCTCCGCAAACTTTGCAATCATCCTTCACTGGTCCTGAAAACCAACCGAGACGCTGTTGTTGCAGCACTTGCCAAGATGAATTGCAAAATCAACAGCTTGAACAATATTCAGCACGCACCGAAGTTACTTGCTCTACGGTATTGTCTTTCTTTCTGCGTGTAGTTGCAATACTCAAACATCGGGACAGGCAACTACTGACAGATTGCGGTATTGGAGGCAGTCCTTCGGTTACTGGTGAAAGTGGGAAGAACGATCCTGCGGAGAGCTTGTCGGAATCGAGCAGCGCATTCTCACAACATCGTGCTCTAATCTTCTGTCAGATGAAGCAAATGTTGGACATCATTGAAAACGATCTCTTCAAGCAATTCATGCCTTCCGTCACATATATGCGACTCGATGGCGGAACCGACCCCAACAAACGTCATGCTATTGTTCAAACATTCAACTCAGATCCTAGTATCGATTGCCTCTTATTGACAACTCACGTCGGTGGGCTTGGTCTGACCCTTACTGGGGCAGATACTGTGATATTTGTGGAACATGATTGGAATCCTATGAAGGATCTTCAGGCTATGGACAGAGCTCACCGCATTGGACAAAAGAAGGTTGTTAATGTATATCGCTTGATCACGAAGGGCACACTGGAAGAGAAGATCATGGGGTTAGTTATATTTATTTATTTATTTTCGCATCTGGTCCCTGACAACGTTCCATAGTTTGCAACGCTTCAAGCTCAACATTGCAAATTCCGTTGTGACGCAGCAGAACTCCGGCCTGGCGTCAATGGATACAGATCTTGTTCTCGATCTTTTCAGACGAACAACGGAAGATGAAGATGTAGCGGCGAAGAAGAAAGCGAAGGTGCCAACGGGTCCTGTCAACCAGAAAAACCTCCTGGCGGGCCTCGAAGACATTCCTGCAGAAGATGAGTATGAGGGACTCGATCTGTCGAGTTTCATGGGCTCCTTGGGCATGCAGTGAGGTTGGCGATTCTTGATTCGGCTTTCGTATTGATCGAGCACTGGCTTGGTTTTCACTTGACAACTACATATGTTGCATATATAGTAGAATGTACCCATACTCCACCATTAATGTATAGTGTAGATTAAGTTACGAATAGGTCTTTTTTCTGACTCGGACTTGACTCCAGTGTAATAATAATTGACAGTGATCCAAGAATCATGGAATAACTTGAAGGTGACCTAAAGAAAGCGTGACAGCGTAACTAAATATTGTGGCTAGAGTCGGTGGTGGCGAACTTCATTGCAACTTTCAATTGACATGCATGTCTGTCTCTTGCCAACAGAGACCTTACTCCATATATTTGCGATTATCCATGAAGACTATAACTCACTAATATCTCGTGCCGCACTTGCTGCTCTTGCAAGAACCTGTATGACATTCAAAGAGCCTGCGCTTGACACACTTTGGAAACATATTGATGGATTCGAGCCACTTATCTTGTGCTTCCCTGAAGGTGTCCGTGATAGAGATGTGGAAGGAAAAATGGTGAGCTTGACATTTCCAATGCAGGTTGACATGAATTTTCACAATTTTTAAATAGACGCTCACCAGACCTCTCTTCGCAAAAGAGTGGAGCACTTTTTCTCAATATGCACACCGTATCCGTTCTTTGACTTTTGACTCCTCTGAGCCAAATATCATAGACGACCGAATTGTGCAGGCGCTCATTTCTGCGCCATCATCCACACCGTTGCCGAACCTTTGTAGGTTGCATTGGCTCGATGACCAAGAATGCTTCATCCCATTATTGCGTTGCCTCCTTGTGCCAACTATCAGGTCGATAGAGCTGCGCTCTAATATTTCAGGAATCCCCTGGTCACCCTCCTTTGCCAAATCAGCATTGTTAACTTCCCTCGTAGTTCGGTGTCCATCCGTTCGGGAATTCAAGTGTGTATACCAAGGTGATTCTGAAGACACTTCAGATGTAATATCCGACGCCGTATGTGGTTTGCGGGAGGTCTTCCATCTTGAGGCAGGGGTTCTTAACACACAAGCGCTCCTTCACTTGGCTTCTTTGTCGTCGTTGAAGTCCCTGCACTTCAGAACATACAATATTAAGAGCACACAAACCAATGACGTTCCAATCTCTCTCTCCCAAATCAATCTAGTACAAATCGCTGCACCGTCGCTTTCTGTTCTGGCTCACTGTCTTAGAAATGTCTATTTCTTTTGCTGTCGATCAGTTACGTTTGACATCGATTCAAACTGGGGGCTACCTTATGATCCACTGGTAATCCCAGAACTCATCATCTCATTATCGGAGCACTTCTCTCCTGCTCTCGAATATTTCAGTTTCGACTTCGATCCACCGTTCTTTTCCCTGGAAGACGAAGCCATACTTGTTAATCCCCGTTTTGCACTTACATTCGATGCAATTGCCCCGTTATTGTCCTTGAGTCACTTGACGAAGGTAGACCTCGATTGGATCTGCGCTTCGGCTATCGATGATGCGTCACTCAAAAGGATGGCGCAATCCTGGCCTCTGCTCCAGCAATTCTACTTTGGAAGTGGGTGCCGTTGGATGGTCCCACCATCTCTCACGTTCATAGGATTGATACACCTTATACAACATTGCCGGGACTTGCGTATCGTTGACATGACTTTCTGCGCATGCTCGGTAGACACCGATAGCGAGCCGTTCTCTAAAACGATTCCCAACAAGAATATCTCATCAATTTTTGTGGGGATGTCTCCGATTGTCGATCCCATTGCCGTGGCCTGTCAATTACATACGTTGATGCCCAATTTAACCGGCGTGGACCGCTTCGGATCGCTCGAGGAAATCCGCGTCGCACCACAATTTCAAAATTTTGATGAGGATTGGGCTCAAGTTGACGACTTCTTGACGGTGCTCAATACAGGCGCAAAAATGAGAGAAAGCCTATCCAAGCAACCCATGAGTGCCTTGACTCACCCTAGTGTTTAGACGTGGATACAAGATGGTACTATATATTCCCAACGTCTACTGAGCACGTCCTCAATTGTTTTATACAAAATTTTCTTACTACTTTCTTCACCTTGATCATCACAACCACAGCACTTGTTTGTTCTTGATAATCAATACCATGCATACTCAAACCCTCCTTCAAATTTACTGACTTTCCCATAATCAAGGCTCAGGTATGATAAAGGCCGTTCACGCTCTACCTATTGCTTGATTCAGCTTGAAGCGAGCGTTCTCTTAGTGGAGAAAGCTCAACTACCAGCAGCAGAAACACTCGATGCGATCGATGACCACCCAATGATTGAGAAAGCTTGTAAATATGTACACTTGACCCTCGTAAAGCAGTGCATATTGAATATTGAATGGTTGCGCAAGCGCAAGTAAACTGTTTCTCTCGACTTGACGGCGCCTCATCGTACACCTTTGTAGCTGCGTCATACGCAAATGTATTTACATGTAGACCTTGCGATTGCAATCATACATTTATTCGAAATTGTCATACATAGGTGACTAGACACGGTGCATTATTTAGACAAACTCGATGGCTAGGACTCAGGAATTCATAAAGTCTATAGAGTCCGGGTCAGCGACATGACTGTAGCAGGTGCAAGTCGTCGGGTGTCGTTCCTGCCAAATTATGCGAGACTCCAGTGATGTTATCGCCAATAGAAGCCTCCACCCGAGCGACAGCGGCAAGAATGGCGAACTAAATAGGTTTCATGGTATTCACTACTGCTGACACCAGACACCGACAAAAGTTTAGCGTTGATTGAGTGAAACAGATCATCAGCCACGGATTTGCCTGCATTTTCCGAGATTTTGGGATACGACCGCGTTCAATTTGCTGTTAGCGCAGAATATTGGTATTCGCTATGTCAATCGTCAACCGCGCCAGAAGCAGTGTTTTCAAGATAAAGCGTCTACTCACTGCCGAATTTGCGAGCATACTTTACGCTCGTGGAATAGTGCCCACCAACGATCGGAGGAGCGTGAAAGTTGGTGTCAGCGTATTAAAACGGTTACATTTAACTTTTCAATGTTCAACAAGTGAATAAATTAGTCTTGTCGGGAGAATGGTATCGAGTTGGGTGCACCCCGAGGCTCCGGCCCGGGGTATATCAGCTACAGACCTACAAAGTCAAAATGCACAAGATCCCAAATATTTCGCATTCGTGCAAACGAGCGACTGGAAACACATGAAACATGGCTTGTATCGTTTTTTATTTGGCCTCTCTGGGATCTGAAGGTTATTCTGCATCGTGGGAGGTTGGCTTTACCGGTACCAGCGACATCAGGCTGGGTACTGGCCCTGCATTGTCAGCAATGCCTGTGTACAGTTCCGCAGCTTGGGAGTGAGGATGTCTCGGCATCATCGCTTCGTTCCTTATTACCTCCTCTGTTCGTATTAGCCCAGAATGAGTCCGAATCAAAAAATCTGTCAGATAGGCTTCCTCTCGAGACGACAAGCAACACACTTTTACAAGAGCTCAGAGAAGCGAAAATCAAAGAATTAAGCACACACCAGACAGCCTGACAACATTGGTATCTGATGTATATCATAGTCAAAGTTGTCGAAAATAAGCGCTGCGAGCACACGATGAGACTCGCAGCAGCGCTGTACAACTTGCGGTTGGCGGTGTACCGTAACTATTCGAGACTCAGATGAATCTCCGCTACTCTTCGATGCCATCATCAGTTCATGTCAGGTATTATCTGCTATAACAGTCAAAGAGTAGACCGAAGGAGTGTCCTTGTATCATGTATTATTCTCATCATCACCCTTAGTGCTGGTACCTCGAATTCGGGTTTATGTGGCAAAACTATACCTTCCGTGGGATCAACCGTACCGTGCTAACTTGAAGTATAAAGATCAGTGCGAAGTGCTTGGCAATTGCTAACGACCGCAGCACCACTAAGTCTTGCTTTGAGCAATATATAAACGAAACGGGTTACAAGAATTGCCACATCAAACAACTTCAGTCAAGGATTCAGTTCAATATTACCCCAACGTGATAATGGCCACTACCTCTGGAATTGGTGTCTCCCCCGAGCTAACGACAGCATTCTCCGATGCTGTCGAGACAAAGAATGTTCGGTTCTTCAAAGTCATCATTCAGGACGGTCTCTGCTAGTTTACCTCTCTGCATCATTAGTGATCTCATACCATCAGACAGAGTCTCTCGTTTCAGTAGCCTCCTTGCCAGTCGCAGATTCCTTCAACGAGGATTTAGTACAACTTCAAGAATATCTCGAAGACAAGGAACCATGTTATATCCTGGCGCGTCTCGATGACCCCCCTTCGGAATGGCTCGCGGTCAGCTATGTGCCAAATTTTGCTAACATCCGGGATAAGGTAGGTATTGCTTTTGATATCGATGAACTCAATCTTATCAGCCCAGACATTGTATGCTTCAACACGTAGTTCTTTGACCAAGTCATTAGGCTCGACTGTTTTCACGGATAGTCTTTTTGCGATATCTAAAGCGGACCTGACACCCGAAGCCTATGATGCTCACAAGAGGCACAAAGCTGCACCCAAGCCTCTGAGCGCACGGGAGCAAGAAATGGAAAAGATCAAGGCGGCCGAACGAGAAGCTGGAAACAGTTATGAAGGCAGCAATGCAAGAAAGAACCACATTGGTCAACGCGTAGGCCTGTCTTGGTCCTCGGAAGCTGAGGACGCTGTGAAGGGGCTTGGCTTGCGAAATGATAGTCGCATGGTCATACTGGTTCATATCCCTATTGATTACATTGAACGAGACGTTCACACATCGTTTCAGAAAATCGAACCATCAACCGAGTCGCTCGAGCTGGACTCTTTCGCAGATTTAACAGTGGATAATTTGAGTTCAGGCATACCAAGTGACGAACCATGTATGTGCTCCTTGCACACGCGATCGTGCTTTATGTGATACGCTCACGCGTTCTTTCATTAGCATATGTATTCTATGCATGGGCAAATCCGTATTCTCAGGCAGGCGGAGATATCGGTTTGTGTCATTACATCCGCTCATCGCACGCAATACATCTGACTTGCTTGCTCAGTCTTCATATACTCGTGCCCTGCGGCATCACCTGTTCGATATAGGATGGTCTACTCCTCAGCGGCAATATCAACTTATCTTGCAGCGAAGAATTTCTTGGTGGAAAGTGGGTCAGCATTCCCGCTTGCCACAAAGAGGTTCGAAACGTCGGACCCGGCGGAGCTCGATGAGTCCTTCCTCAAGGCTGGTCTCAACCATGATGGATCCCCAGGTGCTATTGTCAACAATAATGGTGCTCGGGAGAATGACCCTGCAAAACCTTCATTCGCGAAACCGAAAGGCCCTGCGAGGAGACGATGAAAGCTAAAGAAAGATGGTAATGCTATAACCAGATATGCAATGTAAATATAACAACTTAGATAGGAACTTGTATAAATACCTGATTATAAGTGTACATCCAGAAAAAAATAAAGACTATGCACACGGAGCTTTGTCGGTATGCAGAGTTCGGTGACTAGTGGGACTCCGCTGAGCTCCGCATACGCTTGTGTTCCGAACAAAAAGCTGTGGGCATGTGACCAACCAAACACACTTATAGCATCGTCATGACCCAGGGAAATACTATACACCGAAGACTTGCAATACCCCATTCATGTTAGCTACGTGCGTCTCGAGAGCGACGCTCGCCCCAGGTTTCAAACTTCGTGCAACCGTCTTCCTTAGAGCAAGATGGTACAGCACTCCGACGGAAGTTCCACTACCCAATAAGTCGAAGGTGTGGAAGTCTGTCGACGAAGCAGTTAAGGATGTCAAGTCAGGAGATGTCCTTTTGTGTGGTGGTGAGTATCGTCGCATTTCATTTCTTATACCAGATATGTGATGTTCCGGCACGCAATACCCAGGTTTTGGTTTGGCTGGTGTGCCAGGTTCGTCTCGATAGAGGATTCTCGAGCGGCGTAACTAAGCTAGGATGCAAGACACGCTTCTTTCCGCTTTGGCCAAGCGCAGGGACGTCACAAAGCTAACAGGAGTCTCCAACAATGCTGGCGCAGGTGACTCTGGACTTGGTTTGTTTTCCATGACTGTCCATGATTCGTGAACCTAATGAATATCCATAGGTAAGTTGTTCAACAGCAAGCAGATTGATAAGGTCGTCGCTTCATACCCTGGAGGGTGAGTTACTCATCTTGTTGGGGCCGGCGCAAGATGAATTATCTGTCTGCAGAAACAAGGCCTTCGAGGCCCTATATCTCAAGGGCGAGGTGTCTTTGGAGCTGTGCCCCCAAGGTACACTCGTTGAACGTCTCCGTGCCCATGCAGCTGGTATCCCGGCCTTCTTTACCCCTACGGGAGCATCAACAGCAGTAGAAGACGGTTCTATCCCAACACGATACAACGAAGGAGGCTTTGCCAATGGAATCATGATACCAGGCATTAAGAAAGAATCACGAGAATTCGGAGGTCGCAAGTATATCATGGAACCGGCCATTGCTGGTGATGTCGCTTTCGTTCACGCATGGAAGGTCGATGAGGTTGGCAACTGTGTTTTCCGGTGAGGAAACAGGATGTCGTTTTTGTTGCCTACCTGAGCGCTGAGCATGTTGATTCGCGCAGGTACGCTCAGCAGAACTTTGGTGCAGTCATGGCGAAAAACGCAAAACTTACGATAGTGGAGGTGAGTCGGGGCGTCGCGGTGGTTTACCAGAAGTTGATACATTCTTTGCAGGCAGATGAAATTGTGCCTAGTGGATCTCTTTCACCAAATGCAATACATATTCCAGGCATTTACGTCGATCGAATTGTTCAGTCTACGGAGCCCAAACGGATAGAATATACGACCCTTGCGCCAAGCTCATCATCTTCTGCTGAACCGACCACTCTGACACCCGAGAAAGAACACGCGCAGAAAATGCGTCATCGTATTGCAAAGCGAGCTGCCAAAGAGCTTAAAGATGGATACTACGTAAATCTCGGTATTGGCATGCCCACTCTTATTCCCGGATATCTCGCGCCCGATGTGAGCGTTTGGCTGCAAAGCGAGAATGGCATTCTCGGTATGGGGCCATACCCTAGTACGAAAGAGGAAGTGGATCCGTAAGTAGTGCTGCCAGGAAGTGTTCCTCATACTAAGCCTCCCTCTGTAGGGATCTCATCAATGCGGGTAAGGAGACTGTGACCTTACTGCCTGGTGCTTCAATATTTGGTATGTCTTAAATTAGTTGTTGTATGATCCAGCTTCACGTGCTGATTCTACTGCTAGACTCGAGTGAATCATTCGCTATGATTCGCGGCGGTCACATCGACGTTTCGATTCTCGGCGTGAGCATTTTCACACAGTTGTTTCCCGGATAATCTCACAATATCCTGGTTTATCTTGTAGGCTATGCAGGTATCACAGGCAGGTGATATTGCCAACTTTATGATTCCTGGAAAATTGGTTAAAGGTATGTGATCTAGATATATTTTTGTCATTCCGTCTTCCACTGCGTTCTCACTGTCGATCACATTCTTAGGCATCGGAGGAGCTATGGACCTGGTTTCTAACCCTGACCTGACAAAGGTTATAGTGGTGATGGAGCACTGTGCGAAAGACGGCACTCCGAAAATCTTAAAACAATGCTCTCTTCCGCTCACGGGTGCCCGTACTGTCAGCCAAATCATCACAGAATTGGCTGTCTTCGACGTCGACAGAGAGAATGGTCACCTCGAGCTTGTTGAACTCCAGGAGGGCGTAACACTTGAAGAAGTCAAGGCGAAGACCGGGTGCGATTTCAAGGTACGAAGAGATCTGAGCAAGCTTTGATTTGCTTTCAGGTTTTGTGGATCCTATTGTGGGAAAATGTTGATACCATCATTTCCTTGTACATTACATAAATGAATTTTTCTTATACCATTCGGACAGTCCCGAACCAACTGGTTCTAGTTAAAGGCGCCTCTCACGGCGCAGTATTTTCTCGTCCTATTTACAATTTACAAGAATGTTGGCGTTTTGCACAAGGTAAGTAGTGGGCATATTTCGAGTGCTTTCGAACATTCTCCGTGGTTCACATATCTGGTGCCAGTGTCCTGCCGCTGAGTTCATGCTGCTTCCTATCTGCGCAGGACCTTACGAACCCAAGAGTCATAATTTCTCTCGTTTTTACATCTCCTCTTACACCACAACTTTGACGGCGGACTTCTCGGTGTGTGTCCGTTCAACATTTTGTAGCCATCGATCAAGTGAACCCAGAAGGAATGAACATCTGTGTCTCACTGCTGAGTTAGATGTTGCGGCTCAGCGTGCTGCGCCCTTCCTGTCATTTACATTGCACATAGACAGCGGTACAACAGCAACAGTCCAGGGAGGCAACGCAATGAGATAAAAAAACAGTGACTTCACAGGGCTTCACCTGTTGGGTATAATAATAATGAGGACCATTAAAGGTCTCAAGCCTCAAATTCACCCGTCTTCTATCCTTGTCATCTGCTCTCTCCGTAAGTAAATAAAAAAACTCTGCTAATTGCGACTGACCGAGTTCCAAGGCCTTCTCTTGATGCGCAAGCCCCAGTCATATATCATACTAAAATTGAAGTCACTCATAGGCGATCTATATTTCGACCGGTCCTGACCGATCTCATCCCACGAAACCCTCTTGACTCCGTAAAGTCGGGAATCATTCATCTTTCAGAACCAAGTTTCGATGTTCCACAACCAGACACATTAAAAACGGTCTGTCGCAGAAGATTACGATGATTCAGATGTCTAGTTTATCATTGCATGGCGCTGTGAGGAACATCCGAAGCTTGCAATTGGATGATATTCCCGAAGTTTTCAGGTGCGTACATTAATATTACTGTATCGCTATAATCAGGTATTTCGGTGTTTTTTTAGAACTTTACAAGCGGATGCTCACATGTGATAGAAAAAACACCAGAATGCCCACAAAAATCAGTTTCTAATAGTCCAGATACAGGCGGATTTTGAACAATCGTCGAGGACTTTACCAGACCAACATGCTCACCTTAAAGCCACTTTTACAATCACGCTTAGGGAATGTGGAATAGACGGACGGTCACGAGCACTCCTGGAGGTTTCAACCATACCGGACCTATCATACCAGGGAGCTTTTCTCAAAAATACAATCGCTAGAATTCAGAAATATGGGTCTTTCCCAACTTACCTTTCCGAAAACATGTTATGTCTTTCCCTCTATGTAATTGTCCAATGCGCGTTGATCAAACGGATGATGAAACTGGACGGATAACAGTCGGACTTGCCTAGAGTTGTATTGTGTAGCTTTCGAGCTGACCATGGCTCGCGCGGACCCTGCTACTTAGGTGTACTTAAACCTTAAGACCAAGGTCTGGGTAGCAGTCACGGTGGGACGGGAGCAGGTGATGTTGTGTCTAATGTAAAAGTTGTCGTATCTATGAATCGGAGGATGGTTTGATCGTCTGGCTGCCTCCAAACATCTAGGTAAGCATTCAAAGTGTCTTTTCAACTCTGGCTGACATAGAGCGACAGTGTATGCCAAAGATACTAAAGAGCGGAATCCTTTTGACGTCGGTATCGATCACGGCGACCCCGTGTGCCTGCATCAACTACATCGTCGTGGTACATAGGGTGGCGTATTCAAGTGTTTCACTCTGAAATCTAACGACCTTTTGGTTTACCGATCATGATGATCCTACGAATGATAGGCAAATACGAAGTCAAGTTCACGCACTGGTTAAAGCGCTCCTGTGCAGTATGATTTGAATTTTGCAGAGGCACCGATCCACACATTTCTTCGGGGTAACTCTTTGCCTTTTTGCTCCGGCTCCACTTCAGCCTCAACACCCTCTTGAATATACGCTTTCCAGTACCAATTCCCTGTTCGAATTTTCTCCTGAAGCGCCTTAAACGGCTAGTGGCCTCCTGATTTCCATGTTCTGACTGCTGCGACCAAGCGTTGTGTACTGTTTCAAAGAGGTTTTTATCATGTGTCAAGGTTATTCGTGAGCACATCGATATCGTCCATTGCATGTACGACGAGCCTGCATGAACGACACGCCGAGGAATTAGTAGGAACTACTGTCAGGGTTGAGCACTTCAGGCAGACGTCGTTTGAAGACGTACTATATGAGCTTGTCAACAGATATGGTGACAAGAGCCCTGCAACCTGAGAGGGATGCTTGTGAGTAGAAACGTGTGACTTAAAACCAACCCTTGCTGTCATGCTCAAGACCAACCTTCAGACCTCAGGTTTCACCCCATCTTATCAAAACATGGCTCTCTTGCATCACATTTTAGGATGCTCCTCTATCCTCATTTTGGTCTATCTACTGCCGAAGTTTGAAGTCCTGCCTATACTGTCATTTGGGTTGTTGTCTGTGAGTCCTTCGGATTGGCCCGATAATTGTAAGTGCAATACCACTCAGGTACATGCCGCTCAATAGATTATGGCGAACGCCCCTTTCCAAGTTTCATACTTTGTAAATGAACATCGTTTCAGGAGACTACAAAGGAAATTGTCAATGAATATTGCGGAATCAGGTTTGAAGGTGACGAGATGACTTGGACTTGTGGGTGTGGCTACAGTAATCCCCTGGTCAGATCTGAGTCATTTCCTTCTTCTCGTTGGTAGCCTTCAGCTGTTGAAAGTCGTAAATTCTGTGTTCTACAAGTACACATGGCTTTATGCTATATGATGCCCAAACCATACCAGCGTGGCTGGCTTAACGAAGAGTAACCAGTTCTGCATACATCCATCAGCACGACAAATTCAAGTAAGTGATGGATCTCATTCACCTTCAGCAGATGTTGGATGTATAGCAACCGTATCATCTAGGTCCTGTTTCCGAGCTTGACAGACGCGTCAATTATCAACTGAAAGGTGAGATGATGGAAAGTACTCACCTCCCATCTTAACAGCCACTGCAAAGCCTTGCATTACCTCATCGCTTCCTTGTCCAATGATATGTACACCAACTACACGTTCTTCTTCGCCAACAACGATGAGCTTGTACACGGTAGGCTCCTTGTGCTCCTCTTCAATTTGAGAGAAATAAAGCGAGCGGAACGAGGATTTATCTTTACTGCAATGAGCAATTTTGTGCGTTGAAGAGGAAACAACGCACAGATCTTAACAGCGGAACCATACTTCTGAAGAGCTTCAGGCTCCGTTAGGCCTACTGTGCCAATGGTCGGGTGACTACATATGCGCTATGAATGAGGACTTCTGACAGAAGAAGTGGTGTGCTCACGAGAAAACGACTGTTGAGATGTTCTCATACGACAATTTGTCGTTCTTGAATTTTGCAGGCCCAAACAACCTGTTTGATAGTCGCCGACCTGCTGCGATAGCCACAGGCGTCAAGAGCGCCTTACCCTGGATATCACCGACCGCGAAGATATTCTCCAGCTGAGGCTTGCCCTCCACAAACAGGGCCTTCTGGAATTCATCGACGACTACATCGCCCTTCTTGTCGAACTGAATCCCCAGCTCTTCGAGACCCAGACCCTCAGTGTTTGCGTGGCGTCCAATAGCCCACAGAAGGCAGTCCACCTTGAGTTGTGTGCCATCGTTAAGGTGCACAGTTAATTCACCACCCTTCTGACCTTCAACTTTGGTGACCGATGTATTCTTGTGGATGTTGATTCCAGTGTGTTCCATCCAAGGTGTAAGTGTATCCTGAATGATAGGATCAAAGGTGCGGAGAACACGTTCGCGTCTAATGAGAACATGTGTCTCACTACCTAATGTATGGAGTACACCAGCGAGCTCAACGGCGATGTATCCTGCGCCGACGACTGCCACGCGCTTCGGTTGATCTTCAAGGTCAAAGAAGCCATCTGAATCGATTCCAAGACTTGCGCCGGGTATCTGATCATCGCTTGGTATGGTGGGGCGACCTCCAGTGGCGATGGTAATGTAGTCACCTGCGATGACGTATGGCTCGCCACCGTCGGAGGGTGTGATCTGAACGTTGTTAGGCGAAACTAGACGGGCAGTTCCACCGTAGTAATCCACATTTTCTCTCTCTAGGTTTTTCTCGTATATGCCATTCAAACGGCGGATGTAGGCATCACGCTGCGGTTTGAAGGATGCCCAGTTGAACTGGGGCGGTGGGACATTTTCGAAATGATACCCTTTGCTTGCATGGCGGAGGCGGTCTGCGAGGTCTGCCGCATGCCACATGATCTATACCAGCCATAGTCAGGGGGTAAGGAATCGGACAAGCAGGAAATAACACACTTTTTTGGGAACGCAGCCAACATTCACGCAAGTACCACCGAGATTCGGCGACGACTCGATGAGGGCAACTTTCTTGCCATAAGATGCAGCGCGACGCTGGGCGGGTGTGATCATTATCTCTACACGGCTGGCCTGTTGAAATGACACACCGATGATGCGACTCCTCCGCTTCCACCGCCGATGCAGATGTAGTCGTATTTCTCCTGCAGTTTGTTGAGTGGTGCCATATTAGTGCGAGTATTCGAGAATGATCTTGATATCTGCGGTGTAGGAACAAGACAAGATCAGATACTCGGGTGATCTATGAACTTATCATGGCACATTGGCATTACCTGAAAGAGCCGCTGAGATACCTGTGCGCGCACTAAGGATTGCGATGTTGCAATTTTTGCAACAGATATGGCGCTTTGCAATAAAAGGGCCACCTTAAGAAATTGGACGAGCAACGCTCGTCTTATACGTCCTTGCTCAGTCAGAACTTGGTCATTGCTGCGTCATCCAAACCTACGGGTCACGTGTAAAGTGACAAAGACACGACGCGTCACGGGGTTACATCTGAACCAATCATTATGTAAGTTAGAGCCTATCATACAAGTTTTGATCTGTAGAAAATAAGTATGGCAACGGTAGACTGGACAGTAGATGCAAATGAGGCTCTAACTCTTTCACTAGGTAGGTCAATATGAATATGCACTAGCTAAGGCATAACTAACAGAATTCATGCAGTCCGAGCAGAAGAGGATAAACAGGTGTTTGGAAGCGAGGAAACTTGCGAAGCATTTCATCCGACATTTACATATCCTGTATGTTTTTATTTCACGTTATACACGCTCTCCCGTGATACGCTGTCATGTCGTCTAGATCTACGGAGAGGACGAAAAGATTTATGGATACCAAGACTTGGTAATTGACGTGCGTTAAACGTCATTCCTGAGTCGACACCGGCGCTGAACATCCAACTGGTGGCCTGTAGCTTCGATTTACCTCCGGTTCACTGGCACAATACCTCTCTGTTCGCTATGCTAAAAAGCTAGATGCGTCTACGACTGTGGACAATGTGGAAGGCATATTAAAAGAGTTTATACCTCCTGGTACGTTCCACTTATCATGCTTGTTGCTCTGTGACTGACTTTGGACCTGTCAGACTACGATACGGACGAAGCAACATTTCTCACACGCGTCAAAGAAGATGCAGTTTTATTCAAGCCTACAGGCAGTGTCGTACATACTTATACTCGACCTGTACCAAGTATATCAGGATCCAGATCCGCCACTCAGGAAGTGGTCGAGTACGAGGTGTACCACGTGAGTGTCAGAAACACTTTCTGCTATCAAATCTTACTGAGGCGCGTACAGGCAACATGGAACGATCCAGGATTCCGAGAATATCATAGGCGAATGCAGATTTTCATTCTGTTATACATCGAAGCAGGTTCCTACATCAGCGAAGACGACGACGCTTGGCAATTTTTTGTGTCGTTAGTTCTTCATTCGTATCTACCAGGCTATTTAACCGCGCGCAAACAGGTATGAAAAACGCAAGCGGCAAAATGGCACGAAGACGTACCATTTCATCGGGTATTCATCAGTGTACAGGTTCTACTGTTTTCCCGAGAAACACCGTCTTCGTCTTAGGTGCGCACTTCCTTTGCGAAGTGAACCTACATAATCAATCCATGGTTTGCACAGTCAATTTGTGATTGTACCACCGTACCAACATCAAGGCCATGGATGTAAGCACTGATACTCTTATCCTATGCTTCCTTTAATGCTCGGGTCTTTGAAGCGGAGCTGTACAAAACAATCTACAACTACGTCCTCCTCAACCCCCTCATATCTGAGTTGACAGTGGAAGATCCTGCCGAGGCATTTGAGGACCTACGAGATCGAAATGACCTCATGATGCTCCTCGCCAATGAGAATTTTATGAACGAAGGCTTTGGCAACGAGGCGGTTTCTCACGGCGGAGGAAGGGTACGAAAACGGAAAATTCGCGCTCGAGCAAACCCGGTGGGCGCATCATCCGGTACGGTGAAAGGCACCGGGAAGATGGGTCCCCCGATGGATAAAGCTTGGTCTGAGACGTTTCGGATACAACTCAAGGTGGCGGGGGTAAGTCTTGAATTTAGTCTACTTTGATCGTTCTCAGTTTTCCCAGCGACAATGGCAGCGGCTTATGGAAATGCTAATATTGATGCATTTCAACCCCAACGACATCCAGGCTGCAAGAGCATATCGACTACAAGTCAAGGAGCGGTTATATCGTTTCAACTTTGTAGGTCTTACCGCCAGCTTCATCTCGTCTTGAATTGATGTTCTCTTAGGAAATTTTGGCCCAATTAGACAAGGAGGAACGACTCGAGAAACTGGAGGAGACATTCCAAAGCCTACGAGCAGATTATTTGAGGATATTGGAGATGATCAAGTAGCTAGATTAACACATACCGATAGTTGCTCTCATTATTGTTATTTGATGCACTTATAACATTCCTGCCACTTGTCTAAAGCAAGTCTCAACTACCAATATAACAAACCTTCAAACATCTTAGTGTACCATGAAAAACATCCCAATTCGAGTTGATGGCAGATTCAGGCTGGGAGACATGTTATGATCTGGCTCGTATGGTATGTTATTTACATGTACAATCAATATGTTGCATTTAACACATACTACATCACTGAGGCAAGAGTCCATTTGAGTTTCCCTTCAAAGCTAAAACTGGGTCGACATCCATTGATACCGGCGACTACCAACGAGATTGATAGCTTACAGGTCGTTGCGAATGAAGTCATGGCGTCCTGAGACAAATTAAGATAGTGCTGCGCAGTCCACAAGCTTCTTGTGCCGCAAAATACTCAACATGATGAGCGTTTGCCTGTCAGACGTTGATTCAGCGAATGATTATTCAAACAAATACAATAATATACAAGACCCAGCCGGATCCTATCACAACAAGAGCTACGGTAGATAAAACAAAATGCACCTCGATAGCGAACATCCCCTACAAACGCACCATGTAAAGATATCCATATGCAATAAATATCATGAAACAAGGAAGAGCCCAACAGTATTCCCAAAGCCTGCCATCGCAACTCCACGGATCGCAAGGAAGGGTGACACTCTCGTGAATGGAATGCGGGGGTACTCTTCTGCCATCGCAGTCGGTGAGGGTGGCTGACTGAGGTACATCGAAGGGAGGAAGGACCGACGGACACAAAGAGGGAGTTCGTCAGTTAGGCTCGACATAGCAGCAATTCGTGTCTTTGAGACACCAGTATCGAACAACCAGACCTCCCACCGGTCCAGAACCGCGGATGTCAGTCCACGCGATGTCGATGAAAGTGAAAGCTGGAGTGAGCCTTTTGTGTGCGCCCGGGATATGCGACGAACGCCTATTATTTTTTCACCTGAAATATCCCAGCCCCCCCGCTCGCACCCTGCCTCGCCCGCTCTTAGAACGGCGACGTTGGACCACGTTGATGGACGTGATACTATTGGTGGGTCGATGGGGATGGAATATCCTTCGTCATCCTCATCTGGTAGATAGGGTAGGACGTAGCTCTCCGAGAGGCGACGGAGTCCCTTTTCTGAGGCTCTGCGGGATAGAATCCCATGGCCAGAAACAGGAAATGCTGAGGTGTCTGGTGCAGAGGCGGTGCTAGCAGAGGATAACCTCCGTGTGGATGTCACCGAGGATGGCCCTATAGTTGAGGCTATGCTGCTACTCCGTGAGCGCCGGCCCGTAGCCAGCTCCAGGATGGCCGACTGTTGTGGATTGTTTTGAGGACACGTACATCTCCTTCCCTGCGATGTGATGTAAACTTTATAGAATATTACATGATGCCCAATTGAGACAGAGACCATAAAGCTGTCCATGGGCGGTTCGCCACAGAACTGGCAATTCATGACACGAGAGTTTGATATCCGCAGTTGGTCGATAGCGCCATGATTCTCCTCCAGGATGAGGATACATTCAGAAGACCCAGCGTCCCATAAGGAAATAACGCCAGCTTCTGAAACGATGCCAATAATTATATGATCCCTGCCATCTAACCTGACTTTACACGCATCCACCTTGCTGACACGGTCTGTTGGATTGCCTGATTGCAGCGCACAGCGGATTGGCACAGCACTACGAGCTTCACATACGCCGAGTAGCTCCAGAGACCCATCTGCCAACACGAATGCCGCCAATATCCGGTCATCTGAGCGTACACGTAGAAGGCGGCTCTGCAAGATGGGCTCAGACGACATTGGAGAGATGAATGATACCGACGTGTGGTCGTCTATGACCCATTGAGCAATGACTCCATTCTCATACACGACAATGAGGGGCTCTGGCTGAGGAGGACCTGGCGGAGGTGTACACGGGCGAGATTGCGGCCCGTTCTTCTGCTTCAACACTGATTGGAGCGGTGGCGCGAAATGCATTTCCCTAATTCCTGCTGGGATCGAGGGCGGCGCAAGGGTCGCATATGGTCTTGCGCTCCTCCCCGCCATGAACCATATCCCAATCGTACCATGCGTTGTCCCTATAGCACAATACTCTCCTGCGTCATCTAAGGCGATTGCAGCTATTCCCTCCTGCGAAAATGATGTGCCGCCTGTACTAAGCAAAACGTCACTTGTATCGATGAGGACAGGATTCGGATCATTGAAGTGCCATATGCTGAGTTCATTCTGCAATCCAACTGCAGCTATCACTTCGCCGTCTTTGCTTGATGCAAGCAGCTCGACATCGGTCGGGAAAGCGCGCGGTAGTGTCTTGAAAGAGGCTTCTCCGTTCAGTGGCTTTTCACCCCTGGGGGATGGTGCATCAGCCTCTGCACGATTCCGCTGTGCCTCGAGTAGCTCGGCATCTTTCAGCAGGTATAGTAGCAGTCCATAAAGCGTGGCAATCGTCACGCTAATTGGCAGGATGACGAACTCAAAGAGCCAGAAAACGAGGTTGGTGCGACGCGCAGGCATAGGGGAATGCTTATAATCATGTTCTTCCCATGTCTCAGATTGAATCGCGACAATGGTCGGGACTTCAAGACGGAGATGAACTAGTGGCTCTTCATCAGGATTGAGCGTCTTCCAAATATGCCAGGCAGGATCTTGCGAATCTGGGCGACGGTGAGCTGCTTGTATACGTTGCTGAACGGTGGAAGGAATGATGAATCCTGCCTCGTTCTCACGAGTAGCAGGTCTTGTCATAACATACAGTGTTGCAGTGATTGCAAGGAGCTAGAAAGGCCATGAGCACATGTACACATTAAGCTCCAACTCATATACATACCAGTAACAGGCTAATATTTGTCAATGCACGGCCTTTGAGTGATTCTTTTGCATTGAGCGTGGCTCGTTGCCAATTAGACGTATTTTTCTCTAGTGAGGTGTCACGAGTCGAAGCAGACGCAGCGGGTGCTATGCTCGGGTCTTGTCTCAGCAATTGATTAAGCTGAACCCATCTACTTCAGCACCGACCCGCGTATACAAGTTCAGGTGAACTTACCTCCAGCCTTTGTATATCAATACTAAGTACCGCCAAGAAGAATGTATGCGCAAGGAACCAATGTGCAACGAGGACCACCACAGCAAAGGTGCAAAATTGCCTAATTGCACCAGCAGAGGAAAAGGCAATAACGCCCAGGATGGAGTTATATGATACGACTTTGAGTGTATTAGAGGTTCCAGCACGGCTCAGACCCTCAGCGATGCGCTCTTTGACAGGGAGTGTGATAGATGTGCGGGTCACCGCATCCACGAGATTAAACATATTTTCTGCACCAACGAAGACGATAACGATAGGAAGAAGACTCCTGTTTATGGTAAGCGCTTGTGTAACGATACAAGATATGAAACGTTACCAGGGAACCATGGTCACTTTAAATCGTAGCAATGCGCATACGCTCAGACTGGTGATTGTACTTGCCGCAATCTCAACGAGTGCCGTGAAAGTGAGACCGATACGGGTGTGCACACCGTTCATGCGCTTCATCGACCACGAGACATATGCAAAAAATGCACCATACGCAAGGTATAAGAATGTTGAAATAGATGAAGTTCCCGTGGTCACGGATAAGCTATGGTTGTACTACAGACATTGAGAATATGCACACGAGCCACGAATAGTAATGCACACACCTCCAGCGCGATTAGCTTCGGTTCCGAAGTCACCGCAAACATTTGCGCACTTTCTGGGCTCTCTTGTGTCGAGTTCTTGATAATTTGTAGCCATAGATCATGGCCGGCACTGCTCAAACAATCCGTCTCAGGGAATATATAGGTAAGTGCCAGGAACATTGCAGAGTCAGGGGTATCAGAACTATGTTGTGTGGAATCGCGACCTGCAAGGACCATCGGCGGTGTTACATGCATACCCGCAACTGTGACGCCTTTAGAACGAGTAGCTGTCAGGGAGATGTTCCTATCACTACGCAAACGTTCCTCATCGTGCTCCCAAAAGGAAAGAGGACTGATAACAAAACAGTGACGCGAGTTCAGGTTGTTGCAAGGGACTCCATGATTCAGAAGTCCTTGGAGGATCCGTCCTTCTAGTTGAAGGGTGTAAAGCAAAGGCTGTAGGGAAAGCACCTCTGTTCCATCAGCTGTATTGATGAGAATGCGTTCAACACGAAGTGTACGGTCACTTCCGCAGCGTGCTCGTGTGAGGAAGTCGTCTCGTACTTGAAGGTTGGCATTTTCATCCCAAAGTTGAAGTATGTCACTTTGTGTGTAGCCATCATATACCGCATGGGCAGCGAGGAAAGAATCGAGTGCATTCGATGTAGAATCAAAGCGCGAGTAAGATGGGGTCGACCAGTATATGGCAAGTGCAGGGTAGGACAAGGATGTGATGACAATCGCCGAGATAAGGATGAGACGAACTTGGTGTGTTGCACAATGTCTTGATTCCATCGGCGTCAAACTCGAAGCCAAAATGATTGGAGAAAGTACGCACATTCCGAATCGCCTTAGTGCAAGGTCTGCAAGAGTTCGCATTCTTTGCATAAATGAAGGTCCGAATGAAAAGAAATGCGTCTGCTGGCGAACCATCGAAGGCGATTATGAAGGAGTTTTTGAACCGAGCACCGTCAGTTGCACCTGACAGGCCGCGCCTTGACACCGGTTTCGGGATGATTCGTTACCTGTTCGTTTCCAGGAGTGCGGTAAACTTGAAAATGAGTGAAAGTAGGGTGTTATATACGACTAATACTGGTAGCTAGAATCTGGAGGTTTTGTAGAAGTAGCGACGTTACTGTACTTGACGGGTCAAGGTAGCAATAGTACTCAATTGGTCTCGGATGTAATTTGTAAATGAAAAAGTTGACTACTCCGCATCACACAGCTGCCTGATTATTATGTAAATTGTCATAATGTTTTGCGTAAACCCTGCCGCTGCTACAGTTACACTTCTCACCAATCCAAGTTGTTTGAAACGTTCACGCAATACTCTTACGGGCAGAGAGACCAGTTGGAAGACCAAAGGGCACATACAGAGCACGGGTCGAGACTCACGTGCATGAAGAACTATAACGTTTTAGAATAAGATCCATCAGATTCGTATAATAGATTCGGCTGCAACATTATCATGGGATGCGATATCGGGTTGACTGGACGAGTAAAACTGCGGCATCAATCGCGCGAAGCCCCAAGGTCACCGCAGTGACCAGACATATCAGTATTAGACAGCAATGCAAGCTGCGGGTGGGACTCTCTTACGGAGTCAGGCCCATAAATCAAGTAGACTGCTACCCTCCAAAAAATACAATTCAGTGCCTGGTATATGGGGCGTCCTCAAGCAATACCCTCACAGATCATCGGCTAGCTTTCGTAAGTTGCAACAACCCATTAAACCGCGCGCGATATCCATCAGCGTATAGCAGCATAGTCAGACCATGAACGAAGTCCCTGTCACACAACACCGATTAGAACAAAGAGATAACGGAAACCATAGGAAAGAAGGGACGTACCAGCTCCGCACGAGTGAGCGTATAGGATAGTCCAGCACTTTGGGTATACTGGTTTGCGCAAACGACGGCCAGCGGTCAGTGACAAGTGCTTTAGGGTTCGTAAGTGCACGAAGTCCTTCAGCGCCACCGAACCGTCCATATCCACTGGCTTTAGTACCTCCAAATGGCAGGTCTTGGCTGTGGGGGAAATTAGTGACCAAATTCTGGATATAAACATACTGCTTACTTGAGCTAAAAGTAACATCAGTATTGGAGCAAATTAGCATCGAGACAAAAATGGCTCACATAGTACACCCCGAAATCATTGATAGATACCATGCCACAATGAAGCTCCTTTGCAACTTCAATACACAGGTCCTGATGAGGTCCAAAGACGCTAGCGCCAAGTCCGTACCGCGTTCCATTTGCGATAGTGATTGCTTCATCAATATCGTCATATCGAATGAGCAGCGCAATTGGAGCGAACACTTCATGGATAAACATCAACATCGGCAACTCGAAATATATAGCACAACGATACTTACATTCCACCTGTGCAATTCTCGAATTGGGCTTGACATCACCCACCACCGTTGCCTGAAAGAATGATTTCCCCTCGCACGACGTATGTAGGAGCTCCTTCCCGCCGACATCGACTCCTGCGCCATCACCCTGCGCCTGGAATATCAACTCCTCGAGTACGTTAAACCTGTCGTTGCTGATCATAGAACCACAATCCACAGTGTTGATGTAGCCCTCGCGAGTAGGCGCCATCACAGACCCAAAGCGCAGCTTGGCGACGCGGTCCTTCAGGATATCATATAATTCATCGTATTGTTCCGAGTGCACAATGAGACGCTCAATACCGATGCAATTCTGACCCGAATTTTGGCTGGCACGTCAATTAGTTTGGGAACATATCGAGTAAGCAAGCGCAAAGCTCACAATATACCACGCATCCAAATACTAGACCATTTCTGCAGGTCCGTGTCCGGTAAAATAATAGCAGGGTCCTTTCCGCCAAGCTCGAGAGCAACGGGTGTCAGGTGTTCAGTGGCAGCCATGGCGACCTACGGAGAATTTAAAAACATTACAAATAGACGCTCCAACGTTCTATTCACCTTTCTTCCGACTTCCTCTGAACCAATAAAAGTGATATGCTTAATAAGAGGCGACTTGGTCAAGGCCTCAGCCTGATCAGGCCAACAGCAGACAGTCTGAAATTTGGTTAATATCGTGGTACAAAAATCAAACCTAACCGTACCTGCACGATATCAGCGTCATATCCGAGAACCTCCAAGCATTTGTGAATAGCGCCAACAAACCATTCCGTAGACCAAATAACATGTTCGGATGCCTTGAGTACGATAGCGTTTCCGGCAAAGATAGATGCGATGATTGGTGACCAGGCATTATGAAGAGCTACAATCAGATCAGCCGCTTTATCAATCACGTTACTAAAGAAACACCAACGGTAGTTCCACGATACGATAGCAGCCACCACACCCTTAGGCTCGTAAATGACCTGTGACTTCTTGTAACTCATCATCAGATTCGAATATCTCGTTTCCGTTCGTAGAGCGCGTTCCCCATGATTGATCAACCACTCCAGCTTTGAGCACGTTGACAATATCTCGCCCAAAGCCGCGTCGATCACTACAAGGAATCACTTCGATAATGGCAGAAAATGAAAGCAAAACAACTCACTCGTCTTTCCTGAGTCACGGCACGCGACCCGCGCACATGACTCCTGGTTTTCCACGAGCCACTTCAGTAAGCTGCGCATGACGCGCCTCCGCTCACCAAATGACGTCTCGCACCACTTAACCTGGGCATTTTTCGCGCGTTTGATCTTGGCCTCGATTGTCCGTGCATCATCCGCGAGAGCGGAAGTGAGGTGCAGGTTGTTGGCGGGGTCAAAACACGTGATATATTCGCGTCCACCTCCTCCAAATTGGAGAGGAAGGAGGTCGGGCATCTGGAGATGCGAGCGGAGGTTGGCATTAGGTATCACATGAGAGCGCCAGCTTGGGTTTGCTGCCTGTCAACAAGGGGAGTGAATTTTATCTTCCGTGGGAGAAATATGAAAGAGACACACCTCTGGAGCAGGATGGCGGAAAGGTACTGCGCTGTTGACCGCTTTCTGGTACCTGTCAAACACCAACCATATGCCGAATGCTGAAAACGTGGTGAAGAGGTATAATACATCGACGATGCTAGCATTTGGATCGCCTTCAAGCCATAAGTTGAGCGTGTTTAGCGGATGGAATAAGACATAAAAAAGCGAGTGCATTTCTGCGACGATCAGCGCAGAACCAAGAAGAATTCAAAACTCAAACCAACACGTTCAAAATATAAAGCCACAAAAAAGGCAGATCCTCCATCTCAACACGTGATGTCGGGCCTATTATATTATGTTAGATATTTATAGATACTATTGTGTACTACCCGACCAGCTTAACATTGTATAGGTCTCAAGGAAAATTACATTAGCTGAAATCACAGAGCAACGCTGATAATGATTTGTATTTACGTATGGGTATATCAGACAAAAATTGCAATGCAACGCAACGAGCGGATGTGTAAGGAGTAAAAGTCAGGGTAGAAGTAGTAACGGAAGGGTAGTAATAGAACTCAAACAACACACTTGCGCAGCTGTCGTGAACATAAGCATTAAACAAACCATGTCCGTCAAACAAGTCAAAAATGCGAATCCGTGGTATGTAAGTCGCGTGGCGGTCATATCGGTTCTTTGATGTTACTGCTGGAGTCCTTTTTCCGCTTGCCCTCGCCAATGTTAGCAATCTTCTTCAGCGATGACAGGCTCGACTTGCTCTTCTCATGGGTTTTTGCTTTCTTCGAGGGAGAGTCGCCAGGTCCTGAAGAATTCACAGACATAACATCTGCTACTGGGTCGGAAACAGTCTCGTCTGTGGGATTGGTATTTGCAATACCAGAGGAGCCTCCACCGCCGACTAACCGGATGGTCGTGCCAGGTTCTTGAGCATCCTCTTGCGAACGCCGCGAGGTAACAATGGACTCTGATAATCCAGAAGCCTCTAGTTCTACCACTGCATTAGTGGGGGTCGAGGGTTGCAGTGGAACTGCATCCATGACAGGAGCAGAGTCAGCAAGGAGGTCAGTGACGTTTTCCACCGAAGGGATTGGCGTCTCTATATGCACGCCATCTGCCGTGGAAGTGACCTGTTCGACAAGAGTCTCCATTTTTGCAGGAGGAGAATGTCTAGGAGGAACTCTAACGATTACCACGTCTGTTGGTATTGCCCGCATGCCGAGGCCACGGCCCGCTTCGAGGTCCTCGTTAGACGAGCGTTGTGAATCTGGCGGTGAGGGGAGAGGGACGACATCGTTGACAGTCGGTAAGTCTACGGGCAACGGAGCTGGGGGTTTAGTGGTGGAGATAGCGGGAAAGGGTGGCTGTGGTATAACATTGGTAGTTTCTTCTGTGAGCTTCAAGTCCGTAAAAACGGGTATAGGAACGATTGCATCGGAGTCAACGAGGTTCAAAACGCCGAGACCATGTCTCTCTCGTGCCTATAATCAATATGTTAACTGTAGACTTTACCAATAAGAGCAATGATGGGTACCTTGCCCTTTTTCTCATCCAGCGACGAAGAACCATGAATCAAACCTGATTCATACCATTTCTTAACGCTTCGGTCAGCCCACGCCTCCATTGGATTCAACCCTCTATACTCTCCGGTGAGTCGCAGTCCCCCCGATCCGGCCTCCCCACCACCATCGCCTTGCCCCCGCCCGCTGCCATCAAAGAAGTATGCCTCATACCCTAAGTCATCCTCACTGCCTTCGCTCTCTCCTCCCTGTCCCAGCTCAAAGCCCTCGCCACTCTCTAGTTCATCGACGAAATTTGCGAGCCACCGCGCCCACCCACCAGGTCCGTCCCCATGCCAAAGCACTATCTTTGTGTCAAATTCGCGTCCGAAGACGATTACCTGGCCCACGGTGCCACTCTTGTCAGGGTTGAGGTCGATGCCGATATAGTTGCCTGCCTTATCTACGACGAGTGGGATCCAACCACGCTGCGAGTACTCTTTCCGCACATAGCCGTCAGGTATAGACCGCATGATATCGCGCAGACGTGGATTACTTCCCGTCTGAGGGTCATCATCGACTTCGCGCCAAAACCGCCATTCCTCAAGGACAGCTTCGAGAGGGAGTAACGAGAGGCCAAAGAAGAGGCCATCTGAGCACCCCGCTGATGATTCTGCTTCTTGTCCGTCTACGACAAGATACGACTCCCTTACCGCCTGCGGCAGTGCAAAACCAAATTGCATCTCAATTTGTGCGAGGTCCTGTGGAAGGATTCCGTAGTTGAGAGTATCGCCTAGTTCTGGGTATTCACGAGCCAACCATAGTTTTAGGCGATTCCAGGTATGTTCTAATGGAGGGTAAGGCGGTGGTGGGGTTATTGAGTCTGCAAAGGGCGTGTGATGAAGAGGAAGAAGTGAAGTTGGTCGTGAGCGAGAGCTGGAGGTTAACGGGGGTCAGTAATTGCATTGAAAACAAAGTAAGAATGGACGAACGGAGTCGGTACATAACTGTATGCAGAAATTGGGGATTGCGGTGGATATGTATATGTTGGACTGAGTTGTCCTGGTGTCTGAAGAGCCGCTGGGTTGAAAGCGTCTGGATGTCGCCCATGACCCGATGACGAAGTTGGGAGTGAGAAGGCCTCTTGTGTTGTCGACATGGCTTGTCCTCGTCGTACAGATTGTTTACGGTCAGTCGAGAACAGTGAAGCGAACCAATTCATTGTTCGTCGTCGTCGCCAAGACACACAGTCCGCAAGTCAACCCAAGTGCCAAGTGGTGTTTGTTATAAGACAGTTGCTAACCCTCGCAATTGGGAAATAGATTTTCGCGTCTATTTCTGTCCTATGTGTAAGTAATGTGCCACATTGATGTTTTTACTGCGCAATGCGAAGCGACGGCCTCTTACATATAATTGTTTTAATACAGTAATCATCCCAAATATATGTAAAAAATTTCAACCGTACATGTACCCAAGGCGCTCGCTTGGAATGCCCGTGGAGAACGGAATTAATGTGTGATTGTATCATATCAGACATCGAAAGTGCAAGCCTATCATATACCATCAATACGAACTTACATCTGCCCAAGGTTGTCAGAGACCTTGAAGTCACAGGCCGTTTTCGCTTGTACCTCCTCCACCGTCACACCCTTGGCCACTTCCATGAGCGTCAGGATGCCGCCAGACCTGTCAACGTTGAACACAGCAAGTTCGGTAATAATCTGGCTGACCGCCCGTGCACCAGTCAGTGGCAACGAGCAATCCTGCATGATTTTTGGACCTCCATCTTTTGCACAGTGTTCCATGGCCACAATGACCTTCGTCTTATCAGGATTTGACACCAGGTCCATGGCTCCGCCAATCCCTGCAGGTGTCGCATGAGTCTAGGTACGGATATGATGCTAAATCACATGCCCTTCACAAGCTTGCCTGGAATCATGAAATTTGCGATATCGCCAGCTTGCGATACTTGCATGGCCTAAAAAAATGCTTATCATAAAAAAGTTCCCACAACCAACCAAAATGAAACATACGCCAAGGATGGCGACGTCCATGTGACCACCCCGGATCATACCAAATGAATCAGTCGAATCTATGTGGAGCACGTTAACACGCGCCTACCACTCATGCGATGACATCACTCACCAAAGATCGAAGCGCCCGGCAGCAAAGTGACCGTCTCCTTTCCAGCATTCGTGATGTCCCTGTTAGCTTACCATCAGCACTGATTTCATTGGAGCACATAACCAACGATACCCACGGATCGACCTGATCCTCGGTGGGGAACGGACCCATTCCCAGGATGCCGTTCTCACTTTGTAGCCAGATCTTGACGCCCGGTCTGAGATACTCTGTGACGAGGGTGGGAATGCCGACACCAAGGTTCACGTAAAAGCCATCTCTGAGCTCCTGTGCTGCGCGCTTTGCTATTCTGCGCCGTGTGCTCTTTTCGAGGAGCTCCTCAGGTGAGGAACCACCAGTAGTTCCGGGTGGTGGAGCAGTGGTAATTATATCAAAACCTTTTGGCTCAGTGGCCTGCACAACACGGTCAACAAATATTCCTGGGACGTGAATTGCATTTGGTGGCAATGAGCCAATGGGGACAATCTCCTCTGCCTAGAAGCGCGATAAGCTTCGTGCCAAATAGTTACCGCATCATCCTTACCTCAGCGATAACTAACTGCGCATTCCTTGCCATGGCGTTATTGTAATTGTTTGCGACATGTCGGAACATGAGGTTGCCCGCCTCGTCTGCCTTCCATGCGTGGATGAACGCGACGTCGCCGGCGATGGCAGGCTCCATAATGTACCGTTTTCCATTGAATTCTCTGTATTCCTTTTTGTTTCCCGGTATCAAGATTCCTTCTTTGAAACCGCCTGCTTTAAATCTGATGGGAATACCGCCAGTTTCGACGGTCGTGGAAGCACCTGTGGGTGTGAAGAAGGCGGGAATGCCTGCGCCGTGCGCACGCATCCGTTCGACGAGGGTACCTTGCGGAACCAATTCGAGGGACATCTTTCCATCAAGATACATTCGCTCAAGGTATTTGTTTCTGAGCGAGTGATGAGCACATGAACCCATATGCAGAAATAGCACATACCCGCCAAGGTATGATATTATGAGCTTGTCAAGTTGCCCGCTTTTCATTAGTTTGACTAGTCCATCAGAATCGGTGAGATACCACTACTTGATGCAGAAAAACGAACCACTTACCTAGACCCAAATCACTTGAACCAGCATTGTTGGACACAGCAGTCAAACTGTGCACGTCGTGTCGCCGTGAAAGAGCAGTGAGCAAAGTTTCTGTGGGGCGATTATAAAACATCCTTCTTTGGAACTGGTGGGCGATGAACTTACCAGGAGTACCACATAAGCCGAACCCTGCCATCGAATGAAATCACATCAACTCCAGTCAAACTGCAATGATACAGACATACCTCCGCTCAGTACAATGTCCCCAGACTTCACATCTTGCACAGCAACATCTGCAGATGCCCATACTTTCTTCCGCTGGACTGCAGCAGACTCAGGCTGCGTCGCATAATGTCTTATATAGTACAACCGGGAAGATGGTAGACCCTTGCATCGTCGAAAAATTTGCGTACTATGCGTAGGATGGAGGAGAGCAGGACCCATAGGTGCCAAACTTCAGGTCCCAGGTCAGAGAATTAGAGGAATTTGGTCGTGGTTGACCGGGTGAATGCCATCCATGTCACGAGTTGAATCTCTGTCCCGACGCGTCGGTACTCCGCCTGTCGAGCCAATGGACAGTCGCAAAGCCCCCATATGCGGGCAGCCTCGGTAGCATGTATTTCCGACGTCCGTCCCATCATGGTGAAACAAATTGACGGTTCCTGATTAAAGTCTAATCAGCTGAGTCGGCATCATATTCCGAAATTCTGAATTTGGCCCAATTTTCAGAACCCTTTTTTGCTTCGATCGTCATGTCCTATACGAGGTAATGTTAGCTGGGCGACAGCTATTAAACTCGCCCAAGTCTTTAGGTGGTACAATAACAATTTTTGTAAGGAAACGATGGTAATAGTGTTTTCTCGATGATAATAACCTTGAAACCCGAGAACGATCAAAGCTTGCTCAGATCGCTCCGTACCTTGAAATCGCAGCCAGTCTTCGCCCTGACTTCTTCGAGTGTTACGCCTTCCTGGAGTTCAACAAGCTCGAGGTAACCATTTTTCCTGTCGACGTCGAAAACGGCCAACTCCGTAATAATTTGACTGACAGTACGGGCACCCGTGAGCGGAAGAGTGCATTCCTTCAAAATTTTAGGACTGCCGTCCTTTGCACAGTGCTCCATCACAACTATAACCTTTGTCTGGTCTGGGTTGGATACCAGGTCCATAGCTCCTCCGATACCTAACAATGTGATCGGCGGTGAGAATGCTGTATTGAAAAAACCTTGTCTGAATCACAAACCTTTGACCAGTTTTCCGGGAATCATGAAATTAGCGATGTCGCCTGCTTGCGAGACTTGCATAGCCTATGAGAGAAACCAGAATAGTGAGACCATCCAGAAAGTCAGCGAGTACACAAAAATCCTCACACCGAGAATGGAGAGATCGACATGACCACCGCGGATCATAGCAAATGATTCACTTGAATCTGCTCACAGTGTAAGTTAGCAATTAAAGTTGAATCAAGCGACAAACATACCAAAAACAGAGGCACCTGGCAGCAAGGTCACAGTCTCCTTGCCGGCATTGATGAGATCCCTGGAAATAGATGCTAAGTATGAGGAAACACACCCTGGCGGCGCAACTTACGGATCCACTTGCTCTGCCGTAGGATATGGCCCCATGCCGAGAATACCATTCTCGCTTTGCAACCAAACACGCACACCGGGTTCGAGGTACGCGGGAATGAGAGTAGGTATGCCAATACCGAGGTTTACGTAGAATCCATCCTTGAGCTCTTTGGCAGCGCGCTTAGCAGTACGATGACGCATCTTCTGTGCGAATTCTTTCTCAGCACTCAGAGTGGACTGTTCAGCAGAAGATGATGGGCTTGGCGCAAGCTTGATATGCTCTATTTGCTTTGGTGCAGTAGACTGAACGATCCGGTCGACATAGATGCCAGGGACGTGGATGGCGTTTGGTGAAAGAGAACCAGTAGGGACGATTTGGTCCGCCTACAAAGAATGCATCAACTTTCTCACCAAAATACTGTGATTTACTCACCTCCACTATCGTAAGTTTGGCATTCTTCGCCATGACCGTGCTAAAATTCTGTTGGGTATACCTACCCAAGTCGTGGACACGTTCGGCGCTGACGTAAACGTACAAAACAAATGGCCTTCCTCACCGGAAAACGCAGTTGCCAGCCTCATCAACTTTCCACGCACGAACGAAAGCGACATCACCAGCAATGGCCGGTTCCATGATATACTTGCGACCTCCGAATTCTCGCGATTCTTTCTTAATACCTGGTATCTTGACTCCATTGGCAAATCCTCCTTCGTTGTACCGTGTTGGGATAGAACCATCTTCTACTGCTGTTGATGCTCCCGTAGGAGTAAAGAAGGCCGGGATACCAGCTGCATGGGCACGGAGACGTTCGACGAGAGTACCTTGGGGACACAGCTCCAAAGACACCTCGCCCTTGAGATATAGAGCCTCGAAAGCCTTATTTCTGAACAGATAGATAATTTATCTCGTGCCAGCCTCAACAAAATGCATCACTCACCCTCCAGGGTATGAAGCGACGACCTTATCAATCTGCTTGGTGTTGAACAATTTTCCTATGGATATTCATGAGGTTCACAGACGATGGACAGTTGTGGAAAACAAACCAAGTCCAGAGTCGCCTGCGCCAGCATTGTTGGAAACTCCTGTTAGCTTTGTAACGTCCTTGCGCTTGGCCAAGGCAGAAAGAAGTGTGTCTTGTAGTATCCTAGCTGAGTTACACCGCTCAAGATCCAGCCTCTATCGAGACTCACCTGGCACACCAGCCAAACCGAAACCTGAATGCCGATGGTATATTACATTTGGTATAAAAACGAAAAGTTACGATACTTACCGCCACACAGAAGAACATCTCCTGATTTCACATCTTTAACTGCCTCATCAGGAGATTCCCACACCTTCGACCTCTTTTGGAGCGCGACGGTACTAGACCATCTTCCTCTGAGGAAGATGGTCGCACGGGGTTTGAAAAGGACTGGGACGAGCGTCGCTCGCGAGGCGTATGTGGCCAGCATTGGACTCATTTTTCAATTTTTCCGAGTTGAAACTTATAACATTGATATTTCGGAGGTGAGCTCCGAAACGTCCCATCCGCTGCGTCGGTGCTAACTTCCGATATATCGCGAGAACGACAAATATTGACCTGAAACATTCTACTGGCTTACTGCAAATCCATCAATCTCCGTACAACCAGCTAAGCACACCAAAGCTCAGTACAAGGCACATACCAGCAGTCTACAAGGAGAAGAAAAAGAAAAGACGACTCCCACAGCTGAAGATGTACACCGCCGCAAAGAGGTTGCTCAACTTCTTGACGAAATGAAGGGCGACCAGCTCATCGCTACTATCTCTAAGACGATCCTCTTCCGTGCCATCTCATGCTCTGCTCGCTATAGCCTAGGTCGGCGTAAAGTTTCGAACTTTTATAACCAAACCACGCAGCATAAATTCGTACTCATTGCCATAGTTTTCGTCTTCCGGATCGACGCTGAACAACAATTCGGCGCTTCAATGAGATAATCTCTACTCTCCCTCCGTATGCTTCTCTGGACTTCTGCATCGCTTTCCTGGCCCCACTTCACGATATGTCAATTACAGTCAATAGACATCCATGCCATAAACTTCAACCCGAATGACCGAATGTCAGGAGAGTATAACAAATCTCAGACTTGAGCCCGCTCCCCTGCGTACTCCGACGTGTCTCTGCCCGTTGTCGAAACCCAGCCGCAGCATGCAGTTGCTTCATTCGATTATAGGCAAGACATGTTACAGTAACATAATGTTCCTGCCAAGGGGTTGGACTGCTTGCGGTGGTCCGGTGAGCAGCAGATCGTAGAGCCACGGTTCTCTGCCTACTCAACTGGCATCCAGGATTTATTCCCACTGTCTGGCGTTATTGATACGCATGCACCCTCCATCATGTTCGATGATCATTTGTACTGATCGTCTCAGCTCGGCGCATATCTTCATCCCGCATCTCCATCTGCACGATCTATCACTGTAAATATAGCTATTCCTTTTACGCATCCACCCTTGTGTGAATATCGTTTTTATTGTCTTATATGCTTGTATACGATCAACTCCAGCAAATATGGACCTCACTGATTCTACATCCCACCCATTTTGTGATGACTTTGTAGGTGTCAGTATCCCACAATATCACTCCACCATCATTACTTCCGCTGGCCACTTTCTTCCCATGTGAAGATAACGCTATGGTTCGAACTCCGTTATCTTTGTCGTGCCCCGCAAGCCGTCTCTTGATTGTAAAGATGCAGCGCACAGTTCGTGGTGATTGGAATAGGCTATGACATTTTGCTGGAGGTTGACGGGGATCTGCCAGAATGGGATATCGTACCCAATCGACAGTCGGTGCTTTCCAGTGCTCGAATCTGACCATCTATCCTGCGTTGACCGGCTACTCCAGCACACCACCTTGTCGGTCCTTCGAACGCATCCATATAAGCCAAAATTCTCCATTCTGGTGTCTTCAAACTCGTCATCAGCTTATTCGAACCATACCTAGACACTGACGGACGCTCTTCAACCTGACTCGGAGGATGCAATTAGACACTCCCTATGAACCAAAACCTAACTGCATTAAATGTATTCGATACGTTGTGACTGACCTCGCTGCTTTCCCCTGTATTATTGATTATACTCCATCATGAGATAGATCCGATCCAGCTCTCTCTCATGTCATTGTTGACAGTATGACGAACCTTGGGGTGCTCTTTAAGTTCGTGCCTGTAAAGCGATCCAAGCCTAGAACACTCTTCGCGAATAACCTGGAGATTGAGGCCGATAGCTTGTCTGTTGTAGAAGATAACGCCGCAGAACAACATCCTCTCGAAATACCATCTGTGGTTCTACCTTGGTTCTGCATCGTGACATGTTCCTGAAACAATCGTGCTGGTCGCTCGGAAGTCAACATACCCAGGGCCGGATGAAAATCCAAGTTCATTGGAATCCTTGATGCGTCTAGTTACAGTGCAGTGTGTCCAAACCAGTAGGGGTAGCACAGCGGCCAGTGGAACGGAAGTTGCTATGGGCGGCCATCACACTGCGCAGTGACTGCGCAGCTCTGCAGGTTCCTTCAAGTTCGGTACACACGAGTAACTTTTTTACATGTATTCAGACAACCTGAAAGCAGGCTAGTTTAAACTTTAACGGCAATGTAGAGCACTGGGACCTACCTTCAACTATGTTCGTCGGCCGAAACCCAAATACGCCGAGCGCTAACCAGGCTGTCAGTGGCTGAAGCGCTGATGGCACGAGTTGATGGCGCATGACTTGGCTAGGTATGATCCATTTTGGGGCATGACGACACATGTCGTCAGACTGCGTTGGACTTGGGGGTCATGTACCCAGCACTGCGTATATAAGCAAAACCCCTCTTGCTCCTTACTCTCATCCTCGTAAAGCAAACCACAACGTTCACAAAGAATATCTGAGACCAGAATTAACATGTCAGGCAGATGGACAGACGACATCTTGCTCAAGGTTTGTGGTTTCTCAGGCTTTAGCCTGATTATGTCGAACTCACCTGAAACTGTTTCAACAACTAGATTACAAACATCATCGTTTACTTCCTTTTCCTTGGTTCCAACGTTTACACAGTAGCGGCACCTCATGATATTTATTTCACTGGCAGGGAGACATACATAACCCCTGCTCCATGGGCCTTTTTGATTTGGTATGCTGTTGTCTGCCCAGCCTAATAACCAATACTTATATTACTCTTAGGTCTCTCATCCACCTGCTCCTTCTGGGTACTATCATCTACCAGTTCACCGCCCCTGGCAAGAAGGTAATAATCGATGGTATTTCGTGGCGTTTCCCTCTCCTCGGCGTCCTGAACGCGATATACGTACATTTATGGGCATCCCAATACTATATACTAGCATTGGTCTTCGCTTTGTTCGTAAGCAGTTCTATCTCCGTAAGTTCTTCTCGTTTGCTTTATGGTATTCAGAACGTCACATCTTTCATATAGCACATCTACTACACCGTGAAGAAGTTCCACTTACCTGCTAACATCGGTGACGAAGTCTTGGTCCACTTGCCTTTCTCCCTTTACCATGGGTGGACTACCGTTCTCATTATCCTCACCGCATTTGAAGCATTCGGCGTCGACGCGGTTACTCAACCAGCCGGTGTTTGGACCAAGGTTTTCGTATTCCTTGCTTTGTACGTGAATACTGTTCTCGTGATATATCAGAATCCTCATGTCGTACAGGTTCTTCCTCGAGGCGACTGCGGCCGCATATGCCTTCTCCAGCCCTGAGGGTGACGTTTCTGCCAGCTTTGCGATAATGTGGTCGCTCTTCGCGATCTTTGCTCATCAAGATGTTCACCGCTCGGGATTCATTCATTGGGCTGCACTCGCGTTTGCATTGCTCTCTGCGTTCTGGGTTTTCGTGGGCATCTTTGGCACGTACAAGCGGTACAGGGGTGGCTCAATCATCTTGGACGAAGAGCGTGCGCCACTCGTTGGCAGTGAAAACTGAAACGTCCTTGAAAAGAGATTGAGAAGGAAGGACGAAGGTGAACCCAAATGGCTATTGAATATGTCCTCTTTTTTGACATTGACACAACAAGGTCTTCTAATCTAGTCTTTATTTACTTCTGTCATGAACACTTATGGGACTGTGTCTTGCATGGTTAGTGCTGTTGTCGTTACATATGGGTCTTACTGCAGTTCGCTGTACATCTATGCGCATTAACAACGTATTATTGATTAAAATTGCAGTCAGTCTTCTCAAGTTTTCAAACTCAATGATGGTGGTATAAGTGGGCAGTAATACATTGTAACCCAAACTACGAGCATATTGTAACATATGTTCTACCAAAACGAATAAAGCGTTCAAGAGACATGAATAGCTTTGACAGGATGTTCCCATTGCGATTAAAATTGAGGAGGGCAATGACAATGATTATCAGTGAAGAGGGAGGAGGAGGAATATCCGTGCACTACGTCTGCTCCCCGGCCTTTCTACCCTCATGTAAAAATATTTTATAATAGGCCTCGTAGAGACCCCCCGCCCACTACCGTCATCGACAAGAGTCATCGAAATCAGGGCGGCCCTATCGACAAACGGTGCAGTGCGAGACGGAGTGTGACTAAGTCAGGAAGATGACGAAGCCTCGAGGAGACAACATTAAGGTTTCCTAAACTCGCACAGCACAGTATAGATGGTGTTGAACGCGGTATAAATCTCTTCCCTGACCTAGCGGAGAGGAGAAGAACAACAAGTGTCAGCGGAGGGTTCGAACCAGATCCACCAACACGCAGGTCTCATCTTGGAATAATCCAAGAATCACTGACGCAAGATAGAACAAAGATCTTTACCTTCGCACCAGTCAACACTATCTTCCCTGATACGAAGATCAATAACACGACCTTCGGCTTGAGCATGCGATAGATGAGACCAGGGAACAACTAAGAACGTGTAAGCAAATGAAGGTCTCACATTACATTTACATACCTCAGGCTCGTAACTGCTAAACTGTCCGTGGCTATACGCAAGACCCTCCAAGCGAATGGGGAACTTCACATCACAACTTCCGACTATGTTTTGGATCTTGAACTCGGCAAACTTGGCGTCGAAGCCAAGCTTTTGCACGATGCGCGCGTACTTGCGCGACGCAAGCCTTGAGTCATCTTCACTCTTCGCGCCCGTGACGACCATCTTGCCCGAGGCGAAGATAAGTGCGGTTGTCTTGGGATCACGAATACGCATGATGACAGCTGCAAAACGCTATCGTGCAAAGCGCATTGGCGTGCAACGACAGGTAGTTAAACACTAGTACCAACCTTAGGGTTATACTCTGCATTCCGGGCGTGCAGTGCAATGGTCTTGAGGTCAAGACGACAATCGAGGTTAACTGTCGCAACAATATTTTGTAGTGTGGGTACGATGCCCTCCACGGCCGTGATATGCTGTTGCTCAAGTGTGAGAGGGGCCGGAGTGGCGGGTACAGCGTTGACCGGTGGCGTCGAAGGACCTGCCACAGCCGCTGATGTTGTGCCATTGCTGATTACCGTTGTCGCATTTGCAGGCTGGGGTTGTGAAGGAGGAGGAGTATGTGATTGAGACAGTGGCGATGGACCCGGAAGCGCAAGATTCGATGGCGCAGGAAGACTATAAGCACTAGCACCGGGTAATGCTAGCCCATGATTAGGTTGAGCAGCTTGGAGTTGAGAGGGTTGACTTGGTTGTTGGTAAGGCGCAGCAGACCTGCCGAAGGTGACCTGACGAGCGGGAAGTGCGAAGGACATTCTTGACAATAGGAAAGACAACAAAAATTTGTTCTTCTAAGTTCGTGGGAAATCTCGGCGGGGAGAAAAATTGCGTGAAGGGTCGTGGTCGAGGCTATTATATATACCTTTCAATTTTAAACTCCGACCATGACTCAGGTCTGATTTCCTTTCGACGTTTCTCTTCCTCTTTCTTCCATCATAAAATCCATCACTTATGATCCGGGCGCGCTACCTTGTATTTTCCCTTCATCCTTGAAGCTTGAACGCACAAGGTGGATACCGATGCAAACATCTCCTTATGCTTTATTCTGAATGAGCAGGGATACCTTTGGAATGCACTTCAAAGCTAGTCATGGGCCAAGCGCTCATCGTTTGTGGCGTGTAATATTCCAGAACCTTACCCGAACAGGCAATATTATTCTCACGCCCGTGTAACCATGATGTGTGCGTGGCAGCACCGCCTAGCAGTGCAGTCCTGATTTAGGATACGACTGTACGAGACTGCTAGTATGTCTCATCTTCCAGTCTTACAGGGATTGATGTTGTTCAGGATCATCCTAGGCAGTGTAAACCCATCCTGTATCCTTTGCACCGCCTTACGTCCTCTCGAGTTCATCTTTGATCAACTCGTCAATCTTGACATAATGGATACGGGATGTTACCAAATACCTACCCAGTAGCATCTCATCACGGGTGTACATGCCCTGTCATTGTATGATTGTATACGTGCGGATCAGCACTTCTCCGCAATGTATGTCGTGTGGAATATGATTTTCATCAAAGCTGCATGCACCCTCCTCCCTAAGAACGCTTATCCAGACATTACAGAAGCATGTTATAGTCAGTCTTTAAATTTCTTCCATCCCCGATGTGGTCTAACGAGAGGTGATCGATTGATCAGGTATGTATTGTACATATTATATCGTTCCACCGTTGAAATTTGTTCTGCCAGTAGAAGTGTAAGTAATACAATGGCTTTTGGCTAACCATCCCCACCGTGACCGGCTAGGTCAACGGTGGTCAAATGTCCTCTTCTACTGACACGACTTCTTGGGAGAATACTATGTCCGAATCGGATTTTGATTCGGAGACACTACGTCTACGATGAGTCGCGGTCCTGTAGATATAGGTTGTAGCCACCGAAAGATTGCATGCAACGAGCGAAACCGCGAGCTGATTATCTTGAATATGCAGTCAACCAAAGATGCCCTAACGCGCAATCCATACCTCAAGATCGATCGCAATCCTCAAGATACCCCCTAAATGCTCGAGTTGGCAAACAGCTCGGAAAACGGAGACGATCGTTACAATGATACTGGCCGATAATGCTGCTAGTACAATCATCCGTTCCTTCGCTGGAAGCTTTATGCCCCACAGAAGATGCAAGGCGAGTAATGCAATGATCACATCAGAAACTGCAACCCGCTGTTGATATCATCATAGGTGATCAGGATGTGGTTCAGACCGAATGATTTACTTATTAACTCGAAAATGATCATGGAATGGGTCAAATGCGCATGTACTTGCCCATTCTTGTCGGGGTGATGGTGCCAATCAAGATGGTGGCCATATTGCCAAGCTTTCTGCGTAACTAACGCGCCATACAATACCAGGAAAACGCAGGCTATTGTAATGGCCGTTGAGCGCAAGGGACTCACTGACCAGAAAAGCCGTGCCACAGAAAACAGAATGCTTTGCCGGACTGCCCTGGTTTATCATTTGCATATGCTCAGTGAGCAATGCTAATGAACATGAGAGGATGCGCACCAGATCGTTGACAGCAAGGCGAGCCCGTGCACCCAGAAACATATGACTGCCAACTGACTGCCATCTATTATGTAAAGATAGGTGTTAATCATATCAGTGGGTAAAATCACGTTGCCCACCAGTCGCGGCATAGATGGATATACATCCAGCGATCAATGAGGTCTTCAACGTTCGTCATCATTGCGATATAGCACAAATACAACAAATTGCACTCACCACCCCGCATACAAGCGCTGCGACAGCCCACATATCCTCCACCCAGAACATATGTGTCCGCCCACGATATCCAAGCCGTAGGATGGTAACCAGAACAGCCAAGACCTGAAGGGTAGTGCAAAGGACTGAAAAGCGTTTGAATGACTAGAATGTCTGTAGGAATGTTCGACTTTACCGCTCGACGTTGTCTGTGGCATAGTGGCGTACACTGGACAGTAATGTAAGCAATCCAGCTCGAGACTTAAATAAGCACAAACCTGAGGTAACTTAACAAGACATGGCAGGTCAGTAACGTCATGATAACCTTCATTTTGTTGATCATCAAGGTTGTCCGCCAAGTGGTCTATGTGGATCCCAACTTAGTACCTGGATGCCTCGATTGTCATCAATGCTGTGTTGCTTGACAGGAAATCACTCTTTGATGGTGAAATGATCATGCATTCTCGGTCGTTTTGCGGGAAAGCTAATTCATCCCAGCCAATCACATACGAGCCGTTTGAAGCTCTTGAAGATCAACTAAGTTGTGGGTGCCTGTACTACTACTTAGCGCGATTACGTGCTAATTCATGAAAAAGTTGATTGGGAAATCTGCCAAGTAAAGTATCTGTCGATACGGCTTGGATTCAGGGAAGGAAAGAAAAGTATCAGGCTGCCTTGGAGAGCAATGATGATATTACATGTAACTTGCCACCCACTTATGTCATCTTGGATAGACTTATTAGCGCAGACTGATATCAGAAAAAATGGTATTGCCCTGCTTCGATTACATGTCATCGAAATTTCGGAAGGTAAACTAAAATTCAACATTAGTTAAACAGTATCAACAGTCTTCTCGCCTTGGAATGTAGATCGAATCCTGGAACTTCTCTGCTCATCACTTCCTGAATTGGCATTGTCCAAGTCGACAGTAGTAAAAACCCCACCCGCAGTGGTTCGCGTCGTGTAATCATCGTCATCGACATCGATGGAGACTGAGTCGTCCGCACCTGTGAAACCAAATCTGCGGTACAGGAAAGTAACTACGACAAGAAGGTTGCAAACAAGAAGCGACAAGGCTGTCTAGTAAGTTCAACACTCAAATCCAAGTGCCCCTAGAAGAAGATATTGGCCGTACCTCAAAGTCTGTCGTCGTGGCAATAACGGTAGTGTATTTCAGTATCTGACAGATTCCCCGAAAGATGGATATGATGGTGACGATGACGTTGGAGGAGAATATGGCGAAGATCATCCTTTTCTGTCTTTTTGGCAGTTTGAGACTCCAGAGCAAGCGCAATGGCAAAATAATCAGTATGGTGTCGGATAAGCAATCAGCTTAAAAGATGCATGAGTTCAAGTCGTGTAAGAGCCGCGAGAAAGTCGCACTCAACAGTTCAAACACGTGCATGGGTCGCGTCATGAGTGCATGCGCCTTTCCAGTTGCTTGATAGCAAGAGATGTTGTGCCTATACTGAAACACTTTTTGTGCAATAAGTCCTACCCACAAACCGAGGAAGAGAACTGCAAGACCCAGTATGATGCGACGGATGTATTGCGTTGTGTACACAATGCGAAGGATGGAGAACAAGATACTTTGCCGGACAGCCCTATTTGCCCTTGAGAGTCGATAGTGCAGATTTGAACACGAAAGTACTCACCACACGACGGAGGGGAAAGAAATCGAATATATCCAGAACGATATAATTTCTTCTTCACCCACTGCAGACAGGAGTTCAATGATGAGTAGGTGATGTGCTCATGCGGACTGCATTTACCTGCTTCAACGTAAATCCAGGTAGAAATCAACACGGCTATCCCGCATAGAAGCGCAACACCTGCCCAAGCATCTTCGAACCCAAACCTTCTCAGCCATATACGATAGGCAAGTCTAAAAATTGTCAACACCACCCCCAAGACCAGCAACGTAGTCGTGACGGCTGCAGGAGGGTCAGTGAAGCTTTTATACCATGCAAAATGTTACCTCTAAGATTCACGAAGGTCGACCAAGAAATCACCAGTGCCATGAGATAAATGAAAAAGAGGGGGTGACACCCCAGACAGGTTGAAGGACTGCATTTATCTAACGAACTCCAAGTTTGCAACCCCGCTTGGTAACAAGGACGCGATACTGCATCCCTGAATCTGTAGCATGTTGCGTAACGCTGGTATCACTGGTAGTGACGTTTGTCGACCCTGATTGTGAAAGGCATTGATCTTTTTCAAGTCTCGTCCGACGAATCTTACGGAACGTCTGGTTCGAGACTAGTACTGAGTACAGCATGCTACTGCGATAAGACCCTTATCAACTTGAAGGATTATCATCGAAAGTAGTCACGACTCACATTGGCATGATATATGGCGATGTATGTCCGCAAAACGTCAAAGGTGCAAACCTATGCAAGCCCAGGCTGTCGAACCGTGCTCGTTCACAGGGTAGCGAACCTGAAATTAGCTCACTTATTCGGAACCTGCAGTGTGATCATCATATGGTGATGCAGTCACTCTCTGAGATGAGCCTCTCGGAAACGAAGGAACGCCGACTGGAGAGTGGTGTACACTTGGTGGCTTGAAGTTAGTCTATTTTGATCTTTGATCCACGTGCACTTTCGGCGATTAGATATCCACGTGGCTGAGATAATCGAGTCACTTGCCGTGCCAGTGCTCTTAAATACCAGTGAAATAGCTCAGCGCTCAACTGAGCTCAGTCATATCTTGTCAAATGTCCGCCTCTCAACCCACTACCATCCCACCCGAGGCTCACGAACAATTGGTAACGCCGTGGGATGTACAGGGCTCAGTATCCGCTGATGGCAAGCAACTTGCGATCGACTACGACAAGTTGATTGTCCAGTTCGGGACGCGCAGAGTTGATGCAGAACTTCTGGAGCGGTTCGAGAAATTGACAGGACATAAGCCGCATCCGTTGCTGAGGCGGGGAATGTTTTTCTCGCATCGGTGAGTGCAGTGCAGTTCAGCTGATGAGTCCCTTGCAATTAGGTTGATTTTGTTACGCTGCCATAGAGAATTTGACAAGATTTTAGATCGGTATGAACAGGGAAAACCTTTCTTCTTGTACACGGGACGCGGCCCAAGTAGTGATAGCATGCATCTCGGGCATATGATACCATTCCTCTTTACCAAGTGAGTCATTTGCGCATGTCTATAATTGGCCTAACAGTTTTTGCAGATGGTTGCAGGATGTCTTTGATGTCCCACTGGTTGTCCAGCTGACCGGTGCGTATTTCGTCATCTCTATTTCATTGCTCGCTAACCCAGTGAACAGATGACGAGAAATTTTTGTTCAAGCACGAACTAAAAGCTGAGCAGACGCTACAGTTCTCAAAGAGCAACGCAAAAGACATCATCGCGGTGGGATTTGATGTCAAGAAGACATTTATCTTTAGCGATTTCGAATACGTCGGCGGACCATTTTACCGCAACGTCGTCAAAATATCAAGGCAAATATCATACAATCAATCAAAAGCTACATTTGGGTTCAACGACTCGTAAGTCTCATTCGTCCTTTATCCAGGATGGCCAGCATATTTTTCAACAGGGACAATATTGGCAAAATCCATTTCTGCGCCGTTCAAGCAGCCCCGTCATTCTCTAACTCGTTCCCTCACATATTCGGCGAAGTTTCTAATATCCCTTGCCTCATTCCCTGCGCGATAGACCAGGATCCATACTTCCGGCTTACCCGTGATGTCGCACAGAAACTCAAGTACCCCAAACCATGCCTCATTCACTCCCGTTTCTTCCCTGCTCTACAAGGACCTCAGACGAAGATGAGCGCATCGGATGCGACCTCAAGTATATTCATGACAGATACCCCGAACCAGATCAAAAATAAGATCAATAAGCATGGCTTCTCTGGTGGTAGGGAGACGGAGGAGGAACACAGGAAACTTGGAGGTGATACGGACGTGGACGTTTCATATCAATATCTGAGCTTCTTCCTGGACGACGACGAAGAACTTGCGAAGATAGGCGAGGTTTGTGGCGCTGTGATTAACGTTTGCGAATCATATCGCTGATGCCTGTCTTCAGGATTACAGGACAGGACGTCTACTTACAGGACAGTTGAAAGCACGTTGCATCCAAATGTTGCAGGAGTTCGTGAAGGCCTTCCAAGAGGTCGGTGTCTTTCTTATGATCTTCAGGATTGTGTACTCATCCTTACATATAGCGGAAAGCCAAGATCACAGATGAGGACGTCAACGCATTCATGGACTCAAACAGGAAAATAGAACCCAATTTCGGCAAGCGATTACAGACATCATGACTCGAGGTCATTTAGATCGTTGTACGAGGAAGTAGCATCTCTGCAATACAAAGTGTGCGCTACATGTTGTACCGACACTGGGATATAGTAGCAAACACGTGGTTTTATGTGTGTAAACGAGTCTGCCATTCCGTGTCATGACCGCCACGACAAATGTACCTACTGACTATATACTAGGTGTTTGAGCGTAATCCAGACCCACGCCATACATGAATAGCATTCAAGCCGTAAGATGCACCGCTCATCCTGTTCATTTCTGTTAGGCTTTGCCGATGGGAATTGTGTTAGTGCCAATGCCTTTCGTCCTGTGAAGGAGTACATTTGGACCTGGTCATACTGCCACATAGCAATAACGTCCACTGTGGTCTTACTCCAGTTCAAGGATTCATGGTTCTTCTGGTCCGCAGGACCGTCCACAAATAAGCAGGGGTTCTCACTATGTGACCTGATGAATCCTGTGAATGCTGAGTTGGTTCCAAGTTCATAAGTAAATCGTCCGGCTGACGACACTGGAAAGACCAACTTATACTTTGTAAGGTGCATGAATACTAATTTTCTTGACCCGTTCGAAGTGCTCTGGAAAAAGACGTGAGTCGAGAATTATGTTTTCGGCGATGTCGAAGTCTTCGCGCCTGGATAAAACATGAGTCAGCCCAAAAGATATCAAAACTACGCCTTGGACATAGTCAACACGGAGGTGCTGCAATTAAGCCATTAATACTTTTATGAAAGATGGCCCGAACGCAGGACGTACATGCTCAAGATATAGGTTAACGTCAATCTGGCGCGTCGCACACGATCAAGCATCGCCATGATTTTCTTGAAAGAGCGCTTGAGGTGGCACCCAAAGGATATCAACACAAGCGCACACGATACGAGATTAAATCTCACTGCAGAGGGACTCATGCCTGGAACCCCGTTCACGACCGTTTCATGAGAGGTAGCGGTGTACTTCAAGTACTGCGTGATATAGTGTGCGTCAATTATCATATCCGAGACTTCGCCCGATGCGATTTAAGCAGTCAATCGATTCTATTGGGGACCGTTCAATAACTGTAGCCAAAAACAAGACAATCCGAGAACTTACCTTCCAAATGTCGAGGACACTCTTCTCCGTTTGCTGTCCACCCAGGCTTTTGTCTGGTGTTCATGATGAATTCATCCACCTCATGACTCACCATCAACTAGAACATGAAGCCCAGAAAAGCGTGCAAATCATTGACATTGACGGCCAATAAACGCGGGCCTGTCAGTAGCACGAGAGACGATCAGCAAGCATCAATGACAGAATATACACACGTGAAAACCATCTCCGGTGATATTTGTACCATCACCGCCCATGTCTGCGATACTTCCATCATCCCCGTCATAAGCGAATTAGAAGAAACGGACCAGGACCAGCTGGCTTGCATCATGCAACACAAGCAGAACTACCTAATCTCCGAGTTCTGGGGGATATGTTTGGGGGTGGGTAAGCGCGTGGCCTGCCAGCATGCTGAAATCCACAGCTTTGAACAGCGCTCTTAGAAGGATGACTGGCTTGTGGTAAAAGGCATGGTACTGCGGACGGGATGCCGAAATCGGTGAGTGAGAAACACACGCAACATACCCTGGAGACCCTGCAGCAGCAATGCACTCGATCAAGCCGCCTTTCTCCCTCGTACGTGCAAGACATGTTCAAGGCGCGGTGAGAGTGCTGCAGGAGGGGTTGTCAAGCACTAGTGATGTCGGGTTCGAGTGCTGGCCTTGTAGTACCATTGCCTCTGGCATACGATGGTACAATGTACGGGGGATTCCCTGAGTGCACTGATAGTTTGACATTCGTTAGTGCAACGTACATAATGGAATACGTAAGATGGACGAAAAAAGCGAGGACTTTGTAGTATGGAGCCAATCCTATGGCTAGCTTGAGTCAGCGAGCGCTTGTTAGGAACGCACTCATCGCTTCATGCACGCGTGGAGGTAAGTCCGCGTAAATTACAGCATCGGAGCCAGTACTTGTGTCCACGTCGCATGGGCGTCTATCAGAAGCCTGAGATTCGGTGAACGACGAAGAAGGTGAGCTGGAGAAACAGCTAATAGGTCACGTTTCACCTTGTTTCTGCTCTAGGGCGTATCCCTGCTTTATTGAAACTGTACGGAGATGTGATACTTCTTGTGGTCACGACCTTGGCAGTGAAGTACATCATGATTGGGCACGAATAATTAATATTATGACAACGTGTTACCGACGTAGGGATAAGAACCTCGACAAGCGATCACAGACGGCTTGACTTGGAACTACCTGTCACTCAGTGGTACTTGTTGTACAAGGAAGTAAATCTCGATGTAAGAAATGAATGCCGGAGTCCTGGAAGGTATAACAGGCAATAAATATGATAACAAATGCGCGCGAGTCCGCCAACCTATGTCATGATCAACATGAGCGGAAGCAAGCGCGCCAGACCCTCCTCAGCCACAAGTTGGTCGTTTTCAGGCCGTATAGGCCACCGATAATTCCACTCACGCCTTTGATGTCGAATTTATCATTAGGCTTTGCACTGGTATCAGTGTCCTTCGTCCAGTGGAATGGCAGTGACCGTATTTGGTCATATTGCCATGCAGCAATTGCATCCACTGCGGCCTGCCCCCAGTTGAAAGATTCGTGGTCTTTAGGATCCGTAGGTCCGTCGATGAAGACACATAGCTTCTCGTTGTGCGGCTGGATGAATCCCTCCCGTACACCATTCCGGATAAGTTCACGGAGAGGGCTGTAGTACGACAGAACATTGAGCAATATTACGGCTGCAAAGTATGGTTCTGGTTGGCCAACATTGACGCTGAAATAATGAAACATATTTACGTTTGTTGTGAATGTTGATTTGGTTCCAAGCTATAACTTCAAGAATCTAGGGGTATGATAGGGTGAGTGTGAGTTAGGTCATGTGATCCTCATGTACCTCTTCAAAAGTGCCGTATCCTCCTGGCAACCCCACAAAAGCACCGACACGCTTCGCCATCTCGATCTTGCGCTCGTGCATCGAGTCGACAACGATCTTTGATGTATGAATTACAAAAATGGAAATGAAGACAAACGAAAATTGAAAATGAATTAAACATTGTGGTATGTGTGTGGGAGTTATTACTTACTGTCTCGATCTATGAAAAATGCGCGGGTTGGTCAGTAGGTATGTGTTGTCATCATCGACGGAATCGCGCACATGTCTTCGCCGGTCCTCTTTGAGGGTCTCAGCAACAGATTCAGTCTTTACGACACCGTTTCCCTTGTCTTTTTCGCCACCTGCTGCTTGGATTGCATATGGGATGATACCAGTAACTTGGCCCCCTTCTTCTATTACGGCGCCTGAGACAACGCCCATAAGGCCCATGTTACCACCGCCATAGACAAGAGGTCGCTTTGCTTCAGCCAGAGCATGACCCAATGCTGTTGAAAATACGACACAAAACACGTAAGAGCAGTCGCTAGATTAAATCAGAAAAAAAACATACATAACGCAGCTTGCTGGAAAGCATTCTGCTTCCCGAGTGATGCAGCACAATAAACTGCCACGGCTGAAGGATCGGAAGGTGCAATCATAATGAACTGCTCTGGAAGGATTGCTGAAGTTCGAGCGGGGGGGTTGTGGTTGGAAGGAGTGTGCATGTTCTGCACTTTCAGCGAGTCTTAAATAAATGTACGTATAGCGGGACTCGAGGCAAATGGGCGTTCCTGCCACGTGGCAGAAAGTTCTGCCTACTCAACACTAGCCTCGGCCTTTGATCGATATGATTTTTTGGCTGGAGACTTTAATACAGGAGCTGGCAAGTTTTGAGACGGTGCTTGTTCTTGGCTGGCGAGGTGTCCATTCAACATGGGGAAACTGATGCGGCCAGCGTGTTACAACTCGCGAGAAATGCAAGTCTCACGACTTATGAGATGTGCAACCCAGATAATGTTGCTGGCAGAATTGACAGTAAAATGGCTATTGCCGGTAGTATTAAGTGAGACCCTGAAGTCGCTTATTTTTTTAAAAAGGATTTGAGAATGTTAATACAGTCAAACGTAATTTATGTAATTGATATTTTTGACAAAACACTTCCTGATTAGTAAGTCACACTCCCGACACCCCGAATGATTATATGCCCTCATTTTTTTTAGTTTTATAAACCCATTTACATAACGCTATGTTGAACCGTCCACGGCGGCTCCGATTGGCTCAGTGGAATGAGTTGAGTGAAGGGCTATCTAATTTGTTGACATGCTCTTTGCGGCAGAACTTGAGAGAGTTTTGCCAACTGGGCCTATGCCAAGGCAGGGTCACGGAGATATATAATTGAGACGCGGATGGACTGCGGCCCTCCAAGGTAAGATGCATACTGAGGGCAAGCAGACGGCGTGGTAAAAAATAGGTGCTGAGCGATATATATAGTGCCACGGTATCGGAGTGAAAAGAACTCGGTGAAGAAGTTTTACATTATGTAATTAAGTTTGCGTAAATAGTCTTGTTCCGAGAGCGGTCCGCAGTGACTAGCCTTCGGCAAAACCTGACAGAACCCTACTTAGACTGATCTGATAATATATATAGCGAGCTTGAGCCTGAGGGTGCGACAAGTACTTGGATGGATCAACCGGACAGTATGTCTCGAATATAAATGAAGCTCATACATTATCCTTTCTGTTCTCTATCGAGAATGACCAGGAATTTCGTACACATTAATTAGTCTTCATCTGCCGGTTATAACCGGCTCCCGATGGAACTGACTTGTCGAGTCAATGGTCAAATTAATTGACAAGTAGCCTCGGAGGAGGGCCTTCTCGGGATTCGAGAGGGATGTTCAATTCTAAAATGTCGTTGTCAATGTCGAGCTGACCTTACGGCCGTCCTCTCGTAAACTACTTACGCAGACCCTGAACCTTTCCTGATTTAGCCGCTACCGTGTCGGTTAAACCTTCGCATGGGAGACATTCTACACCTTATCGCAGAGTATCCTCGTCCCGATCCTCGCTGTATAGAGCCCAGGTTAGCTACCTGAACATTCCTATGTAGGAGTAGTAATTTTCCTAAACATTTATTCATGATACTTTTGAATCATTGATTTGGGGAAAGATTTGAAAATTATTGAGCAATACTACATAGAATGGTTACTAGGAATAGGATTAAGACGAGGATACTCTGTGAAAAGTAGATTTCGCAATAAACATGAAAAGCTTTGAGTAGTTAAATTGGGCTCTAACAGCAATTGCAAGGAAGGATAGTGACATAGTCACGGTAGAGTGGTAGACGCAAGGTTTGACGACTAAATCAGGAAAGGTTCAGGGTCCACGTAAGTAATGTACGAGAGGACGGCCGTAAGGTCAAGTCGACATTGACGACGACATTTTAGAATTGAACATCCCTGAGCGCCAGTCGCAGGAAGCTGTAGTTGCCAATTCCTACAACTTGGGCCATCTATTACACGTTACGTGTGCAGTGGACACGGTCTACCGTTCTCTGTCACTGAATAATTTCGACTCTCTGGCATTGCATCACTTCAAGGGTACGAGCAATTCCCATTCAAACTGCGTGTACGGCCGAATATTCAATGACTCCCGTCACCTCGAACAACGCATAGATCTTATTGACAGGACAAGGTTCATTGTCTCCCTAGCATCACTTTCTCCTCTAATCCCCTCCCCCCCGGCGCTTAAGGTGGTCCGTTAAGCAATTTCTAAACTTTCTATTGACATGTGACAACCTTCTCCCCGACGCGACGCGCTGTACTTGACCTTCGCACGGATGTATTCACACATGGTCGCACGGACATATACACAGCTCCGTCCAGGGATCAGAGTGCAGAATCATCGCGATGATGATCCGGACCTTGATTTCAGCCACGAATGAGACGGTTAGTGTTTCGTTGCTGCTTTTAGTAAGAACGTTTACCAGCAACGGCAACGAGCAAACACACAGAATATTGACCATGTTAGTGTGGGTCTTGCACTATTGGGAGGAATCATACAATATGACAAAAACATCTCCACTAGTCTGCTAGTGACCGTCTATCTACCCATACCTGCCTCGCAAAACATGTTCTTGCTCGACAAGGTGAGCAATGATGTTATATTCAAGTTATTATCTGGTACACTCAAACGGTTTTCAATGATATACACAAGCTTTGCATGTCCTCCCTTCCGTCTGTCCAGCCCCGACCAACTCGCAGCTGATGAGTCGAGGAATGATGCAACGCCCCGTGGCCGGCAGTAAATTTTTTGTGAAGATGATCTATATATGACCATATCGACGATCGTTCTTGATGACGCCAGATTGCCAGCGACGAAATTTGAGTAGTAGATAAGATGTAAATTGGACGTCGACAAGGGACAAGTGAAAATTGTGAGACATCATAAACGAAGATGAGCTCCCCGGGGTCTTGCATGGGTTCAAATATTAATATTAATATTAATATATTGCTCGTACCGGGAACCGACGTCTGAAACAAGGTAGACGTCGCGTAGCTAATCTATTATTAAATCACACAGCACTGCCACATTTATGCTCGGCTATGACCGTGACTGCGTGGTCGTTAGTGCGCAGGCGCTACAAAGTACACGAGTGATTTGTTACATAGAATACATTTCTTTTGGTCCACGTGTACATCACAAGCTTGAGTTTGAGCTTTTTTCCCGACCAATAGTTTCTTTCGGAGAAATTAGTCCAGGCCACCACAAAGTCCAAGTTTCGCAGCAGATAACCCATTCACCGAACCCCAATTACCGCTGTCAATGTCGGCATTGGTTCTATCCATATCCGAGGGCTAGTCGCACAGCCAGGCTGACTTGAGGTGAACACGTTGAAAACATGAAATCCAACAGCCCATGATGATCCTAGCACGAGCACTGCAAGTTGACTGATCAAAGGTATATGGAGGCGATCAAAGCGCAAATCATGCATCTCATCATATCTCGCAACTTCTTGCAGAAGATAATAGCACACCGTCACACTTCGGGGCCAAAAGGAATCTGGATTCTGATTTGCAGGTCCCACACTTCCGCATGTCACATGTCATACCCAACCTTCTTCGCACTTCCTCCCTCTGAAATTACATTCTACAAGCAGCGGAACAACACTTTGTCCTGTCGGGTCTTCGTAGAAGTCCATGAGCGCCCAACCCCTGATCCGTGGTTCTTCATCTACATCATTCTCGCCTCGTTGATCGAACTGATCAAGAAGCCATTTGCCGACTCGAGAATTGACGCCTTCAAATCCAATTCCCCACTGCGGCCACCCGAAACCGCGGGCAAATATGGGAGGGAACACTAATGGTATTGACAATGCAGAAAGGAAGGATATCGATAGGGTCGGGCAGGAAGAACCACGGGGAGTGACGAGGATATCGGTTGAGAAGGCGACTTTCTCGGGAATAGAAAGGAAAGAAGGAAGTGTGTACCTGCGGTGACAGTGATAGTCAAATTCATGATCAACAAGAATTTTCATACATACCAGTCGTGAGTCCGAACTAGGGTTTCCCGACAGTTCCAAGTGAATCCTTGTCTATCGTTGTCAGGCCAGATAGGCGGATGTATTCCAATACCCGCATTGTCCCAGCCATAACCATTTACGCTGAAACGACTGAACATTACAATTTTGCCTCTTACCTCACCTAGGGTGGGTATCCTATTTTCCAAATACCACATTGCCAACCCCCCTGGTGAGGTAACAATCTCTTGGTGTACAAGCTTGCTGAAAAGCCGCGCATCAGAATCTTCCTGCTTGATCGACATTACTACGGTCTCGCGCGAGGTTGACGGCGTTGTAAGGAACGTGTGCACCGTTGATAAGATTTCTGCAAACAGAGTGCGTTCCGGGTATATTCCATGGTATGAAATAAGTTGGGAATCAACGATCGATAAGCGTATGTCGAGAACTCGAATGCCAGCCTGAAGTTGTCTATCAAGAGAGGTGCTTGGTGATTGACACTGAGCAATAGGCCATCCATAAAAAGCCATTCTATTATCCTTGTCATAACAGCATTTCGTTCGTACATAGAAGTCAAAACATACGTGTCGTGAGTCCCTGATATGCGTGGTCAGGTGAGGATGAGGAACACAGAGAACGGTTTTACCTGGAAGCATCAAAGATGATAGAGGGACATCATCGGGGACGAGAGACAAGAAACAGGATGTATCGCGTCGAGGGAAAATAAGCAAGCAATGATGTTTGCGAGACAACTAAAATCATTTTGATTCAAATGAGCCAATGATGTCTACAATTATCTCACCTTATTGCGATAAACTACCCATTCTGAATCTGCTGGGACTTTGACAAGCTTCCACCTCGCTGCAGCGTTGACACCGAGACGCATAGTGGTAGACACAGGTCTTATAGGACTCGCCTCGTGTTCCTTCGTCTCATTGACCAATGTATGTCGAGATACCTTGAGAAGAGAGCATTTATGGGAGAATGATATGCTCTTGGAGTGGGCTCGGACGAGAAGAACGTGGTCTTCCTTTGCCGAACCTCTGAAGGTACAATGTAAATCTTCATGAGTCTGATTTGAGATTGTGAGGTGCATACGTGTTAACTAGTGGAGATCACGAACTGCGTTCGCAACCGTGTACAACCATGGGACTCCCAGCTGTTACCCAGCTGCATAGCGCTATGGCACATCACGTGATCTGACCCTCACTGGAATTTGATTGCAGTAGTACTTCGAGTATGTACAATTCAGTTAAGTAATGTGTCAATAAACGAGTCTGATATTATATGGATATAAACAACTGGGTCCTTGATGTAACGTTTTCGAGTAGCAGTGTCAAAAGCACTTTGAGCGTACTTGATCAAGGTTGTTGCGATTCTCGCTTGTCTCTCTCCTCGCATGCCTCTCGCCATTTCTTGCCCTTATAAAAGACAGCTAGTGTCAAGATTTCCATTATTACCATAATACCGCCCCAGAGAGTATACAAACCACCATCGCCAATAGCAGCCTAACAACAAAGTTCAAACAACTGCACACAACTCAGCTAACAAAAATTGAACGCACCTGAATCGGAATAGCCACTTCAATGGCAACGAACGCAAAGACACAGCGAAATACGCTATTTGTGGCAACAACCGTGGATGAGCGGCCTGGGTTAGCGTCCACGATGTATGTCAGGGTGCTTGCGTAGACCCATCTGCGTACACGTTAGTCAAGGTCTTGCAGATCTTATATAAACGTACGTCGAGAGAAATCCAGCGAGACAGAGCATAATACAGATTGCCGCGATGTGAGTGTGCTTTTCGCAAACCCATGCATATCCGATTACAACTGGTGGTAAGAACCACATGGCGGGTCGGGTGCTGGCCAATCGCATCTAGATTGTTATCTTATGTTAGGAGGCCTGTCGCATAGCCATAGCCATAGGAATATCATCAACCTCGGGGTAGCTGTTGCCTCCATTCTCTTGCTTCAACCTAGCGACTGTTCGGTCAGACCAGCGGCCACCAAGCAAACACCCGCATACAGAGCCTTCGACGCCAGTCAATCATTGTCGATCCAACAAATAAGGTCCTACCTATTCCATACGAGAGTAGAACCAATCCAATCTGGAGAGCGTTATAACCGTAGTGTTCGGACAATGTTCTCGAACAGGTATATGAAATACTGTAGCTGAAAGCGAATATCAAACCTAGAGATAAATATGGCTCGTCGGGTCATGCGCATGATGTATCGATCGGAAGACGCTTACCGGAAGCAAACAGTATTACGAGATTATTTAAGCGTGTAAGAATCTTCCGAAGTGGAGGGAAGGGATTGACATCTGCGAGCGACACGTTGACATCTTTCATATTTGTAGCAGGTTCAACGGTGCGACCATTCGGGTCGACATCGAGATTTCCCATTTGCTGCGGGGAAGCTATGCTTTCTAGCGCAGCTTGTGCAGGCTTGTCAGTGGCAGAAAAGGCATGACTGGATTTATCCAAGTGTTGGTGTTGTAGCTCCCCCTCCTTTGCCCGTAGTTGTAGGACATTCTGATATGCCAGACTACGTTCCTTCCTGAACGTATCTTTGAATACGAAAACCAGAGCAAAGAGAACAACTCCAGCGCAAATAGTGATGAACCAGAAGACCGAGCGCCAGCCCAAGCTCTGTGTCAGCACGCCACCCAAAACCGGGCCCAACGCAGGCCCCAAGAGAGGAGCAGAATAATATATGCCCATTTTAGTACCTCGCTCATGGGGTTCATAGATATCTGCTAGTGTGGCTGCGGCAATGGATAGGAGTGCGCTCGAGCTGATTGTTGTGAGAAGTGGCTCTGGGATTCAGTCTAACTTGCTTACCCAACAGCTTGAAGGGCTCTCATTCCAATCACCAGACCAATAGTTTTGGACGCAGCGACAATAGCAGAGGTGACCATAAACAATGCTACAGATGATACATAGACAAACTTAGATGGAAGAACATCAGCAGTCTATTGTTATAAGACAAAGCACTCGACGAACCTTGCGTCCTTTTATTTCACTGATAGCACTCCATAAAAGTCCGGGGACTCCCTGAATAAGAATAAAAACCGATAACGTCCAACTTATTTCCGATGCAGATGCCTGTAGGTCACTCTGGATTTGAGCATTTGCAGCTGGGCGCAAGTTATTTCAGTCTCCTGACCACCTGGGGAGGGAACGACCATACGATTCTGTATACTGACGGCTAGCCCTGCGATCAGGGAACCAGCTGAAACAATAATTAGAATAGCAGTCTATGGCCAACAAGTCAACCTTTGTTTTTTGTTTCAGAGTGACTGCCACCTACCTTGCGCGCATTGCCCCATCTTAAAGGATCATCCTCTACAGTGGCGTGTTCGATGTCTGTCTTGATTACATCGTAGAAAGCTACGACTGGACTTCCAAGTTCAAGTGCGATGTGAGGAGGATCTTGTGTACCTTGCTCAGAGACCATTGCATGAGTAGAATGCATGGTATGCTGAGGGTCTTGCAAGTAACGCCCAAAGATACATCAAACAGAAGCTTTTATATGAATCAAGTGAGGGCTCAGGCCTCGGCTTCAAGGAATAAACGGCGATGGATGAGAGTGCACTAAAGGCCGACCGAAGCATTCCCCAGGTGGAGCCGGGGCACATGGAATCGGTCCGACATAAAAAGTGAAACACCAAAACTATCCATGACAACAGATTTGTTGCGTGTACGTAGTGCATGTGCATGCACAGTACTTGGCACAATTGACCAACTCGGCACGTAAAGGTTATTCGCTTCAGTTTCGAAGCCTGTTGCGAAGCATGGAAGTTCTATTTATGCTTAAGACACAGGCCGCCGCACAACCGCATCGGGAAACAGGCTTGAAGCGCGCGTCTACCAGCGAACCCCACGAGTAAGTATTACTACGTATTATCACACGATGTGTCGATACGAAGTTGTTTAGTAGTGAGCGCGGCGTTTGTTATGCAGATGAATTTCGCGTATGTGGCGGACAAGACAATCTGTCCTCATGAGCTTGCCACATCCATTCCAGGAGCAGTAAACGCGACAGTGCGAGAATCCTCCAACATGCTTGCGCATATGAACGACAAGGGTATTAGCAGACACAACATCATTGCAGAGGTCAGTTGCCTGTGACCACCCGCAACGATCTCGTGGCATTAATGTCGGCATACCGGCTGGTAGTATATCCATATGGTGAAAGCTTGGATCAGCCAACGGCATCGAGACAACCTGTCGAGCAACAGTGTGCAAGGATTGTAGGGTGCAAGGATCTGCAAGAGCTTGCTCTCGATCGACTTGCAATGCCTTTCGGCTGTGGGGTTTCTAAATCATAAATAAAGGCATAGGTCGTAGCACAGCGAAGACGAGTGATGATCACTCACAGCAGAATGACCGTAGCGCGCATAGCTTGTATTTGTATTAAAAGTTCTTCCATGCCTGCTGATTTGACGCAGTCAGAGAGGGCAGCTACAAAAAAATACCATTATACACTGGTACGGTTTTAGTTCGACGGAAGTGTGCTAGAGACATAAGGGCAGTGGCAATCTCGAAGTTCGCGCTGAGAATCATGACTTCTAAGTACAGTAGAGGACCGGGTAATATTTACTCACTAGTTTAGAATTTGCCTTGTTTCACCCGATTTATTGAGAGCGGGTTCGGCGTCATCATTTGAATCGGTGAAAACCATCAAACGTGATGGTTCTCTGGGCCAAGCTATTGTGGGGGTGGTCAGCAGTTTGTCGCGCATTTTCGCAGTCAGGCAAGGAATATAGGAATTTGGGTGAGACTGTAGATATTTGTCAATTTATGGCACTAGTAGCACTGGAGGAGTCTATCCTGCCAACCACGAAGTGACTCGCTCGCAATGTTCAATCGTCAAAACCTTCTAGATCAAAAACGGAGATTAACAGGCGTATAGATGAGGGTAGCTGTGACACAATTGAATTGATGTAAAGTTTTGATTCAGAAACTGGTTGAAAATGGCAGTAATCAGTGATTGGGTGAAGGTGCGGTCGAGTAGAAGAATTCGAGACGCATAAGGGCCAATGCTGATCCATGGCAAGCAGTAGGAAAGGATAAATATCCGATTAGAAGGATTTTGAAGAGTAAAACACCATTCGCAATGCTAAGTTCGTGTGGGGTCGCTAGATAATCGAGTAAACGTGGTGGACAACGTTCAGCACCATCTAGATAAGCGTTGCCCTTATTCGCGGCGTTTTAAGCGGGAAATGAGCATGACACAAATCCCTACTTATGATCACCGATTGGACAGGTGCACTGATCTTCGTGGTAGTTGTCGGGCCAGCCGCCCTGAGGATGACATGAACTAGTATCATAGGGCTATTTGTTGAAGCTATCCTTCCGATGGCCATGAGATTTTTAAAATTTTGAAGGTCAAGCCTGGCAGATAGTGTCATAGAGTACAGAAATGAAGTAATAAGCGATTGATCATTGGGCACGCGGAAGACATAAGGAAGACATAAGGTGAATAACAAAAGCGTCATGACGAATGACCGTGACCTTACGTAAATGCTCTTAAGGGCGTCTTTCTCCTTTTTAGCACCAAACTTTAGCCATCTAAGTTAGATTCCGCAAACCAAAGAGTCGTTACATATTCTGGCAAGCGACCACCATCATGGCTAACACCACCGTCAAGGGTGCAATTGCAATCCATGGCCAAAACCCTCAGGCGAGTATTTGCGGTACACGTTTTGATGATTAGCTGAAAATTGTATACATAGTTTCTAGTCGAGACTGTCATCCGCAATCGAATATGGGAATCGAATTATTGGAAGGAGCATTGTTTCGCTTTGACTGGTGCGTCTGCCGCGTTTTCTTAGACATTCGGTTCACCCTTTTCAATATAGCGGAGTCTCTTATCGACCAAGCTATCGCGCTTAGGTGCATCGGGGGTGTTTATGGCAATCAGCGCCCTACAGAGTTCCTGTGCTTGCTCCTGAAATTACTCCAGCTTCAACCAGAAAAGGAGATATTGATAGAATATCTACAAGCAGACGAATTCAAGTGAGCATTATCATATGTGCCGCCTGCCGATCCCTGATGCAGGTACTTAGATATATGAGGGCATTAGCCGCCATGTACATACGAATGACCTTCAGTGCAGTGGAAGTGTATGAGCTTCTTGAACCATTAATGAAGGACTATAAAAAGCTTCGATACCGCGACATGGGTGTGTTGATCTTCATTTTTTTCGTTGGTGTGCGTCTTACAGCCTGACAGCAGGGTATTCACTGATTCATTTTGACGAATTCGTACATTCGCTCCTTACTGAGGAACGAGCCTGTGATATCATTCTTCCCCGTATAGCCAAGCGCTCGATACTTGAAGAGAACGGCGAGATTGGCCCTCGGAAGAGTCGCTTGCTTGATGCAATGGAAGGCAAGAGTGAACATGGCAGCGACAGGGGTAGGAGCTCCAGTCGAAGTAGGAGCCCCAGTAAGAGCCCATACCGGTCACGGAGTCCCAGTGTTAGTCGGAGCAGAAGCCGATCTCCGTCAGAGAACGGTCGGTACGTATCACGGAGTCCTTCTCGTTCTCCATCTCGTTCGTCGGACCGTTCCCGCAGTGGGAGTATATCTCCAGATAGAATGAACATCGAACCCACGAATGTATTATAATCTACCTAGCACGTCTACATCTTTTTAATGCCCTTAGTGTCGAAAGTTTGGTCTTTAAAAGATAGCAACTGCTTAGAGAGTTCCTTCCATCGCTCCTCCACTTTCGGGTTTTTTCCGATAGCCTCAGGAGAAAGATATCCTCGGTTGCGCCAGTTAGTGTACCACACTGAAAGACGTAACTTTCAGAGATGATCAAAGTGGAGGGAGGGAGAGGCTCACGAATATCGTTGCGACGAGTTGGTGCTGCTGAAATACGATCTGTGCGGCTCTTGACACAATCGCGAAGAGCCAATGGGTTATAGTATTGGCAGAAGACACTTCCTCCAATGGACTCAACCGCTTTGATGGCACTTTGAGATGCACGAGAAGGAGTGATATGAACAGGCGTTTTCAAACATAGAGCATTCTAGATGAAAATGAGTTGTACTAGAAGGATATCTGAGAGTAGAAACATACGTCGCCCAGAAGTTTAATTCCATCGCGTACATTATGAATGCATCCGCTCAACAGCAATTCGCGGGCTGTGATAGGGTTCTCAGGCGATGATTGTAGTCGGCCTTGGTCAATCCAATGTTGTATCCGGTCCAGGTTTACGGGCGCGTACACCTTCCGGTTGCTTGACGGACCTGTCAGATAGATGGTTATGAAACTAGCTAGAAGAGAGCACTCACGGATTTACGAAGCCCTTCTTGGGAAACCTCTTCGTAATCGGTGTTTGACCACCCTCGAATCCAGCTTTTGGTTTGCCATTGCCCGCGCGAGCCTTCTGGCCCTTGTGACCTCGTCCGGACGTTCCTCCGCGACCAGAACCCTGACCTCTACCAAGGCGTTTTTGCTGCCAAATAAAGCATTAGAAGATGCTACGTCAGAAACGATGACAATGGCGAACCGCGTGCTGTGAGTTTGGTCCGGGTGAAAGATTTGAAAGTGTAATTCGAGCTGTCCTTGAGCGGAATACAGACGACATGTCCGCTAAAAGTAGAAGTCTAAGCAATGAGTTCTTCTTGAAAATATCCAGACTCCCACGAAAATATTAGTTGAAGCAAGTAAACGTCCCCCTAACACCGTTGTTACTCTTCCCGACTCTGAAGTGAGGCAGTTGTGGACCCTGCGGCAAACACGTCCGTCTTACCGCACAAGCTGTGAAATAGCAGTTTGAAACCCGTCGTCAAGACTCGAGATATCTCAAGCAGGCCGTGCCACATAGGTGAAATGTCTGCATTTCTAGTAGTAGCAATTCAAGCTGATATCAACTCGTTCCAGGCACTCGAAACTGTTGTTCAATTTGATCAGTGATGCGAGGGGGCGTCCTCCAACATGCGCAATCTTACTGAGTCAGGGACGTCAGTTTTCACGTTCCGTGGGTTTCAGACTGGATTCAAACCTTTCTTTTCAGTTTTGAATTACATCTCCGCGAGTCTTGGATATGTTAGTTCTGCAAATTCTGCCGCTTACCAGGCACGACCAATTTTGCCAGGCCGATTGGCTAAACTCCGGGTTTCTGCCAACGTCATTAGAAAAATGATCGCAATGGGCTTTGCCACGTAAGTTGACGCTGCAATATATATTCGACTGACACGCTCTAGATAACAGCCTTCGGAAATATCTTACTTCTACCTCAGAAATGTCGACTCTCAAACCAATAATCACGGTCTGTGGAACTACCGGTGTTGGAAAGTCCAAACTAGCCATCGAGCTGGCTCTGAAGCTTGCTCAAGGAACACATGGGTGGCAAGGCGCGAGGATCATCAACGCTGACTCCATGCAAGTATACACCGGAATGGATGTAATTACAAACAAAGTCCCAGTCGCGGAAAGAATGGAAGTCGAGCACCTTCTCATGGACTTCAAGCAGCCCGGGGAGCAGTACGTAGTGGGCCAATGGGTGCAAGACGCTATCAAGGCGGTAAATAATTTGCTTGTCTTCCCTGTTGCTTTGTTCCCAACTTGATTTTAGATCGACGAGACTCATCGTATGGATAAGATTCCGATCATTGTCGGTGGCACATCCTATTGGATCCAACATCTTATATTTCCAAATCGGTTACCCACGGCAGCGCAATCAATATCGGATTCCGTTGCGCAATCCATCGCCAATCTATCTCCCGAACTCCTTGAGTTATTCAATGCTCTTCCAGAGCAGTCTCCATCTGCAGCATCTCACCCTGAGGATGCACTGATGCTTCACAAACTTCTTACTGCGCTTGACGAACCGGTTGCTCAGCGATGGCACTGGAGAGATACACGCAAAGTCATGGGAAGCCTTCGTGTAATCAAAGACACTGGGAAGGCCCCTAGCGAAATTATTCTCGAACAGTCTAAAATAGCGTTGGTTCCAAGGTTTGAATTTTCCTATCAGTGGTGTAGTATTTTCACCAAAGTACTATCAGGTATCGAACTCTTTGTTTCTGGCTATATGCCGAGCCTTCTATCTTGAATGAGCGCTTGGATGAAAGGGTAGATGTTATGATCAAGGTTAAGAAGCTCTTAATTGAACGACTGCATACTAAAAGGCTCATTCAGGAAGGGCTGTTGGATGAAATCAAAGCACTCCGAGCGATCGCTTCCTCTTCCCCATGCAGTTCGTCTGATGCGGTCGTCACGGAGCCATCCGACGAATCAGCTGTGCAGCAGACTGATTATACTGTCGGTATCTATCAGTCTATCGGTGAATTTCGTCAACTTTTTCCAAAAACAAACATCAGCTTATAGTACCTAGGATACAAAGAGTTTCATGACTATTTCGCTTCTCCAGAGCACTCCGGGAAGCTTTTTGCGTCCGCTGTGGAGCAAATGAAGTATGGAACAAGGCAGTATGCGAAGCGTCAGATACGGTGGTTAAAGAACAAACTTCTTCCTGCTATCTATAACGCGAATAGCGGTACGGATTATGCATCAGCCCTCCTCCCGGTTTACCTTTTAGATGCCACTGGTGAGTTTACTATTTTTGCATTTCAAATCTCAGGCGGTGTGATTTATTCCCTACAGAACTCGGTGACCAATGGACATCTTGTGTTCTCAACCAAGGTGAACATATTATGGATGGTGTGTACCCTCTACTAAGTTCGTGCTTGCACTGATGGGTTCTGACAGCTTTCCTTGGCAATGGAACATTGCCTGATCCTCTATCATTGTCTGAAAGGGCACGAGAGATGCTGACGATCGACGTCAAGCCTACAAGGTATGTCCGTCACATTCTAGCATCCTTACTATCTTACCCAACGACTCGGTAGTCCTACAGAAGTATTGCGCGCACGCAAGAAGGTCGTATGCCCTGCGTGCACCCTTGATCCGTCACAGCCCTTCATGGTTGAAGATGGCTCTCAGTGGGAGGCCCATCGACGCTCCCGTGCTCATAGAAAACATGCCGCGAGAGATAAGAAAATGCATGGACGACCGGTTAAACGGCGCGCTACCGTCCTCAGCAAAGTTGACGCTGAAGATCAACAAGATCAGCCTCGTTCTGTCATTTAGGCGAGGTTTACTTGTTATGCACAGTTCGTCGTTCCCTCTGGCATTCACTTACCGTTTTTGAATTATCAGCTTTAGGAGCACTTTTCGTTTCATCAGTTGTGCTCCCGGTAGTTCCTGTTTGCTTATTTATCCCACGCAATGAACTTTGGAGGAGGCGGGCTAATTTTCTTCCTGCCCCAGGGTCATTGTCGATGGGTTCGTCTAGAACGACTTGTATGTATCCACGATGTACTGATATGACCATTACTATGAGGTCAGCGGAGCAGGCTCCCTGCCCTGTTTTCCTGAAACATCTTCTCGTTTAGTTTTATCTGGCACCTTGCTGAGTGCAGGAAGCCAAAGAAGCACGCTTGAATGAGTGAATGTTGTGAAATGACTAGCACTTGTATCGACGGACAAACGTACTGTAGTTTTGTGAAAAATTGTGGTTGAGTGAGATGTTGATGTCGTCGTCCCACATTTCGCTTGCCACTATCGTCACAGCACTTCAACGAGTGCTGCGACCATTGCCCCTCAATACCTTAACTGCTCCTTTCGAATCCACTTTCAGAGGCGGGACCAGTGACGGACTCCTGTAACCCGAATTTCTCTTTACTTTTCAACCATGACTTCCATGGCGGATGTTCCGGTGTACATGTTACCTGGAGTACCGGTGGTGCAACCGCCTCATCTCGAGGGTCTTTCAGATCCGTCTCTTTCAACTGAAATTTTACCAGGTCCACCTTCCCTGCTGTCTGTTCAGCAGGCTGCGCACAAGCGCGACCCAAAGAAACCAGGAGCTTTTGTGTCATATCTGCCAGCATCTGATCCGGGCTCCACTTACTCTGGATTAATGGCTTCTACTGCCCTCAGTGCCACAGACGCTGAAGGGCAACGACGCAAACGTGCTAGGGTCGACAAAGGGTAAGTCATCGAACTCCACCCGGCCCCGACGCTAATCATCTCTGCTGTTGTACTGTAAAAATGATTCACCCGCGTTTCCCTCCAAAATTTGCCACGTCGCTGTCCACTTATCCCTAAAAACAGAGCCGCAAATGGGAGGGCTCAGCGTGCATCTGCTCGCAACTTGAACAACAGTGCTATTCCTGCGTCGGATCTCATCGTCCCTGAAGCATCTTCTCGCCAACTCAGTATACCCCCACTCCCAGACTCCGACCCTTTTCCAGTAAACCACGACTTTGACGAGCTTTCAATTTCTCGAGCTACCTCTGCTCCTGCTCTTGATGAACCCTTGCCGCCCCAATTGCCTCCTCCAGTTGTATCAAATGGGAGAGGAAGACCGAGAAAAGACAAAGGAAAAGGAAAGGAGATGGAGAAACACTCTGTAAAGATCAAGGAGGAACCGATGGCCACGTACTCGCTCTCCCCTGACCCTTCACTTGGACTGGTGCGCATTTGGTCCCTTACTAATAATCATACCTCTTATTGCTATGTCGTTTAGTTGAACGAAGATCACTGCTCATCCTGTCGGTCATTGGGAGCTCTGGTATATTGTGATGGATGCCCACGAGCCTTTCATCTCTGGTGCTTGGACCCACCAATGGAAACCGTGGACTTGCCAGAACTCGGAGAAAGGTGGTTTTGTCCTAGCTGCACGATTCGGAAGGTGTGTTTGTTCTATTGCCAGGACTTTGTACAAGGATTTCACCCCATGCCACAACAGCATCCACCAATCAAACCCCCTCCTTCCTTCATGTCGCCCCTTATTCACCAAGCACAGACAAACATTCCGAAAGAATTCCAGCTTCCAGAAGATGTTCGAAGTTTCTTCAAGGATGGTATGTCTCTTTATGACCGTTTTCATGTCAAAGGTCTTATCGTCGATAAACTAGTTGCTACTGGTTCCAATGGATGTTACATTGATAGCTCAGAGATCAAACCACCTCGCCTGAAGTGAGAGTAAAGTTCCACATGTCTTCATTCGTTGCTCATCCCTGTAGTCGCCATGGTCAACTCGAGGAGCGCGAACCGTACCGCCTCAAGGACAAGAACGGTGTTCCTGTGCTTTGCTTCCGTTGTGGAACATCTACCCTTCCAAGTGTTGTTGATGTATCTGCTCCAGCAGTAAAGCGTTCCAGGAGGTCAACCTCGTCCTCCCATAGTGCCACCCCCGAAGTTTGGAGAAGCATGGTGTCTTGCGATTACTGCAGTCTTCACTGGCATTTAGATTGTCTCGACCCACCTCTCGTGACTATGCCTCCGTTCAATAAGAAGTGGATGTGTCCCAACCACGCAGATCATGTGTTGGTGAGTTCTCACAGTCCTTTGGTTAGGCTTGCGTAATTCACTGTGCTTCCAGCAACCCAAGCGTCGCGTTCCAAAGCAAAACCCACTTATAATAGACATCACAAAACCGCGTCAGTTTAACAACGGCAATATCGATATCGTCCACCCACAAGGCACTTCGATTGCAGAGAAGTTAGTCCTTGATGAAATCCTTATCAATGGCCGAAGATATAGGGTACCGGAGAAAGTAATCATGCTCGATTTCTGGAATAAGATCAGCAAAGATCAACATCTTGATCAAAGGTACGTGTGTAGCATTGATTGATGACGGCCGTTAATGCGCAGTAGGCCACCGGTGTCCGCGATCTCTTCGCCGCTCACATCCCTGAGCTCTTTGGATGATTTCGATGAAAGCATTGGCGCATTACCAGAAGGTCCTCTTATCTCAAGAGATGAGTTGCATGCTGCGCAGGTAAGATACATTTGAGGGCTTCCATCATCACAATTTCAGAGTTAACATGGTTTATAGGCATTGTGCAATTTCCAGCGAATGCTGACCATACAAACAGAACAAAGACATGCTCCTAATGGTAGACCAAGGAATCTCGTTGATTCCGGTACACAAACAGAAGCAGAGTTACCACCTGTAATACCTCGGCCCCCGCAGGTGGAGGTATTGAGAGCGTCTACTAACAAGGTATGTTGACTGATTACCTGTATATTTGTGTCACTGAAGAGGTTTTTGCAGCGCAAAGCACCTATGAAGTCCGCTCTCCCTGCGGCTGAGAACGGTTCCGTCGCTAAGTTGTCAGTACAAACTTCTCTTGACCAGTCGGCTCCGGTGCGGCCTAAGAGGGCGCGAACTGCGGTGAAACAGGAGACGGAGGAGGTCAATTTACGTCTGCTTGATAACTGCGAGAAGCAAGTAGAGGCTGTGAGTACTATTGATTTCTTCGGGTCTCTCACTTACGTGTGCATGCTCCCGAATTTTGTAGCAAGGGAAGTCCACGAGAACTACTCGCCAACGCCGTAAGCCCAGACCGTCGGAAACAACAAAGAACGAGGGTGCCGCCGTGGCAAGCGTCCAGGCCCCTGCGCCGGCATCTAGCTCCGTGATCCGATCCGTGGGTCCTGATGCTTCTGACTTGAGTAGTACTTCGGTACTGCCCACCTCCAATTCTCACAAAGTTAATCCACCTATTACTCCCAAGGCATCAGTCACAATCACCCAGTCTACCCAGTCTGCCACTCCAACGTTGAAGATACGATTACCGCGACTGAGTGCTGTCAGCGCTGCAGTACATTCGAATGCTGCACCACCTGCGGCACCTGCACATAATGCAGCAAGTTCCAAGGAACCTCGTTCGAAGCGCCCGTTACGACGACAGGCTTCTGATACTGCTACTGTCTCTTTAAGCGGCACATCTTCGTCTGCGACTGATGGTGGTGATGATTTTGAGCCAAGTAAACCCAGTAAGGCTTTCATTTCTTGTTACGCATCTTAGTTTTAACGTAGGATGTCTAGAACCTAGGCCAAAAAAGAGAATCCGCGGATGAGCTCCACGGACCATATGTTGCACGTTGGCATACAGTACAAAAGGATGGGGTGTAAAAGATCATATATATCTTGTCACAACGAAACATAAATCTTGATAATAGTGTTTGTTTTGTCTGGCTATTATGTTATGAACCATCGGAAAGTGTAATCGCGTACACTTTCGACCTATATGACACCGGATGGTCCAAGGATGGTCATCGACATCATCCAGTATGTTGCAGTGCGGTTATCTTGTGACTTTGCACCACTTCGTTGATTAACATTTTCATTGGCTTGCGTTCGAGAATCACATCATTGATTGACCTTTTGCCAACACAGCAGAACATTGGTGTGCATAGTGCAGTTTTGCTTATTGTTGAGTCGCCTAGTAAGAGGCAGCTCAACGACTCAGCAACCAAGCTTGTAGTCAGTCACTCACATGCACAAATAACCGCATGCCTTTACCGCTGATCTCAGAGGGCCCATTTACGTGTCGTCCTTGCCAATCATCAATTCACTTCGTGAATGACATTAGTTCAACACCATCTTTTACTTGTTGCTTTGGTTTCAAGAAGTCATTGTGAATTGCCTAGTAACATCATCATTTCGGCCAAAATATCCTTCGAACTATAGTGCCGTGACTCCACGTCGCAACTTTGCAAGGGGCTCCGCAAATGGTCGATTAAAGTGTACGCCTTCTTGCGATGGTCTCAGCCGATGGACCTGCAAGTTGGCAACCCTTCGGTATTCAAATCACGTATGTTCATTCTCTTTGCAAGGGGGAGATTTTTCATCAAACTTTGGAACCGCCGACATTTTTCGATCATTAAGGCCTCGGAGGTTTGGTGCGTCGCTCGCCTCTCTGCATATACCCAAACTATCACACAGCCAGCCCCCTGGAACCTGCACAACACACTCGCCAGCACCCTCAATAGGCATTCGCCGTGTTGTTCCACCGGTTGTGCATGAAATAAGCGATTCCGTTTATCAACAACGTTTTGCCGAGAGGACGAGGTGATGAAGGGGAAGAAGAAAGTTGAGGTGAGTCATACAGGGATGGGGTGTCCTAACATATATTCTAATTGGGCCACTGCATGTCGACTTTGCGTGAAGTTATGGGGCATGCACAGCTTATGCGCAAGAATACTCAGACGTTCAAACATTAAAAAGTTAAGCCATCATTCCAACATGTTTGACCAATGTTCAACAGGTCTTTACTCGACGGATCGGCGGATCTTTTACTCGATGGATCAACAGATCTTTATTCCACGGATCAACGGATCTTTACTCGATGGCTCAACGGCATGTTTCTATTGAATCTATTTCCAGATTTGCGAAGCTCTCGCGATGCTGTTAGCACATCACCGTCATTTACCGTAGATATTATGGCTATGTAGGACCGCTTATTACTGGACCATTGTTCAATCCAAGTACCGGTCCGTCCCGTTTTTTGCGTGGGTCGATAATGTCTCCACCAGTCATTCAGTACGTTGTTCCCAAGGAACCCACTATACTTGCAGGTCGTGAATCCGTTGATCTTCCAGGTTACGACCTATGGCTGCACTTTGTGAGTTTTACTCAGCCGCTTGGTTCTCAGTCCCTCTGATAGGAGGAACGTTTTTAGGTGGACAATGTCCATGCATTCGATGGGTCCATTGATATCAAGCGTTTTCACGACGCCCTAGCAAGCACTTTGCAAATGTACCCTCATGCCGCGGGAAAACTGTGCACAACTGGCGGTCGTTGGTTTGTGAGTATTACGGAGCTATGCGTAACCGGCCGAGACTCAAAGATTTCAGATCCAGTTGACAAATTCTGGACTGGCTGTTGAGGCTGTGGATCGCAAAAAAGAGTTGTCCACCTCTTTTATTCAAGGAGACTGGGTCATTCAGGACGACCTTTCACCCTTGCTCAGCCAACCACCGCCAGATGCTACCATCGTCAATGGTAGTGCTTCCCTGGTTCGTTTCAAGATAACAGCGTTCAAAGATAGAACAATTCTTGCAGTATCTTGGCACCACACTCTCGGTAGGTCTTTTACATGACTTGTGCATTATTTTCTCAGCAGGTCGAAAATGGCAGGAGATGCGGTGGCGCTTTTTCGGTTCATGAAAACATTGTCTCTGTTCTACCAAGGTGCCGATCCAGATTTTTCTCCTCCAACTTTCGACAAACATCAGTACCGGACACCGGAGCCATCTACGTCCTCGGACTTTCTTCAACTGATACCTCATTTGTGGTTCTCTTACCCTTTCGATGAGCTGCAGGTCAAATATGCTGAGGCCTGTGAGGACCTGGAAAATCTAAGATGGAGATTTCATGAACATCATCTTCATGCACTCCATTCCATGCTCAGTGTCAATGAGGTCTATCTTTCACGGCACGATTGCCTCACAGCGTATATGGTCACTCTGCTGAATCGTTCTATGCCTAAGCCCATTCGCATGGTCACGAATGTCGCTAATGTGAGGCTTTCTGTCAACATTCCAGATTGCTTCTAACCGCTAAATGCTGTAGTTTCGGCGTGTCGAAGCTCATTATATTGCAAACAATGTCGCAGGGAATGCTATCCAGAATGTCTGTGGCACATTCCATACAGCGAGTGTTTATTCATCTGTCCATAGATCTCGACTGCGACCCTCCCATCCCATATGCGAGGTATTGCCATTGCTGTGCGGGAATCAATCGTTCGGTGCCGTGACCAGATATTTCTCGAGGATTGGATGGCTGTGACAAGCGATATCATGCTAGCAACTGCCAATGCTGGGAAATATTTTCTCTTTGCTTCACGTCCTAACGTGATGACAATTAATTCTAATATCGCGTATGAGTTTTCTGGGCCTTCCTCAAATACACTCTCATAACTGTTCACTTGGCAGGATTGACTGGTGTGACGCTCACTTCGGTTTCCCTGATTCTTCCAGTTTTTTCACAACTGGGAGTTCGATGTTCTATTTTCGGCCCTTCAAATCGAACCCTGCGCTACTATGCGATGGCACTTGGCGATCCCGAAAAGGCTCCGTAGACGTTTCCATGGGCGTTCCGAGAGATCTGAAGACCAAGCTTGTAGATCGCCTAGCGTTGGATTTTGAGACAATCCTTTATCGGTCACCAAGGGACACTAGCGAGCTGCAAATGGATGCCGATGCCTACGGTAATTCGGTTTGCGTCGGCAAGACTCCGGGCACGTCTCACAACACAACAGCGCGTTGTAAAAAATCGTGATAAATCATTGCTTTCTAATACATGCACTACGTAACTGTATATAATAAAATCTTGAGAGCATCGCCGGAGTGTGATGAACAAATATCAACACTCCCGAAAAATCATCAATGGTATTAAGCAAAGATGATCATGAAAAGAGTCTTAGAATTCTATCTATATTTGACCAATCATCCGACATCGATGATAACCAGTGTCACCGACCTTATCAGTGTGATGAGTACACCTTTGGAGGATCTTGTTAAGGAGTGGCTTCGCCTTGATCCAGTGCGTGCTAGAGGCTGCCGCTGCTTTGGATTTTGCTCACAATTGCTCAAGAATGAATCTACAAGAAAGGATGTGGAACACTTGTGGAATAATAACGCCGTTGACGAGTTGGAAAGACGTATGAGGTGTGTTACCACTTACTAGCATTACGGTCTCTGCAAAGACATGCTGAGCATGAGATGCACATAGGGCGCGCATAGAGTTCGGCACTGCAGGTGTGGATGTTCATTGTTACTTGAGTCTGACACCCTGAAGCATTACATTAACAAAGGTCTGAGAGGAAAGATGGAGGCCGGATGGTCTCGCATGAATGACCTGATCGTGATTCAGGCATCCCAGGTGAGTTGACCACGTTCAAATCGTCGAGAATACGACATAGCTAATCACTTGCGAGAGGGCTTGTGCGCGTATGTCCTCGAACACATTCAGAATGCTGCTACCCGTGGAGTAGTCGTAGGATATGACCATCGACACAACTCAGAGAGATGGGCTCAGCTTACTGCAGCTGCTTTCATCGCCAACAATGTCAAGGTTTACCTGCACAATGGACTTGTACATACTCCGATGTATGTCTTTGACCCTTCTGCGGTTGTTTCTGATATAGATCAACCGTACTCGAAGGGTTCCATTTTCTGTCAAAGCGCTCAATGCTGCTTGTGGGGTCATGATTACAGGTACGTTGCACTTTTGTTACAGAGTTGCACGCCCTCAAGCTGATTTCCGATCTAGCAAGTCACAACCCGAAGGTCAGGCAGACATTGTGCCAGTGTGTTTGTATGTAACTCATTGCAATTCTCCTATAGCAAGACAATGGCTACAAGGTTCGACCCTGACTACAGTACTCATGGCCCTCCACTTATCATTAGTTAGGTTTATTGGGAAAATGCGGTTCAAGTGACACATGTGATTTGTGTCTCTATCCTTTAGCACTGAGCGTTTTCCTCTTTTAGATCATCGGGCCGCATGATGTCGGAATTGCACAATCCATTATGCAACACTTGGAGCCCAGAGTGCACGATGCTTCTCAAGTAGTCAAATCGGGCCTGTGCATTGATTGTACGGAGGAGATGAAAAAAGGGTACTTCCATTCTCTCAGCAATCTGTGTGCAAAGACGGTATCGTAAGTTGTTGGCTGCCACCAGTCATTCTGACCCTAATGAGTCAACAGATCTGACGGAACCTCAGTGGCGTTCGTAAATACATCTATGCATGGCGTTGGGGATCCATTTACATCTAAAGCGTTCGAGATTGCCGGATTTTCGCCTTATACACCTGTTAAAGAACAGCAGCACCCAGATCCCGAATTTTCAACGGTGAAGTTCCCAAACCCTGAAGAAAAGGGTAATGACTATCACCGTGTTCTGTAATTATAGCCCTGACGACCAAGGCTTGCAGGTGCACTCGTATGTTGAATTTTATGTGTTTGGAGCACTGGCTGACTGGTTGTCAGGGTCTAGCCATAGCTACGGCGGATGCTAAAGGGGCATCGTACGTTCTTGCACAGGATCCAGATGCAGATCGCTTCTCTGCAGCTGAAAATTGGTATGCATGAGACTTTTTGTACTGGCTAACTTCATTTGTGATCGATCTATAGTGATGGAAAGTGGGAAACATTCACTGGTGATCAACTCGGAACATTGTTTGCCTATCATGTATTCGAGACCTACAAGGCCTCCGGCAAGCCAATAGGTAAGTTCGGCGTGATTAGTTGCCAACCTGCCTGAACATATCTTTAGCCAAGTTGGCCATGGTTGCTTCGACAGTCAGCTCCAAGATGGTCGAAGCCGTGGCACAAATTGAAGGGTTTCGCTTTGTCGATTGTCTCACAGGTGTGCACTGTATGATAGGTTTTCTGTGAGGTGTTGGAAGCGACTTGTGCCGTCCTAGGCTTCAAGTTTATTGGCAACACTGCTCTAGATCTTGTCCAGGCTGGATATGAAGTACCATTTGGATATGAGGAAGCCATAGGGTACATGTTTGGTTCTGAAATCAGAGATAAAGATGGGGTAGCCGCGACTGTAAGTCACCTGTCAACAGTTTTTCTTCTTTCTCACCCAGTTCGTCTAGATGGTATTTGCACAACTTGCTACAAGCTTACGGGCGCGAGGCACCACAGTAAGCGCCCATTTGCAAGAACTATATCAAAGGTGAGCCGTCCTCACCATTGTCGTGACCACGAGTTTATCGTAAATCAAGATATGGATATTTCGAGGTCCGTATACACTCGTTCGTCGCTTTGGATATCATCTCATGGATCGTGAAAAGACGAGCAATAGCTATTTCGTCTGCACAAACCCACTCGTCATCGAGAAAATCTTTAAGAAGATCCGCTCTGCTGGTGATATGGTATCGTTTAGCGTGATTAGAATGGCAAGGAATAAACATCATCATTAACAGGGATCATCTCAAGGACGTTCCTATCCGTCCTCAATCGGCGGGTTGCAGATTCGGAGCGTTGTCGATTTAACGGAAGGGCACGGCTATGATAGCACGAATGCACCCACTTATCAGCCCAAATTACCGTTGTCTTTAGGACATATGATCCAGTTCAGAGCATCATCCAATTCAGACGACTCTCGGATTGTCCTGACAATTAGGTGAGCTAAAATGACAGTAGCTGTAACTATGCGCCATGTTCACCTTCTGCACAGAACAAGCGGGACCGAACCAAAGGTAAGTGTTCTTGGGTGTCTTCATAAAGTGATGTCTGAGCTTCCCCGTGTCAATCTGCCTAGATCAAGTACTACCTCGAAGGCAGTGGGAGCAATCGCCAAGTTGTGCACAACTTACTTGGTGGTGTAGTGGATGATCTAGCAGAAGATTGGATGAATGCTGCTGAGAACGGACTAGGCCGACCATGATTTAGATATTGTAAACCCATGTCTTGTTGTTTGTCGCATTAACTTGTACAGTAGCCGCAAATCTCAAGCGCTCACCGCGTGCGCAAATTGTAGTATGGCTTGGCTTGGCATACATCCGCAAGGTAGGGTGTCAATTCTTTTCTTCCAAATAAATTGCTCCTGTGTACTGCAGCCACTTATGTCCAGAGATGTTTGCGGGAATCGCTAGTATTGCTGTGATCTTATGAATGACGTGCAAGGCTAATTCCGTTACCAAATAGAATTGACCAAAGGGAGTTGGATCATGGCGATCTCTTCTTTCTACTAGCATCCATCCTCTTTGACGTCTCCCATATGTCAACGGTGACCTCGCGCTGAAGCATAGACGCCGCTAGCAATCTGTCTCGAACATGGGCGTGACCGTCAAACAGACATCAATGACAAACTCCGCACCTTGCCACCTTCATCAAATGAATGAGATCGTCCGCTGTTATAGATGGGTCTTCTTGGCGTCGACGCACAAAGTCTTCTTGAATGTGCTGTTCAAAAGTCAGTCATACAAGACGCGCTGTTTGATAATGCACATACCCGCGATGTCTCTTCTGCCACCTGAACAGTTCCAAAACATCGTTTTGCAGACGCCAGGAAAGAACGGAATGCCGCCAGCTGTACGGTATTGGGAAACTTTATCTGGTCTCTCGGCTTATACAGATTATCCCTGAGCAAGGGCTTTGTTTCCAGGGGCATAGTGATTCCCGTCTATCGCAGGAGGAGGCGTGAGCGAACGGCTTGGGATTATAGCGAAGGCCCATATCTATATTACCTGGAAGAAGGCGCTTTTTCGACCATCACATAGCACAATCGTTACTATGTCTGTCGGAAATGAGAATTTACTGAATGGAAATGAGTACTCGAGCGTTTGAGCATCCATGACTTCCTGGACAGCCCTGATGTTCATGATGCCTGTAAAGTCGTATCAACATAAGATGCTGGTGCTACAAGGTACCACTTGACTTAATACCTTTTTCTACAAGCTTGCCCTCTTGCACACCATTCTCTGTTAGCATTAAAACGGTCCCTTGAGGAACCTGCAGATAGCCCGAGTGCAAATCTTCATCCTTGCTTTCAGGACTAAAATTTTCCTTGTTAAGAAGATCCAGGGAGAGGGGCACGGTAAGATACTGCGGTAGCAAATCAGAAAGCACATGGTGAAGGGTAGGTAGCGTGGATGATGACGGTGTGGGTGAAGGAAAACGTGACAAGGTGAGGGACGGAGGTAGGAGGGGGGTGGTCCGAGTGTAGCTGTATCTGATGAGACAAAATCGTTTGACAGACAAGGGAAAACTGACACTTTTGCAGAAAGCTCAAGAACAAGCCACTCTGCTGCATCTTCATCGCCTCCAAGTGCCTCATCGGCAATCCATTTGATGAGATCCTCTCGAACAGTCGCTAACTCTTCCATGGGAGACGCATCACTTGTAGATTGCACTTTATGGCACAGAACATGAAGTGATGGAACTATCGGGGAAGAAACAGCTTCTGAATCAAGACTGCACCAACTGAGCATTAGTCGCAGAGATGGTCTGTGCACTCACGACTCAGACGTCAAAATGCCAATAAACGTAACGACGTCAGTAGCTTTGAGTGACTGAGCGGCCTCGTTGTCATAAATCTAACGAATCGCGGATGAGTCGAATTTCTGGTGAATCAGGCATGTCTACCTTGACTTGGACGCCGATATGGGGCGCATTTGGCACGGGAAACTTATGTGGTTGTGGTGGACCTTGAATAGAAGAACTACCTGAGAAGGTCAGACGCAGGCACCTCGATTCATCACGCTAAACATACTGCAATGCGATCGGTCCGTCAACTCTTCCGTTCTCCAATCAGTCTGTCCTGGCACCGTGACGGCCCATAAGACAGTAGCCTCTTTAAGGTCACAGTAATCGAAACTCGAAGGCCATTCACTAGCAGGCATATTCTGCGAGATCCCCCAACCGCCGCATTTATTTTCGTTCAAGCTCGCGAGATACATTTCCGGCGAAGACGAGGTGTCCTGTACCATGCCATGAAATCGCACCAAAGATCTATGTGTGAATGATTCAGGGGGACGGTTCACATCCAACGGAAGGACCTGGTAGCATCAGGATCAATAACGTTGATGTCAATGCAAAATTCCACAGATTCCAACCTCACGAAGGGTACCATCGGAATTTAGAAAGACGTCTGAAAAATGGCGGGCGACGACAGCGGGGAACTGGTCGATATGTGCGGTATGCTCCTCATAAAGCTCTTGGACGACTTTTGTGGGATCGTTGATGGCATCTATGAGAAAAGCGGATACCATGATGAATAACGCAACACTGGTTTACGGCGGGCGCGTTTGATAGTACGGTTTCAGTGACGCGCCTCCGCATAGCCGTTCGGCGTTACCTAAGCATTCGGCTGCATCATCCCGTGGCTGCGCCAAAGCGACTTGGACTACCACGACAACCATGCCTCTCTTCAACCGCGCAAAGAAGCGTGGTGACTCTTCCGACAATGCCCAAGACCAGAATGGAGGGCGTAAGAAGGAGAAAGGAAGCTGGAGGAAACCAGCAAGTTAGTCCACATGTTCAAGAACCCTTGAGAAGAACTCTGTCTCTAACATCCGCTTATTACATTAGATACTGCGTTCAAACAGCAGCGTCTTAAGGCGTGGCAGCCTATCTTGACGCCAAAAACCGTTCTCCCAACACTATTCATTATTGGGATCATCTTTGCACCAATAGGTGGCTTGTTGGTGTGGGGTAGCAGTCTTGTGAGTTCTAGGTCAGCTTGTGCTGTTCAATATCTACAACTGTGATCGAAAAGGTGTCGGAAATGACGTTCGACTATACCAATTGCTGGAATCAGTCAGTCTCGACGTCGCCCACCAACCTCTCCTGGGCGAACATGCCTTACACATATAACCTACGATCATCGGACTCGGGCAAAACAATCACACCTCCCCAATTCGCTTACTACTACGATGCTTCAGCACCAGAGGATCAGAAGCATTCATGCTACATCAACTTTGACGTCGTATCCGACTTGGCTGCCCCGGTGTTCCAGTATTACAAGCTCACTAACTTCTACCAGAACAACCGTCGATATGTCCAGAGTTTAGATACGTCTCAATTGCAAGGTGACTATGTCAGTTCGGCTACTCTTGGCAGCAGCAATTGCGATCCTCTTGGCTCCGTAAACGGGAAGGCTATATATCCCTGCGGATTGATCGCTAATTCTGTTTTCAATGGTGCGTCTCAAAGAGTACAATCCAGTATCTGAGATTCTGATGACCTAATGTTGTACAGACACTTTCTCTGGCTTTACGCCTGTTAATTCGACAGGCAACCCTTTCTATAATTTCTCACAATCTGGCATCGCCTGGCCCGGTGAGGCTAAGAAATACAGCGCCACGTCGGGTTACACCAATAATTTGGATGAGGTCGTACCTCCTCCGAACTGGGTGCTGCGCTACCCAAGCTACCCTAACGCTAGTTCCATACCGAACCTGCAAGCGGACGAGCACTTCCAGAATTGGATGCGGACGTCAGGTTTGCCGACGTTCACTAAACTTTATGGACGTAACGATACTGCTACCCTGCAAGCGGGCCAATATCAAGTCCTTGTCTACATGAGTACGGTCGTTCGTTATTATCTGCTTCTGTTTCTGACTGTCGTGCTTGTTTTTCAGACTATCCGGTTCAGGGTTACAAGGGAACAAAATCTCTTGTTATTTCTACCGTGTCTTGGATAGGTGGGAAGAATCCGTTCTTGGGTTGGGCTTATGTTGCAGCATCATGTGTCTTTGTGTTCCTTGCATTAGCGGGGACTATCCGACACCTTCTCAAGCCGAGGTATGATGGTTTTTCATGTATCGTGAGACTATGGCTAAATGCGCTGCAGACGTTTGGGGGATATGACGTTGTTGTCCTGGAACCAATAGAGCATGTTGGATTTTACGAACACTCGTATGTACTGAAGGGTGGCCGATTTGACCCTGTAACATCATTCCATGAACTTAGCCCATTGCATATCATATTCTATCTAATCTATGAACTACAGTGAAGGGGTATAGCCAATGCCGTCGCAGCTTATAATGACGAAACCTGATGGATCCTCCTGGAGATGGAATGTAGCGCCGGTCATTTGTTCGGCTATTTTTATTGCAGTTCTGGGGGCAGAAGGATTTGAGTCAAAGTAGATTAATGTGAAAAGTGCCACCTCACCTTGTGTGATCTGTGAGAGGTCCCGTCTTGACTGTTGAGCGGCCCTTTGCTAGAGCTATGAAGATTATGATCTGGTCCTGAGTTTCAACTTTCAGCGGAGTGAACACCAACTGAGTAAATCGCTGACCTGTAGATACTCATCTACGCATCCATCATGACGAAGATTACGAAGGAGCTCCTCTGCAGCTTCTTTTCCAATTTCCTCTGGATCCCTGCCCCTGGTGCTAACTGAAGATCCGGCTATCATACACCCGTTGTCAGTCTCAGCGAGTAGCAAGATTCCCCCTCCACTGCCGACTGTCTCTTGCTCGGTTTCTCTGACCGCGTTGATCCGGACGATAGTAGGAGAAACGCCTCCGGCGAGTAGCGTAGCCCGCGCAGCGTTTTTCATGCGTTCTGCAAGAAAGAAAGGAAGCCCTCCGACGCGTGCTTCACCTCTGATGAGCCGAACGGGGCCCCTCTCCGTAAGGGTTACTGGAGGAAGTGCCTCTGTGAGGGAGGGAACACTACAAAACACAGTTCCGCCTCCTTTTGGGAAGTAGCCCCGTTGTATGATTTTGAGCGCGATGTCGAGGCCAAAATGACGTTTCATGAATGGCAAGAAGACGTGCTGGGTATAGTCTATCTGGGGAGCTTGGGATGCATTTGTTCCTCCGCGGAGAGTGAGTTGGGAAGGCGGAGTGGGCGAAGGAGAGAATAGTAGACACGGCAAGGAGACTTGGAGAAGCAGGGTGGTTGAGCCTGCAGTTCCGGGGTCAGCGGTTAATGTTTTGGGTAGTCGTATTTTTCTGGGTTTGAAGGTGACGCTGGTGGATGACAAGTGGACGCCGTCTGTTTCAGCTGAACAGATGGCGGCTGCAAGATTGATCCCTGATGATCGGAGTCAGGGAGAGTGAGATATGAAGCCGATGGGTGGATATACCTGCTTCATGCTGTTTTCGAAGGCCTGGAGGTCTTCGATTATGGCGAACGTTTTGTATGGATATTGGTTTTGACAATAGTGCGGAGAGAGCGACAGCGTTACGAAGGATTTGACCACCACCTTCACAAAAGCTTCCATCGATGTGCAAGATGGTGGAAGTCATATTCCAAATGTGGATTGGTCCGTGCGCTGTTGAAGAATCTATAAAAGGGAGCTGTGGACTACTTGAATCCTTACCACTCTGGCCTTTTGGCTTAGATCAAGTGTAGTATCTGTTCTTAATAGTTTAACCACTATTATGAGGGCACCGCCCTCATTCTTTGGTTATCAAATTTTTGCCGCCCTTGTTCTCACGAGCTCTGCTTGCACCTCGAGAGACATGATGACCTTGCCACTGCACTACAGGCTTGTGTCGTCGGGGGATTCCTTTTTCCCACAAGCTCTTACTCTTTGTGATATCGCTACTGCATCGTCTCTTGACTTTGTATGGTGCTTCGCAAACAGCATGAGTCCAAGTCTAGTTGGTGGTAATGCAAGGACATTGTATGAACGTGTGGGTATCTCCGAATTAGTTACACAAACTAAAGAGTATGGTCATTATGAAGAAGTACTACCGTTGAAGTCCAGATCCGAGCTAGGGAACAGTCTGAGGCTTCAAATTAACAGCACAATGACAACAGCTCACCAGATTCCGTTGACGCGAGAGCCATGCAGTGGGAGCGGGCTTCCCCTTTGATGACGGATTTGATGCGTTTCGAAGCTTGACCATGCCATGGTTGAACACGCAGCTGGACATCAGTGCTTGCTCTTTGCGGTGTCGCTTCTCCAGATTGAGGCGCATCGTCTAGTTGACTCGTGAGTTCCGACCAGGCAGCTTACTATACAATGTTCGCGTACCTTCTCGCGTTCAACTTCATCCTTCAAATCCTTGATTTGAGTCTGGAAGCTTCCCTCAGCCTCTTCGAAAGAGGACTGCACCGTGGTTCACACATCAGAACATCGATAGACAAATTAACCTAAACTCACCATTGCACGGCCACCGAGTTTAGCCTGCTCCTCCTTGAAAAGTTTATCCTGGGACTTGATAAACTAAAAGCAGAGCTGAGCGAGCAACAGTCATTCTTGGCTGTATTACCTACCTGCCGTGCTTTCGCAAGCTTATCTTGAGTGGTTTTCAATTGCTCCTTCACAACCACGTTGTCTTCATGCAAAGCTAGTAACTTTGCCTTGATGTCCTCCGGTACATCTTTGCCAGAGACCGATGCTCGCAGGTCACTAGTAGCAGTCAGCCATCCAGACCACTGTCAACAACTGCAACGACCTACCCAAAGACTCGCTCACGCTGCAGCATCTTCTCCCTCTGACCAATACCGTCGCTCTGCAGGTTCGCCTTCTCAAGCAGGAGCACATTCACCTGCTCCAATTGCATCTTATTCTTTTCGTTCAGCTCCCTGATCTGGTTCTTTAGGCGATTCATATCAGCTTCCATCCCCGCCTTGTCTTCCTTCAGCGATTCTCGCAATGATGCAAGAATGTCCACCTGATCCTTGTTTACAAGATTCACTGTGAAGCACCACCAGTCAAAAAAAAAAAAAAAAAAAAAGAGTACCGCTTTCGACATCCAGATACTTACGATTCGATTTGGCAATGGTTAGCTCCCTCATCTGAGTCTCAAAGGCGACCTCAAGCTGAGCGTGCTCTTTCCGCAAAGAATCCAACTGATCCACCGTCTCGTTAAGACGTTGTCGCAGTGCAATCGCAGCTTCCGGTCTGGGAACGATTTGAATCGGCTACTTGTATATGAGAGACTCACTCACCCATCTCCTAGCGCTTTGCCACTCCGGATGTCCTCGAGGTCGCGTTGCAACACCAGCTTTTCTCGATGTGCAGTCATATAATCCGCTTCGTACCGTGCCTTCATCCTATTGGCGTCTTCTAGCAGGTTCTGGAGGACAAGTATGTCGCTGGCGTCGGATTCGTTCTTCTTGGCTGAGTTCAACTCTCGTTGCAACTTCTTCACCTGCAGCTTCAACTGCGTCATCGTCGTCCCTGTAATGGCATCATCCAGCTCCCCATCAAGACCAAACGAGTCGCCCATGAGCTCTTCCTCAGTCAGCCCATCGCTGTTCCCCAAAGGCTCTGTCCCCTGCGTTTCCGTTTTCAACGTGGTGGGTGCCCGATGCGAAGTCAGTTCCATCTCGCGCATACGTTCCTGGTAGAGCTCCAACATCTCGGTGTCCTTCTTGCGCTCCTCGGTATTAATCTTCAACTTCGTATGGGCTTGTTCCAACTCGAACTTCACTGTCTCCACCTCTTGTGACCGTGTTGAAACCTTTCCTTCAAGCTCATTTATTTGGTTCTTATAAGATTCTATGAGTGGCCTGAATGCGGCGACCTTGCGGTAGTCCTCCTCGAGCGCTGCGTTCTTGTCGACGAGATCGGCATTTTGTGCCTCAAGTGACTGAATGAAGTCATTAAAGCGGTCCGCATGGTTACAACAAAGAGCAAACCTTGACGTGTTGGCGAAGGTCAGCTCCCTCCTGGAGTTTCTTCTTGTACTTCTCCATGACGTTCTCTGTCTTTTGTAGTCTATCAGCTGCATGACGATACCTATGTGTGTTGAGTATCGAGGTCCAGTGATTGACATAACACACGTACTCGTCTACTTGGTCTTTGAGGCGCGCAGCCTCGTCAGCTTTGACCTGCAACTCATCGATTCGGCGTGTGAGGTCAGTCACCAACGATGTATGTTTGTCTAGCTCAGCCTCCGCCATAGCAAGATTGTCTTCGCTCTTTTGGCTAGCACCTCCGCAGACATGAGACGAGATCTAGCTGATTGGTTCGAACGTACTCACAGTTCAGTGCGAAGGCGCTCGATCTCAGCGCGCATCATCCCATATGCATTATCATTGCGTCTGCTCTCAATGCCCCTTTGTGCTTCGCGTAACCGTGTCAACGCATCGTCCTTTTCAGAAACCATATCATCGTAATTTGTTTGTAGCGTCCGGTGCTCTTCAAGAAGAGCCTGATAGACCTTCTCTACAGTCTCCTTCTCTGAAAGGATCTGGCTCCTTTCAGACTGGATGAGGTAGTAATGGTCGTCCCTGAATATCTCATCAATAACGATAGCTCGTTCTTCACAACCAGCGACTGACTCTGTCATGCTGCTTTCTCCAAAACTGATATCCCCCTGCGCATCGCTAATCTTGCTTATAACCTACGCGCACGCATCAATAACTGTGAATACTCCAGCATGCAATCAGACATCACCTGCTCAATAGCCTTCATCAAAAAATGCTGGTCCTCCTCATTCAACTGCTGAATCCGAGCGATAATCTCCTTGTTCTGCTCGCACTGCACGGCGATCGCGATCGTTATCCGACACATGATAAGCGTCGCACCGACATCGCGGTCCTTCGCGATCGCCTGCAAGTCCGGAACTTCAAGACCGCTCGTAGGTTTCTGCAACACTTCAGCAAAGTACTGCGTAAGAAGTCGGTAGAGACGCTTCAGTGCGCTGAACCGGAGAACCCAATTATCAGAGAGCTGTGCGGAGGACCTGCTGGATTGCTTGAAATATTCTGCGTCTCTGATGGCGTACGTTTTAGTTTTAGTTTCTTTCTTGAATTAATTACAGATGTGGTGACGTGAGACGTACACTAGGGCGAGAACGTCGAAGAGTGCGGCGCCATCGCTGAGGTCGTCGACGGTTGTGACTGGTCGGGCGAGGTTGAAGGTTGCGAAGAAAGAGATGAAGGCGTTGATCTCTTTTCGCTCCTGCTCAGACATGGCTTTCAGGATTGCGAGCTCCAAGCGGCGGTGGTTGATGCAGAACTTGTTCTCCTTAGGAATTAATTGTGGATTTTTATTGGCTAAGTATACTACTTGCCTATAGCTCCCGTCTAATTTCAATGGAATTGCTAACTTTAACTAGCTTGTGTGTATTCACGGGCTAGATTTATTATACTCTGTGCAGATCCTTGTTTGCGCAATTGCAATGCAACGGTACTTACACATGAATTGGATGGGTATCTATGCACCTCATATAAAGTCAATGAATAGCAAATTATTGCCATAGATATATACCCTACAAACCGAGCTAGACGATATACGATACCTCCCTAACCCCTGTATAATTTCGAAAACCAAAGTGTCGTGCAGAGTAGCGCCGCTGCAAAGACATAAAACACTCTTCCTTCCTTCATGGAATCGCCACTTGCAAGCAAGTTGCGCAGCGGAAGAAAGATCAGACCGATGACAAAATTGCTCGACCCTTGGAAATTGAAGTTGGACACGGACTTTCGAAGGCATAGATGGATACTTACAGTTTAGCGACAAACCCACCGATGAAATGGCGGACACAGCCTGTGTGAGGTCAGTGAAGGAGCTATGCACTTTGTGAAGAAACTGACATGGGGTGGTGCCACCTCGGAGATGATGACAAACGGAATAGGACCTAATCCGAAGGCAAATGACCTTCGATGTGACATGAGTTTCGCAGAGGAGTTGGATATGAACCACGCACATGACAAAGGTCGTGATTGCGATGCTGGACAAAGTCACGAGGCCGTTATTCAGCCCATAGCCAACAGCCAGATGAGACAGAATAGCGCAAGCAACTGATAATTGGATTAGTTGTTTCCTGCCCACTCGCTAAGTACCCTGTTAAGTTGCTGCAAATACTTGAACAGGACTAAACTCGCCTCAATAAGGAAGATCGGCGGAAAAGTCATGAGAAAGTTGACAATTGTGATTGCCAACGAAACATATGATGCTAGTTCAGGGAGGGATTTAGAGAGTATATCGTTACTGTAGTACAAGACTATGGTAAATTGAGAAATGTTATTTAGTGCAATTTCATGTTCTGCTTACCCGCGTTGATTCCTGATATCTGTTGGGATATCATGGCGGCAATAATTGTCAATAGAGGCCGGCGAAGTTCAGTAGAGGCGAACAGTTGAGGAACAGTAATTGCAGGCTGGCGGCTAGCTGAGACGCGTTCTGTAGCGCTGTCACTGTCTGACAACAGAGGCTCCTCGCTGTCTCCTTCCTCAGCTAAAGACAAGATCAGAGTTGTCTCGGCAGGTCAGTATCTGCTCACGATCTGCACGCGAAATATCATGAGTTTCGCCCCACAATCTTTGAATTGCTAACTTCTCTTGATCTACCAGTCCCTTTCGGTTGAGATACGAAGGGGACTCTACAATAAACGGGCTGCTGAAATACTGGAAGATGGATATCCCCGATGAGATGAGTAGTACCAAACGCCATTGTCGGGGAGTGGCAAGACCGAAGCCCATTCCTTGGGTGGCCATAATACCGATAACTATAGCCAGCTGTGTGAGAACGCCTAACGAGATGGTTAATCAATATCACTGGTGATTCACGGATCAAGGTGCAGCGCGAACCCAAATTTCCCTTTATTTTGACTGGCGCTATCTCAGATAGATATATAGGACAAAGGCAAATGCCCAGGCCTGCCGCGAGGCCAACAAGAAATCTGTGGGCGTGAGAGACTGTAGTGGATATTGCTAGTATGAAGCACATACCTGCCAAGAATCAGTGGACCTACGGAAGAAGACAGTCCGAATGCTGCTGAACCAGCTGTTGTGAGCACAGCACTAAGACGAGAAGCGCCTTTCCGCCCATAACGGTCCATAACGATGTTAGCACTCAGACTACCAAAGAAGCCTCCCATGGTGTATATGGACGTCACTACAGAGAATGTTGCGTCGGACATGGGGATACATGTGGGCAAACCGTAGTATATCGGGGTTGTTGGATCAATGACTTTACACGTCAGGACAGCTTGTAGCTGATTCAAAGCGGACGTGTGATAACCATACTTGCAGAAAGACGTGATTAGGCTTGAACTTGAGTAAGGAGCATCATTGGGTAAATACCTGGAACGAAACAGTGAGGACCCATAGGCATACGAGCCAGCCATACTGAGTGAATGTATGAGCATCCTTAGAAGTCATCTGAAACTATGAAGACCGCAGTGTAGCTTGAACTCAACTTGAACTGCTATAGGCTACGGCAAGTAGGTCCGAGGTTTCTCACGCATGATATAATAATGCACGCTAGCCTCGCTTAAAACATTAGCCTAGTGCCTGGAGTCTTGGCTAGTCTTGGACGTGTCTGACGATCAATGAAAGTCTCGGGGGACTTGTCACTGGTGAGCAGACGCGGCCACTAGCACTTTTAGACATCGCTACATCGTGCACTGAGGCTCGAAATATAGTATGTAAAGCCTGTGGGAGATGTTGGTTTCACTGACCTGAACTATATTTTAGCCTAATGATACTTACGAGTATAATGCCATCACCATATTAATGCTGCTACTCCGTTCTTCGCCGTTCTAACGGACTTTGCAAATTTGAATGGTGAAACCCGGCGCCGCAATGACATGTCAATGAGCTGCTAGAGATGTCATTATGTACGTACTCAAGCTCAAGCTTTAGATTACCCCCGGATGCTCATATGATCCATTCTGATCATTCTAGTCATTCACTTCCACATGATGGTGATTCGGTACCTTCACGGTTCCCAATTCGGAACAAGCTACCCTACTAAAAGTTGATCAGACTGGTTGCTAGGCTTGCTTTTTCCTCCAACTTGCCAAGATAGCCGTGTCCTACACGTTCGGTCCGACCTTCACTGCACTCTTTTTACTCCCAAGCTTCGCTGGCCTCTGCTGGCCTCTTCACGCTCTCTATAACTCACGCTCATTTTGTTTCGTACTATGTCACATGCTGCATTCCTCGTAGCTGCCTTTCTCGCATTTACCTTGCCTCATGTTTATGCTGCCACTGCCGACCAATGGCGAGGTCGATCGATTTACCAGTGCGTGTATCTACCCATATCACTAAGTATCTAATTGAATAATTTTTGTAGAGTCATCATCGACAGATATGCTTTGCCCGAAGGCGCTGACCCTAATCAGTGTCCACCTGGAAGCCGTACATGGTGCGGTGGGACCTGGAATTCGTAAGTACCGCAAACACTCTTTTATACTTCATCCTGACCTCCCACAGTCTTCGCCAGAATTTAGACTACATCCAAGACGCAGGTTTCACCGCAGGTACGCACAACTTTATTCATAATAAACAATTAAGATGTCTGACCTTATGTTTCAGTCTGGATAAGTCCTGTTTCCCAAAACTATGAGGGTCCGACTACTCCATATGGAGACCCCTACCACGGATACTGGATTGCGGATGCTACTCAACTCAACTCTCGGTTTGGCACGTCTGACGATCTCAAGGCTCTTTCAGATGAATTGCATCGTCGCGGAATGTGAGTGTATTCACAGGTCAACATTCACATCTTTAAATCTTTCAAGGTACTTGATGATTGATGTCGTTGTCAACGATGTCATGGCCACATCGATAACCCCCGATTTATCCACATATATGTTCAAAGAACAGGTAAAACTATTTTTCTGCGGCGTGCTGCAAATATTCAATTATTGAGTCATTCACATTGACATGTAGTCGCAATACCATCCATATTGTCCTATAGATTGGGGCAACAGCACCAGCGAGGAAGAATGTTGGTTAGGCGACACCGTTGTTCCCCTTCCTGACCTCAACACAGAAGACCCAACTGTTGTTGCCGGGTTCGGTGACTGGATTCAGTCCTTGGTTAAGGAATATAATATTGATGGACTCCGAATCGATGGTAAGTGCGTTTAAGCATCTTTATTATCACAATATAATGAAGACTTTTCCAGCTGCGAAGTGAGACTTTCCTCAATCCTCCTACTCACGCTAACTGAGGTATAGACATGTTAATATTCCCTTCTGGCCCGTGTTTTGTGGCAAAGCCGGCGTATTCTGCATAGGAGAAGTCTATGGTCCAGATGTCGAGTAAGGTCTCAACGGTCTATCCTACTCTACTTAACATTGGTTTGTATTGTAGCGAAGCCGCTGTCTTCCAGGGACCTGATGCCCTTGATTCAATTTTGAACTATCCCATGTACAATGCGCTCCTTGATGCGTTCACCATTCCTGGGTCACTGAATACGAGTGCCGTTTCAGACATGATCACGCAGGAGGCAACGAAGTTCAAGGTATGTGTACCATACCTGTGCGTGAATGTACTTTAATGGTTGTAGGACCCCACAATTCTCGGGAACTTTATCGAAAATCAGGACGTTCCTCGCTGGGCGAATATCTCTGTCGACCCACAAAGTTTATAGTAAGCTCTTTCCCGTATTGTATCCTGCAGATCTTTACTTGAAACAGCAACGCCATGGTGTTCAACTTTATGACTGATGGGTAAGTTGTATCGCCGCTTGCGCCAACAAATCGCTGACATGTGCTAAGCATACCCATTGTATATTATGGTCAAGAGCAGGGCTTTAGCGGGAATAGCGATCCTGTGAGTTGACCCTGCTGTTTTATTTTGATGCACCTTAACGTTGCCGCAGTATAATCGTGAGGCAATGTGGCCGTCGAAATATGCCAACACCACGACATATCAACTCATAACCACATTGAATCAGGTATGCCATAGTCCAAATTTGAGGGCTTAATGTTGACCATTGCGCCTCACAGTTCCGCAACTTCTTGGTTAACAACACGCAATGGGCAACCACGCCGACGCAGGTGCTTACGACATCACCATACGGCATCGCAACGTTGAAAGGGGATTGTGTCTCCATCATGACCAATATCGGATCTCCTGTAAGTCCGTGCAAACCTTGCGAGCCTTTATCTCCGCATTTTCGATTTTTTCTGATGTTACCATACCCTATTATTAGCCTCAAAACATCAGTATTCCCGTGTATACCCCATACCCTAGGAGCACGTCACTCACCAAGTCAGCCTCTTCTCAAATTTAACTCGAACATGAAAATTCACATCTTGTTATAGTGTAATAACCTGTGATCAGTGGCCAGTGGGCAGCAATGGCACCATCAATGCACAATATACTTTAGGAGGCGTGCCTCTTGTCCTCTATCCTACTACTCTTCTGCAGGGTTCTGGTTTGTGCGAGAACTCCGGCATCACGACGGGTTCAGCCACGTTCGTATCCTCGGCTCCACACATACACCGTCCTGTTATAACTCTTTTGTCTGCTGTTGTCTTCTTTGTTGTTGGGCTTTTTGTTCTGTTTTAGTGATGTTCAGGGATGCTAATGGATAAACTTTCATGTTGATTAAAGTTTCTCACAACCTCGACCACTGTTGGAAATATTGGGTCCAGTTCACCCAGCAGGCATTGATGGTGTCCTGATAATTAGGTATGTCATCGACGTAGCAGGTCTCCAAACGGTAAGTGCGGGGGTCCAGCACGCGAGCTGCACAATTCGATCTCGCCGTCAACTGCTGCACGCGCATAACCGTTGCACCAGCTTATATGTATACTAAGTATTGGGATTTAGGTAAGCTAGTGCATGCATGATATTAATTAGTACCCTAGGATGCCGAGATTTCTCGGTTATGAGCAGACTGGCAAGGTCGCACGCATGCGATTCGAAGGGGACTCTACTTGTGGTAATATTGTACCAGCATCTTATCTCGATAATAGGAATCATTTGAACGTCGAGTTCAAGCTTGCAGCAGAAGCTAAGCTGGGCTGTTCAAACATTATATATGACCTGCGGCATTTTTTTTGTGGTCTCTTCATTATGTAATGAGGCCGAAATGTCATTGTTTTGAACAAACATCCAATTACAGCAATCAAGGTTGAACTTTTCCGCTAGGAGCAAACTATCAGGACTCAGTGCTCAAAGTCCACGAAGCTGTCATTCCCTCGATCGAACTCATCAAGCAAGCCAAGTCTAAGTGGAGGCTGCGCCTATTTGTATACATACCTTCTTACTCCTTCAGGAGTATGCTGGCATCTGTGAGTGCTGCTTTGTCTAGTTCATCTCAGGAGGGCGATCAAACTTGAAGCTGTTTCTGCTTCGAGCTGATAGAGACCCGTTATATATCTCTGTCTTTCTACTGAGCTCTGAGCACGTTTGAGAGTCGCAGAACTGACGGTTGCAATTGAAATTTCAGGTTGTTTGTTTCGCACATCACTCCTTGGACCTCTCTCTAGCATCAGCATCAAGCTTGTTGACAAGATGTTTATCCGTGACACGCTCAAGAACAAACTTACTTTCCGGCGCAAGAGCGAGGGCTCTTCTTCCATCGTCAAATTACCTGCGGATACAAAGCCTGTAATCGAGTCCAACTCGCCGACCTTTGGCGATGCAACGTCCCCTCCTTCATCTTCAAAGGCTCACAAATCTCGCCTTTTCTCCACTTTTACGCACATCAGAAAGATGTCTCTGGCTAGCGTCTTCAAGAAGAGACCTGTTAGTTTTCTCTCAGTATCATGCACTGCAATCGACTCACTTGTTTTCAGTCGGTCCAAATACCACCCACGGTGTTACATTGTACAACTTCTGCCGTTCCAGACTTATCTAGACATATCCTGGCTGTTTCTGAGGATGGTGTCTTACATCCTGTGATGCCCTCGCCAACTGAACATTGGGAGGGCGGTGCAGAATTCCAGCGCATATCTTCTGCTATGGACAGATCTTCAGATCAGGACGATATAAATCCCAGTCCTCCTGGTAGTCGCATAGCAAATCGCGTTACCAGTTTGCGAATGAGAACTGCTGCAGTTTGGGCCAGCATTCCGGCCACTGTGGAAGGACTACCAGATTTATCCACATCTAGCGAAACGTCTACTCCAGTCAAATCCCATATGACTTCCTTGGAGCACTGCGAGACCACAACTGTCGCGTCTGTAACGGTGGACAGCCCATCGTTCTCATCACCTGCTACCTCTGTCACGGCAGTGTCAGATTGGGGTCCGCGAGACTCTTTGGCCAATCTCAGCATGACAGGTTATAAACAGGAACGGGTACTTGTGATGCCCAAGGTATTTATCACGTTCTTGGTTTAATATCGCGACTTATGGCATCGTGAAGGTCTTACCTGGTTTGGATGTTATCTCCCTCGCCCAGCCATCAGAGCTAGGATTGGCATGTACTAGACCTCCGTCTGAATGTCGGAGGCCCAATGGGGACAAACTTAACTATACCCCCAATACTCCTACATCTGGTTGGGAGTTATCCCCTGAGATGCCAAGCAGCTCATCAGGGCAGCATGCAAGTTCACGATCAGCTGGGCACCTGGACTCACCTTCTCCGAGCCCTCGAACGGCTCATACTGTACCAAGCACTACTGGTTACCCCAATACTGCCAAACGATCCTTTCACTGGTTGCCAGTCGTGCAACTTTTCACGAATTCGGATGAAGACCTCCCAACGTCCAGCATTCGAGGCTCTCTTACTACTCTGTTCCAGAGACCGCTCGCAACGGAGATGCCCGTTCGCCCATGGTCGTGCGCTAAGATCGCGCGTGCTGAAACCAAGCGGGCGTCTCGTAAGAAACAATTGAACAAGGAGGGCTTCTTTACCCGCGTATCTCACTTGTTGGAGGCTGGTCCTCAAGACAGTATTCCTGTCTCGTACAAAAGGTGTGCCTCTGCAGTGTAGTCTTCCGCTTCCGAAACCATGCTGATGATTTGGACAGGTAGAAATACTTAGAACTACATCGGAACTTTCCTCTATCACTGTTACCCGTGTTTTCATTCTCGTCGTCTCATTGTATCATTTTTCATCGATGCGCTCTGGAGCACATCATCGGTCTAGTTCATAATACATCGCACACATCCATTCCTATCCATTGCATAGTCACGTAGTCATCATCACGTTCTCTCGCTCTCGTTCTCGTTCTCGGATTATTCACTTTTTCGTTGCAATTGACATTAGGAGAATATCTATCTACTTCCCGCTCTGGTGTGGGTACAAAAGCACATATGCACCACGTCCGCAATCACTGAAGCGTTGAATTTGGTCATTGAGGCTGTGCCGCGGGGTTTATTATATTCGCCTCGGATCCACTCCACCTCGACCAGAACATGTCTTCCGGAACTATTGCACAAGCAAGTACACCATAAAGTATACGAGTCAGGCAATTGACATTCATGAGTATAGGACCCTACATGGAAATCGAGAGAGCAAGGTGAAGAAGCGAGATACATTCGCGAGAAGGCGAGGCTTCCCAAGAGGCTACTACATTAACCATGCTTACCAGCTTTCTATACACAGGAGCAAGCTCCACTCGCTGCTCTCCACGAGGAGCAGGAAAAGCGCTCCGCTGCATCTAATAACTCCACCAAGGATCGTGATTTCGAAGGTGGCTTTGGAGGCCAAGAGGATCTGGAAGATCGGTACGCAACGACTAGCGGAGAGCACTAGCAGGGAGGGCTGGCATTGCAAGGCGTCGTCAAACAAGCATAGATACATGTGTCATCGCAACATGAGAGACGAAAGGAAAACGACAGCTAGGGCTAGGTTGTGATGTGTATGGACGTCGTGCCTATGTTTGCAAGATTAAATATGTAATGCGTCCGTAGGTAGATAGGAGTATTGTCAAAAGAAGGGAAGATACGATATATGTTGCAAGTAGTTGGAGTTCGGTTTGAATATAACATAAAGGAAGTTATTCAACAAGTCAGCTGAATCCATCGTTCTACCGTACTCCAGATCCAATAGCCCAAGAAAATCCGATATCTTGTAGTCCAATCAAATTCACGTGAAGATAAAAGTTGCACCGACACTGTCCCAAATTTAACGAGTGGCGTTATGATTGACGACGAGCGTTAGAGGTGATAAGCGGAGCAGGAACCGCTCGTGCGGTAGCTCCACTGCTACAAAGGGGCGAGGGCGGTGCGGCGGTCCCAATCCATGGATTGAGATAGCTGCATGTTGCAATCCCAACCATTCCACTTGCAGTATCCGAAGGATTATCCCAGCCATTGCCAGCATTGGCGGTTTTAACAGAATGACCAGAAGAGTATGTGAATGTAGGAGGAGGAAGGGTCGCCACAGTTCCCGTTGGGGTATAGGAAGGTAACAAAGAGACAGCGCCGGCATTACTGATCGTAGCAGGCGGCCAGGTGTATGATGAAGTGACGGCTGCAGCAATCTGGCCTGCACCTGCACCTCCTGTTTGCCATGCCTGGAGAGGAGGACTCCATATACCTTGATTTGCGCATGTTCCTGATGCAACTCGAGGGTCTGTGGGCATCCATCCATTCTGCAGACCAAGTTGGTACGACCATTGCGGTGACTCGACCACACCAGAAGTAGAAGAGTTTCCGATCTTCCAAGTCCAGAAGAACCAGTTCTATACACATTCATTCATATTGAACCACCCGACTTGCAAGCTAATCGCTTACCTGCAAAGCGTCCATGCTGGCCAAGGCGAATTGCTCGATGCTTGATTTCATGGTCGCGTTCCAGCTCTGCCAGTCCGTCCATGGCGTGCAGCTCCCTACGACAGGCCAAGTTCCTGGAGTATATGTACCCTCATAACGTGTTCCAAGTCCCACGCCGTTCAGATAAAGACCGCAGTCAGTAACAGCATTACTGAATTCTCCGGCAGCTGTGAACCCGAATGCATTCATGGAGGTGTTCATCAAGGCACCCCAGGTAGTGCATGGAGTCTGAGCGTAAGATGACATAGGGGCAGAAGACTGGCCATCAAAGCAGATGTAGGGATGATCATCGAGAGCAATGCGGTCAGCATTCGGGAGCCAGTCAGCCCATTGAGGAAGACCGAGAAATCCATCGTGGTAGGAAATGAAGGGACCATTGCCTTCCCCAATGCCCGAAGCCTCGCGGACGTAGTCGTATGCCTGCATATAACTACCAATCATGTGTTCGTTACCGAGTGTGGTGATTCACAATCATTGATACACTTACAACCGAGAGAGAGCATCCTTGCCGATCGGGGTTCCTTGGGGCTCGTTTGTAATACCGAAAATGACAACAACATCCTTGTACTCAGGCTGAGAGATGAATTCCGCAATGATCCGAATATAATCTAGTGACCGCTGGGCGTTTGCAATGCCCATTGGGCCGTAAAGAACGTTTATTGACCCGAACTTGCCGGAGTGATTCCACCCATTCTGGCTTCCAGGAAGGGCATGGAAGTCGAGGTTGATGCGAAGACCATACTTACGAGCCCACTGAATAGCCTTTAAGAAATATCTAAAACTTGCTTCAGCAGGGGTAACGGGATGGGAAGGATGATGCCAACGTACGTCCACGAGGTCTTGGGAAGGAACGGTTCGCCTGATCGTACCTCGATCGCCCAGTATGGAAGAGGAATGCGGACAAAGTTCAGTCCTGCTCCAGCGATTTCGGCAAAATCTTGCTCGGTCTGGGAACCGGTTAACATCTTCGGCTCCATGACTCGCGGCGTAAACAGACTTACAATGAACGTTTGATAATGCGTTTCCAGTTGCGACAAACCGCCACCCGGTGATGTGTCAGCGGCCATGGCCTGGCTCAGTGTCCACTCATCAATAGCTGTAGGGTATTTCTGATAAAGAGCGGGTGCTCTGCGACAAAGATAAGCAAGATACAAGGTTACCCGCAGCGAGGATATACTTGCATAAACTGGTACGAGACATCAGTACAATATGTGAGTCAAAGTGATACCGACTCACTGGTTCTGTAGTAAGCCAACCGCCCAAATTAACGCTGGAAAAAAATAATAGGTTATTGGGGGGTACAGGGAACGATCGAGAAAAACATACCCAAAAATCTTATCAATGCCGAACCTGAAGGTCTGGTTGAGAGGAAGGGTCCACGACTGAGCCTGAGCATTATTGTTGAATGGATCTTGGGGATCCCAATACCAGGTGCCACCGAAAGGGTTCAAGTACGTGAAGGTAGTACCATCCTCCGTTGTAATCGTGCTGCCGTTGCCACCCGTGACTACATCAGTAGATCCAGGTTGACCGGACGAGGTCGAGGTTGATGTGGGATTGCTGGGAGAAACGGAGCTATTATTGGACGATGTTGATTTCGGCTTGACCAATACGAAATATATGGGAACAACAATAGCAATGAGTACTATGACAGCTGCAAGAATTGAGCCAGCTATGATAAGTCCGCGCTTTGATTTTACACGTGGGGTTGTGTATGCTGACCGCTTCTCAGCAAGATAACGAGGGCTGCTGATATTCACAGGCTGACCAGAGCCAGAATTGTACTCAGGGTCATTGGGATCATCACGATAGGCAACAGAATTTTCAGCGTCAGAAGTGTTTTGGTTCAAAGCGTAGACAGAGGACGTGACGACGGAAGGTGCGGTTATGAAGGTGTTTTGGGTGTGCTGTGAGGCGAAGGAATCTCGATATCCGTTAGAGGGATCGTCGTATAAAGCAGCGCCGAGAAAACGTGGTTGGGCGGCACCGGGGGGAGTTGTGTCCGAAAAATAAGACATTTCGACAGGAGGAGTGTTGAAACCGGAATCATGGGGAGAGGAAGGGTCATTGTAAAGAGAGTCCCTGGGTGGATCTTGAGTCAATGGCAAAGGATCGTAAGGAATATCTTGAGAATGTGCGTTATTATTGGGATACATGGTATCGGGAGGAGGTGAGACGACGATTTCAGGATGCGGGTCCTGGTTGTCCATGGTGGAAGAAAACGTTAGTTCGGCAGTATGGCAATGAATGGAAGAGAGCTTTATGTAAATATAAAGCTGCGCTCGATTGGAATCACAGCCTCATGGTATACGAATCGGATTGTCAAGTAAAAAATAAACTTACTATATGACTAAGACCTGGGTCCAAGTAACACAACAGAGATAGCAGCTAAACGAGAGAGCTTGGAGGCAATGGTGGGGTTAGAAGAAGATCACAGCCGAAATGGTTCTTCAGCCCGAATTTTGTTACTGCCTCCGAGACTTGTCAAACTGTCAGACTGTCAAGATCTTAAATTAACCGTCGTGAGGTCTCCTGATGGGGGCCCGGGTCGTTGAAAATTTGACCGGTATAAGGTACCCATCCTCCGACGAGATTTCGCTAGAGGACGACGAAGGAGGTATCAAAGTGCGTGACCTTGACTCACTCGCTTTTATGCGAATTCGAAGCAAACACTGCATTTTCCTTCCTGAGGCTGGAGGAGGTATCAAATCCAGAAGGCTCCAGATTGGGACTCGGTAGGGACTTCACTTGTCCTGCCGTGGTGTACGCGGTCTGGCCTTTGACAATTTGAAAACGTCGGCATGTCTTTATGTAATCTGTTATCAGCATCGCAATGCCCTTCAGAAGTCTTCGATCGAGCAAACATTCTAGCCACTCTACCAGGCGTGATGAATATTCCAGTCGCCGTTGATGCGTGCACACTGACAAATTTTCACGGAGATTGGTTTCTATCATATGTTTTAGAGACTTGGCATGTCAAAGTTGCCTGCCATCAACACGCAGCTGTGCGTGTCAGTCCCATGAACACGCCCACTGCCTAATATTGCACCACCTGTCACCGAAAACCAATGCGAATACTCAGGCTCAATGAACATCTATGACAAGGGAACTCGTTCAAATGTCGCCTGAGACCCCATGACCTGCAGCGGTCTAAATTTATGTACTCTGCACACTTGAAACAACTTACACGAAAGATTTTTGATGGTTTCAGATATGTCTCGGTTCCAACTTTAGTCTTGAATTATTTTTGCGCGACAAGTATCTTCGGGTCACATGAGCGTACTACCATTCGCTTCCGATCTAATCGTTGATGGCAGCTTCTTAAGTAAGCACCACAGTCTTCGAGTTCGCCGTTCCTAAACTTAACCCTTTGTGTACTATATAGCCAGGACTGCACTCGTAAATACTAACATCATGGCTTTGTTTTTCATAAACTTATTGCCAGCTGATCCGATCTTCAAGTTTCGAAAAATTACATAACTTAGTACGCTGCATTAGCCCCAACTAGAACTATTCAAGCGGTCGCTACAACGGGGAAACAAAGTTTCTTCTATACTTAGCTAATCAGAGATATTCTTGGCGTGGGTACATGTCAGCTGACCCAGGGAGCGAGATAACAACGACGTAGACTGATACATGAATTGGACCACGATTTCAAATGATTAGCCCATATCTCGAACAACCGTGACAAGAGGAAAAGCAAAATCAATTTGAAGCGGTCCAGCTTCGTCTAGCTCGAGCCTCGAGAGTTGCTAACACGATTTCACAGATCAGGATGGGACACAAGCGGGTAGAGCTCAGGTGGGCAGGATACCTGCCCGCTGACCGTGTCGAATGACTCTTCGAGTAGGACTAAACGCACTACTACATTGACTAGGGGACCACAGAATGTGAAACTGCAATGCGAAAGACGAAAGGAGTGCACTCTAAAGAAGAAAAATAGGGCGAGTGAGGATGTACGAAAGGTATGTACTACGAGTCCGTCATGGCGAAGAGAGTAAAACGAATACGGGCAAGCGTCGGAACTCCAAATTTTCAAACTCCGTGCTTCTCCTCTGTGTTCTGAGATAGATATCACACAAACGACTCATGTTATGACGGAGCAGCTACTAAATCTGACCACGCATAAACCGCATCATGTGTTCGAGGGCCGACATGTGACAGCCTATCATGCATCATGGCCCACAGCTGATGGCCACAGCAACTCTATAGGAACGATGATCATTCGTTCAAACTGCATAGAGTAATCGTAGATCAAACAGCACATGAACCAATTGAGTGCTGAAATTACTGAAATCCAAATAGGACAAAAAACGATAGCCATTCCTGCACTTTTCCCGCAGTAACCAGCATGGGTTGTTTCGTTTCTTTTGCAAGAAAATCGAGTGAGGTCAAAGAGTTTACAATATTTTGGCATCTCAAGGTTGTCAGGTAATGGCCTCGCAATCTATGGTTGCAATTGGGCCACGATCAAGAGTACTACTGTTGAGTACTGCCAACAGCTACACAATCCGCGACTGTGAGATTTCAAACTCCGTGCATCCTCCTCACTGAGGCTCTGATCGAGATGTGCCAGCCCAGCTGGCCGAGGTTCCATTGCCCATCTTTTTCCTTGACTAGAGCACCCTTGCCATCTTATTGCATATCCACTTCACCGCACCCAACTCACTCGTCTGTCACTTTCAAGTTTGCTGCTCGTTATTCTCCAGCGATTGACGGTACGCTTTCGTACCGCTCGAGTGTTTGGTTTAACGAGACGGGCCTGGGGAAGGAAAGACGGAATTTGAATGATCATCCGGACGACGGGGGATTATATACTGTGGTGATACCGTGCATCTGAGTGTCATCAACATCTAGGGAAGATTCTGGTGTGTGAACGACGTGAGCCGGTGCCGGCACCGTGTTTGCTCGGGGATCGAAGGGATCGAGATGGGCCGGCCAGCGTACACTGTCACTGTCCATGGTTTATACTATTCCTCCTGGACAAACCCTAGCCAGCGCACGCGCCCGGAGGATAGCGAGAGAGGCTCTGCAGTCTGGACTCTGCGCTCATGTTACTTTCTACCAAGCCTAATTCAGCCTAGTTCCAGCTGTTTTAAAACTTTCGACGCTTTTCGCCGTGAATGTTATGTCAATGCCATATATATGATCAGGGTAGTACTATGCGATGTCAAAAAATATGAGTCGCTTGTTCGCTCATTCAATTGTGCTGTATATATCGTTGAGGCAGACGAGTACGACTGGATATATTTTATGCTCTCCTCCATATGCATGACCTATAATGGAATGCAACCGTTTTGACGCCTATAGCCAGATTATATATAAATGGTCCAAATGGGCGTCTATAGTAGTAGTTAGCGACGGCTCTCAAGACGGTACTACCACATATGTACATGCATTGCCTAGCACTGCACAGTGCCGTCGAATGCCACCTCAACAAAGTTCAAGTTCCACGCATTACGGGTCCTGAATACAAATTATCATTTTCGGGTTTGTGGTCAAGGCGACTTCCGTAGCACGATGGGGACGCCAGCTATTGAAATAAAAGAAAATTAGTATGCTTCGATTCTATCTTCAGGCAGATATAAAGTCAGTCAGACACTTGGTCGGATGCCAGCGTTTTCTCCGTCACGGTTGCACTCTGCGGATCCCACTCGCTGGTAAGCCATGGCGCTCGCAAACTTACTTTTGCTTGCCCTCAGTACGATCGCGAGCCAGACCGCCCAGGTCGCTGCACTGGGGTCAGCGTGTAGTGTTCCTCTCACTACGGGTCACGCATTGTGGGGAGAGCCTTACTGGCTCGAGAACATCCACCATCAGGGCGTGGCACCGTTTGCACCTAACGCGACGAAGTACAAAGTTTTCCGGAACGTGAGGGAATATGGAGCCGTGGGCGATGGTGTGCATGATGATACTGCTGCTATTAAGTGCGTATTCCTTTGCACTGATGACCATACTGTAACGCTCATCTCTGTAGTGCTGCAATTTCTACTGGTAGCAGATGTGGTAACTTGACTTGCGGGTCTTCAACGTAAGTCACAAATTGTCCAAGCTATCTAACTCAGGCTCGATGACTCGTTAGAACAACACCGGCAGTGGTCTACTTCCCAGAAGGGTGAGGATCTGTGTACAATGCTAGCTTCACTTTCTGACGCGCTTAATCAGAACCTACCTCGTGTCTGGTCCGCTCCACGCATATTACTACACAGTCATGGTAGGCAACGCAAGAACACCTCCGACGTTGCTTGCCAGTGCTAACTTCACAGGGATAGCTGTAATTGGTGCGGCACGGCTCATTTAGTGCGATAAGACTGAATAACAGCGAAATCAGATGCTGACCCATACACCAACAATCAAAACTGGTACACCAACCAAGATAGCTTGTATGTGTCGTTTGAATTTCCGTGTATGCATGACGTCGATGGCTTTTTATTATGAAAGTTACCGGTCGGCGCGTAACTTCGTTATCGACCTCAGACGTGTGCCTGCGAATGTCTCTGCTACTGGTATTCACTGGCAAGTTTCGCAGTCCACGTCCCTGGTCAACATAGTAGTGCACATGTCTACGCAACCTGGAAACAATCACCAAGGTATGTCATTGTTATGAGTGATGGGGTGCTCGTTTATCTTTGCTCCTAGGCATGTATATGGAGAGTGGAAGGTAAGTCAACATCGTTCCATCGAAAGACATGATATATGAATACTAGCAAAGTGGTGGCTTTATGGGAGATCTCGTATTCAACGGTGGAAAGTATGGTATCTGGGTTGGAAACCAACAGTAAGTCTTAGCGTTCATGTTGCTCTCCAAGTTCCGTAGCACATGATGCGTCTGCTTGCAGGTTTACCGTGCGTAATATCACTGTCAACAATGCAAACACAGGTAAGGTCTACGATGCACGTCAGTATACTAGCCCTAAATCATTTGCCTCAAGCTGTGTTCGGATCGTGGAACTGGGGTAATATTTGATCTTTTGTTATGAGTACGCAATTGATGAGTTACAGGATGGACTTACCAACGCGTTGTAATCAATGAATGTCAAATCGGCTTTAATCTGTCGGGCGGCGGGAATGGAGGAGAGGCCATCATTGACGCAGTGGTCACAAACACCCCTGTCTTCATCAAGGCACCCAAGCCGACAAATGTCTCCGTTGCAACATCCATCGTATTGAACAACATCCACCTCAACAACGTCTCTGTTGCTGTCATGGAAAACAGAACTACTATCCTTGCTGGTGGAACAAGGACCATTGATTCGTGGGGCAAGGGTAACATCTATACAGGAACACACCCGAACGGAACATTCACACAGGACAGGATACACTCTGCGCATAAGGACTCGAGCCTTTTAGACCACAATGGTTTCATTGTCAGCAAAGGACATCCCACGTATGCTGACTATTCAGTCGACCAGTTCAAGAGTGTCAGGTCATTGGGGGCCGTTGGAGATGGGGTTACGGATGACACTGAAGCTATTAAAGCTGTGCTCTCAAAGGTATTACCGATAGTCTAACAATATATCTCTGTACTGATTGGAATTTGGGGCAGTATGCTGGATGCTACATCATATATTTCGATGCTGGCATCTATAAGGTTACTTCGACTATACAGATTCCTGCAGGAACACGAATTGTTGGAGAGGCTTGGACCCAGATCATGGGCGCCGGCCTTAATTTCAATAATAAAGAGGACCCGAACGTTGTTGTACAAGTTGGCACACCAGGCTCGCAGGGCATTACGGAGATTACAGATATCGTGTTCACGACGCAAGGACCAGCTGCAGGCGCCATTGTTGTGCAGTGGAACGTCCACGATCCTCCTGGTCTCCAAGGAGCTGCCGGAATGTGGGATTCGCACATTCGGTGAGTTCCTTTGAATCTCATTTGAAGTCTGTTCTCTGATCTGCATCTGCAACAGGCTCGGCGGAGGCAAGTTCAAAGTTTCTCGCATGCGAACGGTGATTGGTTACTCTTTATTTTAGCTAATGGGACCCACCTCCAAGATGCAGAGTGCCCCGCGGGATCCATTAATCCAGAATGTTTTGCAGCTTTCCTTGCTTTACACATCACATGTGGCGCATCAGCGTATCTCGAGGTGGGGCGTCATGATCTTGGCAATAGTTCCAGCGCACTGATTTCAAATTTCCTTCACCAAGGGAACATGGGTTTGGCTGGCAGATCACGATCTCGATGGCTTGAAACAGCTTACCTTGTTCAGCGGAAGAGGCGTTTTGTCCCATTCTCAGGGTCCTGTCTGGATGATTGGTACAGGTGAGTTTGCTCTTCTAAGCACAAGGCTGATATGCTGATTTCGCATAGCCTGTAAGTATCGTACGTTCGATGATGCTCACAAATTCATAGATGTTTTCAACAGCGGAACATCACGTGCTCTATCAGTACAGTTTAATCGGAGCAAAGAATCATTACATGGGTCTGATCCAGACTGAGACGGTAGGTTAATCCGAAGACGAAACGAGTTTACCTCTGATATCTCTGCATAGCCTTACTTCCAACCTCTTCCCGCACCGCCAGGGCCATTTGATGTCTCAAACGTTTACGATGATCCGACGTTCGAAAATGGCATAGATATGGCTTGGGGACTGTGGGTGAAATCGTCTATGGATATCATCGTGTTTGGTTCGTCTCAATCATGTGCTCATATTGTGCTTGCATTTACGTGCTATGAACTTTCTCCAAAGGTGCTAGTCACTACAGCTTTTTCCAGGTGAGGCATAGCTGAAGCAGACTGGGTCGTTTCTAACCCTTGCCTCTCACCAGAACTACAGCACGGCGTGTGGGAGTAACACTACATGCCAAACACAGATCGTCAACGTGGACTGGGCCTCTTCCATCAGCCTCTACAATTTGGCAACCGTGGGGACAAGATACCAACTCAGTATAGAAGAGAACGGGATCATCTATTTTGCCAACGACTCGGAAGGCTTTTCGTCCACTGTGACGTTATGGAACCCTGCACGGGCTATCAACCCATAAAATTTATATCCTGTAGAATTTATATATCCCTCATTTATTCTTCCCCGACCACGATTAGTGGGAGACGTTCTTTATTGGTACAAACGGACATTGATATTCCTCTGCAAACACATGTCTGCAAACTTCTTTCTTGCATGCCTACCGTGCGAGCTTTGGATGTACGTCCATTGTTCCAACTTCTATACGTCCACGAGGCACAGTTTACGTCTTTGGTTTAATTACCGAGTAATTCTGGTGATGCATTTATATTTAGCAAAGTTCATGGTACACTCAGTAACTGCACTGCAGCTATTAACCGACAAAGATGATCATCGCACCGAGCCTGTGTTCTACTCTGGCTCGTGTCCCTCAATCGCAAACCCGTTTGTGTTCTTCTATTCACACCTGGAGTGTCCTCGATCGTGAGCATAAAAGAATACATGCTATATGGAGTAGCCATCGTTTTTGTACGCACTCACTCCAATGCCTTCGGGGTATGGCAAAAACCACGAAGCCGCAAAAAACAAGAAATTACAACATGTGGGATAGTACCGACACAGCGAGTGTGACAATAGGAAGGAGCGAAATTGATGAGGATCCAGCGGATCCAGAGGTTTGGGTATCAGGTCTTTTAGCCGCGACTGTCAGAAAGTTTTTCGAGAAATAAGCAAGATACATACGGAATACCACTGTTGTCAGAATACGACGGACAAGTATCATTGGTGCTTCCCTGACGAAAAAGGTATGATAACGGTTAGATATAGGTTAGCGGATGACTGACAGTTGGATTGTTAGGACAGCATGCGTCGTATCCCAGGTTAACCACACTCCCAAGAGCAGCAACGTTATTCCAGCCCTTCCAATTTGTGCAGGAGACCGACTGGTAGCTGACATTCCAAACGCCAAAGTCCTAGTCGCGCAATGATTTTTATAGACAAATACAACGATAATAAGCCGCCTCACAGTATAGCCTACAAGTCCGAATTAATTATATGTGCGAGGCGATCTCGGATGCTCACCATAAAATGCTTCATTTGATGGAAAGAAATCATTTGGAATCGAAGATGAGGGCCATGCGAGGTCAAAATTCAAGTAGTGACCACCACTATGCGAAGATTAAATGTCGAAACCAAGAAATAGGTGTGCTTACGCGTTCGGCCCATGAGTAGTTGCATTACACCAGCCAGAATGAGATAATGGGCATAAGTCAGTAACTTTGACGACCACTGATTTTGTGACGTTAGGGTAAAAAGGGGGATTTGAAAGGAAAGAATTTAGTAGGGTGAGATTAAAGCATTGTCCACAAGCGGGGCCGTACGATGTACTGCTACCGTATGCCATCTGATTCATTGCAGCAGTTGGATAATTTGTGCTGGCGGATGTACACCCGCATGCTGCGATGAAGTTTTCGGGAAGGCTGTAGTGTGTCATAGTGGCATATCCATCTAGCGAATAGTCGATCCACTCTGAAGCCCATGATATGTGTGGTAGAAAGGAGAGGAAAGTGAAGATGAAGGACAGAAGTTGCGACAAGGGCATCGTACTGGATTTGCTCCATAGGTACATTTTTTGGGGTTTAATATGGAATAGTTAAAGAGGGAAGGGCGGCCTAAGAGCCTGCACTAAAACACCAGCCTAGTTACAAACGTTGTTCACAAGGCGTTGTCCCACTGAATCACTGGATGCTCTACTAAAATCCACGTGATGAGATCACGTGTGCGCGAGCATGTAAACGCGTCGCGCCACACTGCTTTGCAACTTTTGTTGATTTCATCACCTGCAGAGCCTACCACAGATGCATTTGGTGACCAAAGTCAAACGCACCTACAGCTCGCGCTCGCGGCTATCACTCCCGTCCTCATCGCCATCGTCGTCACCGCCGTCGACGACGAAGCGCAAGCGCCTCGGGGAAGGCGCCGAGAACGAGCCTCCAACAAAGAAACGGATAACAACCAAAACCTCGTTTTCGCAGAAATCCGCAAAGCCAAAACAAAGTGTTCTAAGGCAGCTTCATTTTTCTATAGAAACTTCAGTCCTACGAACCTGCACAATTTGTGGCCTCTCGTATACACGAGGCGCACCGGATGACGAAACATTGCATCGTGCCCATTGCTCACGCGTGCAAAGGGGAATGGAGTGGGGCAGAGAGGAAGAACGTGAAGCAGAGAAAGCTGATGTAGAAGAAATACAATCTGCAGTAAAGCTGAAAGATGGAAAGAAAGGTCGCATCATCTGTTTCAAGGCGAATGTTGGTGGAAGAATTGGATCTAAGGTGAGAAGACCGCATTATGCTTACGGCGTACTCGTACTATGAACTCTGGCTGACACTTCCGAAGCTTGCGATATTGCTCGAGACGATAAATATTGCCCTTTCATCTCCTCCGCTATCGACCGAAATTCTACAATCATCGAAAGCATACCTCTATCTGATACCATCACTGACGAATACACACCGAGAGAAGATAGTAGGCTGCGTCATTGCTCAACGAATATCCACCGCCATGACTGTTGCCACTCCTTCAGACATCTTGCTTAAGGGTAACTCTAATCAAGCCGCTGACCGCGACTCGCCCCCGTCATCGCCGACTCACAGACTGGTCACAGTCGACACGACCTCGGGACTCTTTTGCCATCCAAAGGCCTTACCTACGCCCCTCGGTATACCACGTCTATTTGTCTCATCGGCACATCGACGGCAAGGTATCGCTAGCCGCTTACTATCAGCTGCAGCTGCGACCTTCATCCACGGTTGTCCACTTGACCCTGTCAATGGTGATGTCGCATTTACACAACCGACCGAAGGAGGGCACGCCGTCATGCAAAACTGGGGTAGAGGAGGTGTAAGAATATATGAGGAGTAACATGCTGGTCGAGCAGTGTGGAGTTTCTGACATACCCCCGGCAACGTTGAGCTCTGGGCAGACAGCAAAAACTGTGCAACATTGGAATTGCAGGGATTGTCATATAGCACAGCAACGAAGACTATTGTTACTTTCAATATCTTTTGTGAGCTATCCACGGACGATATAGTACAGCAGCTAATTTTTGTACAATAACAAGCGATGCGACAAGAAAGCATGCACAAGATATCAAGGAATTATTGTAAGTTGTGGCAGAAATATCAGGCAAATGGAGCACCAGTGGGGGTCTGCTAAACTCTTATCTAAAGAAGACTTGTGCATTGCGGGAAAGTCATGTGACTGGCTCCATATGTATGTTGAGGTATATCGAATTCATCCGAGTCAGTCATCTGCATCAACCCGCATAGACTGCCGACGGAGAGAACGCAAAGCAATGACAAGTTGCTGCGCCTCAAACTTGTCGATTCTGCGTTCTCGCACAGAATCACACAAAAGGATATTGACGTCCTCCTCTGGCCATGTTGCTACATGAAGAAGACGCGACTCATTCTTGATGCCCAGTGTCATAAGTTCTGCGTGTAAATGGCCAAGCGCTGCACGACCGAGGAAGTTCCTAATAGGCGTTGTATGGCAGGAGTCATCTGACGCCAATACTGTACTCGCAGATGACGCACGCCTTGGCTGATTGCTGTCCTTGCGCAGGGTGCTGCATTCTACCGGCATGCCAGTTACTACCGGATCTGGAGACAGAGAACGATTCATAGTTCGAGAAGCATCTGTTAGAGTAGGACTCGGGGAGTTCGGGATGAATGGCTTAACCAAAGTCCAGTGAGTCGCAGTACACTCTGCATAGTAACGGATGTCAATCACCTTTTGCACCATACCTTGCATACCCGGATTGGCGGAGATGGCTGAGCGAGAAGTTTCTTCGTCCAACTCGAACTCGGTCATCTGTAATACTATGAAATGCGGAAGCTGTCGGAGATGGTAAAGCCTTTCTTACCTGGGATCTTTCACTGTGGAGAGTCGGAGGACCCGTTGGTGGCTCAGAATTCACTGGCATATTGCGGTCACCTTCGACGTCGTCAGACTTGTCATCGTCCCCTAGCAAATCTCCATCTGCAATGTCATTGTTGTGGACCATTTGATAAAAACGCGATCTCGGCACCGCTTTGGAGTGAAGAAATTGATTGATGTATTTGAATAAATGCGCACTTGCACGCTCGTCGTCTTCAAAAATAGGAAAAGCTTGTTGAACCTGGGTAATAATCAGTGGCGCTGGGAGCCTATCGTTGATAAACGCCCGTACATCGGCTAGGAATCGCTCTTTGATGATCTTATCCTGTTCCCGAGGTTTTCGACCGATCTCAAAGTGTTTCAGCGCGAGGGTTCGTATGCGGTGCTGTTCGGCAAGTAAGCTGTCGAGATACCAATATACGGTGCACTATATGGTCGATATCACTGACCTTGATCTCTTGAAACTGGACGTCTTGATCCCCCCGTATACCCAGTGCTTTGCGGAAAGCCACTTGAGCTTTTCCTCCCCTTTCTTTGACCATGAGTCTGGTTCCAACAACTTTGGGCATCTCGGAGTGGTTGAGAATATACTCTTGATTGCACTCAGAGCAGGTATTTATCGTTTGCAGGGACTTCGAGATTATCTGACCCCTGCCAGATCATTATGTCATCTATATGTCATGAAGGAAATCTCAAAAGGTTTTCAAATCAGGTAGAAACCAACCGAACTTCCAGGGGACTGAAGCCCAAGGAGACACGCGACATGCATCGTGCCCTGCCTCGAGTTTTTCCACCACAATCTCTGGTCATAGGCTGGGAAGGTAACCCTCTGGGACATGAGCCATAAACGAAGATATATTGCTGATGGATATGCTCTCAGGGAATATTGTACAATGATGTAGGTGGATACAATATCTTCATAGATTCCTATAGATTTATTCTGATGAAAACACGAAGCCGTTTGCCGACATGCGGCGCTCAAGCAAACACTTCAACTGTCTGCGTGACATTGCTAGGAGGAGGCACGAAAGTCTAGTGTAATTGAAGTCAGCAGACAATCACGGTGATCGCGGGTAAGTCTTCACCCTGGTTTTAATACCGCCCGCACTAGGTAAACGTGTGGACCCTGCGCTCAGCCAAGCATCAACCTCGGCAGCAGCACCCCGTCCCTCGCTAGAATAATTTCATTATTACTCGAATTGAAGGCAAGATTGCCACCTACTTGATACCCCATACAATCAACGACTGCCCACGGCGACAGTCTCCGGCCGCAAAGACACCCTCAACATTTGTCGTATATTTCTGCAAGGATCGTCGAGCTCAGGGAAGCATAATAAATGTTGCAGAACGAACCTTTGGAGGCGTCTGGATATTCGATCTGATATCCTGCTTAATACCTAAGGCGTCGGGAACTTGTGACTGCGGACCCAGGAAGCCAAGAGCCAAGAAAACCAGTTGCGCAGGGAAGAACTTCTCAGAGCCAGGCACCTCCTCCATCTTCCAGCGCCCACTACTGTCCTTGGTCCACTCAACTCGGACTGTTCCGAAATGCGAGACTCAATACCAACTACAATCTTCGGGAAGTCAAGACGCACCAGTATTCAAGCCCTTGAGCTTCCCAGCATCGTCAAGAACAAATTCCTTTGTGGAAATGGAGTATTCCCGTGGATCTAAGGTAGCGTGAGGAAAGACGTCAACCGACGGCAAAGATCACTCACCATTGCCAAAATGCGCAGCAACTTCGGTATGACCATAATCGGCCCGGAAGATTCTGATGGAAGATTGAATCAGATCGATTGTTGCATGTCGTGAAAATTGGAAGCACCGACCTAGGCCATTGTGGCCAAGGGTTGTCTCTGCCACGCGAACCTGGAGGCTTGGGTAGAAGCTCAAAGTTTGTCACGGACTTGGCGCCATGCCGCATGGATGTGCCAATGCAGTCGTTACCGGTATCACCACCACCGATGACAATGACATCTTTACCCCTTGCGTTAATGTAGGACCCATCCTGCAGTTCTGAATCCAGGAGGGACTTGGTGTTCAGCTGAAGAAGGCGTTCGAAATCTTCAATTAAAATTAGGCGATACACGAACCTGAAGGAATTCCATGGCAAAGTGAATGCCGTCTACATTGCGGTTCGGAATATTGAGATCACGAGGCCACGTTGCTCCCGTGCATAGAACAACTGCGTCATTCGCTGCCCGGAGAACATGAGCATCAACAGTGACCCCGACATGAGCGTTTGGTACGAAGGTCTTTGAAACGATTAGCGAGACTATAATTCACAAGGGTCACGAAGACGCACGATCCCCTCAGCTTCCATTAAGTCCAAGCGGCGCTGTACGATTGTCTTGTCGAGCTTCATGCTGATGTGCGTCAGGATCGTCGACATGATGATCTGATTATGATCGACTCACTTTGGAATACCATACATGAGAAGACCACCCATGCGATCATTGCGGTCATATACAGAGACGAGATGTCCTGCCTTGTTAAGCTGATCAGCGCATGCTAGACCAGCAGGACCGGAGCCAATGATCGCGACTCGCTTCCCGGTTCTGAAGCTCGGCGGATTAGGGGTCATCCAGCCCATCTCGAAGCCCTAATTGTCCGAAATGAGTGACATTGACAATGAGGTAGTATCCAACATACTTTGTCAATGATGGCACACTCGATGCTCTTAATACCAACAGGTTGCTCATTAATACCCAGTACACACGCGCCTTCGCAAGGTGCAGGACAGACGCGACCAGTAAACTCGGGGAAGTTGTTCGTCATAAGTAGTCGGTTGAGAGCATCGCGCCACTGGCCTTTGAACACGAGATCGTTCCACTTGGGAATGATGTTTGAGATCGGGCATCCTGTGTCAGACTGACAGAATGGAACGCCACAGTCCATGCATCGAGCAGATTGATACTTCAACTCGCTCTCAGTCAAGCGAATCGAAATCTCTTTCCAGTCTTTGACACGCTTTCTAGGAGGTCTGTATGCCTCGTTCAGTCGGTGATACTTCATGAACCCTCGAGCTTTGTCCAATTTGTTAAGACGCTGTTTTGTGGTCGAGTCGTCGATAGTAGAATCCTCTAGATCTGTAACAGCAGGCTCATGGCGTTTTGAAGGAACATGGATTGTTGCTGGTTCCTTCGGGAGGAGGATGTCTTCTAGTCCTTCTGACGCAAGATCAACTTGGCTAGCGGTACGAGACGGGACCAAGTCGATAACACTAAGCCTCATCTTTTCCTCCTTCTCCTTGGCAGCCTGCTCTTCCAATACACGCTTGTAATCGAGTGGCATGACACGAACAAAGAGCGGGAGCAGATGGTGGAAGTCATGAAGGACGCGATCGGCAACCTCAGAGCCAGTGTAGTGACGATGGTCCTCGATGAGGCCACGCAATGCAGCGATTTCACGTGGGTCACTGACCTTTCCAAGCTCTACCATCTCCATATTAACCTTCGATGCGAAAGTGTGAGCCGTGTCGAGTACATATGCAATGCCACCACTCATTCCAGCAGCGAAGTTGCGCCCAGTAGTTCCTAGGACTACAACACGCCCGCCAGTCATGTATTCGCATCCATGATCACCCGTGCCTTCAACGACAGCGTTTGCCCCGGAGTTGCGAACGGCAAAACGTTCGGCAGCAACACCTCGGATGAAAGCCTCACCCGACGTAGAGCCGTACAAGCAAACATTACCAATGATGATATTCTCCTCTGCCTTAAAGGTCGATTGTTTAGGAGGGTAAACAATGAGACGCCCACCAGACAGGCCTTTTCCGACATAGTCGTTAGCATCACCTTCCAGTTCGATTGTGATGCCGGGCGCAAGGAAGGCACCGCAGGACTGTCCTGCTGAACCGCGCATACAAATATGGATAGTGTCCTTCGGCAATCCTTCTTCCCCGTACAGTTTGGAGACACGATATGATAACGATGTGCCGAGGGCGCGATCAGTGTTTGTGACGTCACACTCAATATGAACAGGAAGTCCCTTGGTAAGAGCTGGTTCAGACTCGTCGATGAACTTGTTGTCGAGGCGGATGTACAGCTTGTGATCTTGCTGACGAACACGGTAAGTTGCAGCGCCAGGCCGCATCTGCCAAGCAGGCTTCAAAACAGCGGATAGGTCGAGGTGTGCGGTCTTGATGGTGCGCAACTTCTCATCAACCTTGAGCATATCAGCGCGACCAACCATCTCGTTGATGGTGCGGAAACCGAGCTTGGCCATGTGGCCACGAAGTTCCTCAGCGAGGTAATAGAAGAAGTTAATGACTTGCTCCGGCTGTCCGGCAAATTTGCTGCGAAGTTGAGGGTCTTGTGTAGCTATACCAACCGGACAAGTGTTCACTGAAACAAACAGGTTAGTTGCGACAGATACCAGGAAGATGTAACACGTACAGTGACATTTGCGCATCATAATACAACCCATGGCAATGAGCGGTGTGGTAGCGAAGCCCCATTCCTCGGCACCAAGCAGACATGCGATAGCAATGTCACGACCGGTACGAATTTGGCCATCAGTTTGGACGGTGACGCGACCTCGGAGGTCATTCAAGACAAGTGTCTGGTGCGTCTCTGCAAGGCCAAGCTCCCACGGCAGACCAGCATACTTGATACCAGTCCAGCGGGATGCACCAGTACCACCGTCGTGACCAGAAATGAGGATGTGATCTGCTTTTGCTTTTGCAACACCGCTCGCAACAATGCCAACGCCAACCTCGGAAACAAGTTTTACAGAGACACGCGCACGAGGGTTAGAGCACTTTAAGTCATATATGAGCTGTTTCAGATCCTCGATGGAATAAATGTCATGGTGGGGTGGGGGAGAGATAAGCCCAACGCCGGCTGTAGAATGACGAGTGCGGGCAATGGAGGTAGAAACCTTGTGTCCTGGAAGTTCACCCCCTTCACCGGGCTTAGCACCTTGAGCCATCTTGATCTGGAGCTCGTCGGCATCCGCCAGGTAATTGGAAGTGACGCCGAAACGACCGGATGCCACTTGCTTGATAGCGGAGCGCATAGTGTCACCATTTGGGAGTATGTGAGAGCGCTCTGCATCCTCACCACCCTCACCAGTGTTCGACTTACCGCCGAGACGGTTCATCGCGACAGCAAGTGTGGAGTGTGCCTCCATAGAGATTGACCCATATGACATAGCACCTGTAACGAACCTACGGACAATTTCATTCCAAGGCTCAACCTGTTCGATGGGAATAGGGGTGGCTTTTTCATAGCAAAAGTCAATAAGCCCACGCAGATGAACACTCTTCGTTTGCTCATTCGCATTACGAGCGTAAGCATCATAAGCGGCTTGGTTCTTCTCGCGAACGGCATCTTGCAGATTGGCGATGCCAGCAGGATCATTGATATGTGCTTCGCCTCCATCACGCCAATGGTACTCTCCCGATTCGGGCATTCCTGGAGGTAAAATAGTTTCTCTCGAAGGCCACCCACGCTCATGGAGTTCGAAGGCATCCACAGCAAGTAAGTCGAACGTGGTCCCCTGTACGCGAGATGCAGTACCGATGAAGCAGCGGTCCACGACTTCACTATGAAGACCGAGAGCTTCAAAAATCTGAGCGCCCTTGTACGATTGAAGTGTCGAGATACCCATTTTCGACATGACTTTGAGGATGCCATTATCGATGGACTTGT